GAATTCTTGCCTGAATGCCGGGAATTCTTGCCTGAATGCCGGGTATTCTTGCCCGATTTTTTTGCAAAAAAAAACGCATAAAATGTCACAATGTGCTTGAAATTTTCGAACATGTTCAAAATCAAAATTAATTTTGAAAACATCACAATTCATTTGGGTCGCCCCAGACAGATCCCACCAAACATGTTCAGGGCTTTGAGCCCCAGCACCTGGGCACATTCTCAGGTCAGCACATGTCCCAACTTTTACAGTACCCTTCCAATTTTTAACCGCATTCAATCTGAAGCAGGAGTTATCAGGTGAAAATAATCATGAATTGAATTCGTGCCTGCAAACAAGCTACAGGAATTCTCGCCTGAATTGGATTTCTCGCCTGCAGTCTATTTATCTGTCCGATTGTGAAAAAGTCTACTTTCTCTGTTCAGCCCAAAATATCAGCCTGAATGGTGATCTAGGTATGCCCGCTGTTCAGATTCTGTCTAGCCTCGTATCTAATTTAATTATCCCCTTTGAAGTTTGGGCTGGGGGTGATGTATCCTGATTTGGTACAGAAACAGCTTACAGAATGGTGGGGCTCAAGGTATTTGAACATGTTTTAAGTACAAAGCAGGGATTACCAACCCCAGGCACAGAAAGAGCTCACATGAACAACTTTCTAGGTGATTTCTGTACATAATGACATGGCATCAAGACAATTTCAACTTCAACAAATGGCCTGATTCTGCACACCCCCCTGTACATTTTGGAGGGGCCAAGGTCAGCATGTCAACTACCTGAAGTACAATTGTGTACTGTCCATATTTCTGCCCCAAAAAGGATCAAAAAGGAAGGTCTTCGATTTTGTATTGGTACTACGTGAGGGCCACAAACAATGATAGAAGTTTATAGTGACGGACAATCACTTAGAACGTATTTTGGAGAAAAAATCTGAATATTACTGCTTTTTTTACGTTCTAAGCCTTGCACTTAGAACGTCGAAAACCATACACTTAGAACGTCCAAATATCAAGATTCATCACTTAGAACGTACCGGGGATTTAACACTTAGAACGTGTCTAGGTCACTGATTTAACACTTAGAACGTCGAAAACCATACACTTAGAACGTGTCTATGTCACGTCATATGGTAATTGTTCATAATTATAGTGGCGGACAATCACTTAGCACATTCTAAGTGTTGGTTTACGTTCTAAGTGATAAATGGGCCTAAGTGATATTTTGACGTTCTAAGTGATGAATTTTCCCTACGTTCTAAGTGATGAAATTTTGCTACGTTCTAAGTACGGAAAAAAAAATTGGAAAAAAATTACGTTCTAAGTGATTGTCCGTCACTATAAACATTTTGAAACATCGTTGATGTCAAACCACAGGCTGCAGTGGACACTTGCCCATACACTCTCTTTCAGCACCGTGCGGGTGTACAAAATGGCACTGCCAAGGGTGTTTGTGTGCCATAGAAGCGGAACACCATTTTGTACTCTGAGCTGGGGAAGCCTGGTTCACTGAAAACAGACGGAATTGATCCAGCCCGCTCTTTTTCAGCGGCCATTACCTCATGGCCTTTTAATCCCAAACACACTATACACCTTATTTATACATATATACATATATGAAAAAGGCAACAGAAAATGTATGACGCACCTCCCCACAAAGACAGAATCCACACTTTTTGTGAGGATTCTGGTGAGGTGTGCTTGGGAAGCTGTCAAGAATGAAAAAGAATGGTTCCTGTATGAAGCGAGGCTCACAATGTCAATTTGGAATGATTTGGATGTGTACCAAATGGCTTGTCCAATCCCTAGATGCAATCTCGGTACAAAATGGGGATGGCTGATTCGACGTTAATGTGTACAAAATGGGTCTTTGTAGGGTGTTCCAAATGAGGTGGACCAAACTTGTTGCACCAATCATCTTGAAGCCTACCCTGTACAAACTGTCAATGACCAGCATTCGGAAAAAAACAAGCTAAAACATGTACAAAAATGCCTTCAAAAGTGTACGAGGGGGATATTTAATTTATCGTTCTTTCCTATCCTTCTATCCCTTGGCTTTTTCTAACTTCATGTTTTTGTTTCTGCTTTTCTATCTACAAATGTTTCTATTATATCAATAGCTTATCTGTGCTTCTTTCAATCGTCTTTCCATGTTTACCTTTGCAGCTTCCTATCTTTACATTGTTTCATATCTCTATCTATCGATATTTTTATTTGTAAATCTTACTATGTATCCATCTTTTGTTCTCAAGGTGTCTAGTTGTGTTTTCCTTTCTGTCGTTCTATCTCAATGTTTCTCTACGTGTTATTATGTTGATCTTTGTGTATTTTTGTTCTTCCATCTTTCTATCTGTCTTTTTGGATTTTCTTTCTACTTTACATAGTAATTTAAATCAACAAATCAAAATTGTTTCCAAGGTTTTCCAAAATAGCCTACCCCAAAATACTGAAGTTTAATAATTTGTAAGCTAGCACGAAGCCTCCTAAAAGGTCATTGTTCATAAAGAACTATGAATCAGGAAATAACCAGGTTCAAAACAAACGGTCACAAAAAGCCTAACCTGATCTTGGAGGAGAATTGCCTCCTTTTCCTGGCCTGTGGCAGTTGCATGCAGTTGCAACATGTCAAAATGACTGTTTAAGAGCTGAAGACCACTCATGTTCGTTAGCGCTAGCCCCATCATCATGTTCAAAGGTGTCATCATCGGTGTCATCATCTGTTTCAACAGCGTCATCATCTACCAAGAACGTTCACTTGAATAAAGTCTGGGAGCTCATGCCGCATAGAGTTCATGAAAAGCTACGTGGAGGCCATCGAAGCCATCCATTTCTCTCAATATCATACCCTCAACTACGAGCCAGGGAACCTGGACACAGCATTATAGAACCTTTTGGGGTATCTGAAATCATATTCTTTTACAAAACCACCACTTAGATATCAGAACTTTGCACCTCCTGAAACAAGTGGTACGTTAGGGGGTCTGAGATCAAATCTTGACCTAGCAACAGGGGTTCTGAGATCAAGTCTTAACCTAGCAATAGAATGAAGATATGATCTAAGACCCCAAGCTATGTGTATGAGACTTGCAAGGGCCATGTGAGTGCTTTGGTTTGAAAGGGTTTGAAGTTGGGAACTTCCAACACTCAAAAAAAAATATATATTTTTTAAAAAAATAATAATTTTCTTGACCCAAGAGGTTCTGAGATGATTTTTCTCTATGTAGTGTTGGCTGATCTTTGAGCACATGTGGGAAGATATGATCTGAGACCCCAAGCTATGTGTATAAGAGGTGCCAGGCCAATGTGAGTACTTTGGTTTGAAAGGGTTTGAAGTTGGGAACTTCCAACACTCAAAAATATATATATTTAAAAAAATAATCTTCTTGACCCAAGAGGTTCTGAGATGTTTTTTCTCTATGTAGTGTTGGCTGTTCTTTGAGGACATGTGGGAAGATATGATCTAAGACCCCAAGCTATGTGTATGAGACCTGCAAGGGCCATGTGAGTGCTTTGGTTTGAAAGGGTTTGAAGTTGGGAACTTCCAACACTCAAATATATATATATATAAATAATCTTATTGACCCAAGAGGTTCTGAGATGTTTTGTTCTCTATGTAGTGTTGGCTGATCTTTGAGGACATGTGGGAAGATATGATCTAAGACCCCAAGCTATGTGTATGAGACCTGCAAGGGCCATGAGAGTGCTTTGGTTTGAAAGGGTTTGAAGTTGGGAACTTCCAACATTCAAAAAAGAATATAAAAAAAAATAATATAATATTCTTGACCCAAGGCCAAGGGGTTCTGAAATGTTTGTTCTCTATGTAGTGTTGGCTGATCTTTGGGCACATGTGGGAAGATATGATCTGAGACCCCAAGCTATGTGTATAAGAGGTGCCAGGCCAATGTGAGCACTTTGGTTTGAAAGGGTTTGAAGTTGGGAACTTCCACCACTCAAAAAAATATATATTGAAAAAATATCTTCTTGACCCAAGAGGTTCTGAGATGTTTTTTTCTCTATGTAGTGTTGGCTGATCTTTGAGGACATGTGGGAAGATATGATCTGAGACCCCAAGCTATGTGTATGAGACTTGCAAGGGCCATGTGAGTGCTTTGGTTTGAAAGGGTTTGAAGTTGGGAACTTCCAACACTCAAAAAATTATATATTAAAAAAATAAAATAATATTCTTGACCCAAGAGGTTCTGAGATGTTTGTTCTCTATGTAGTGTTGGCTGATCTTTGAGCACATGTGGGAAGATATGATCTGAGACCCCAAGCTATGTGTATAAGACCTGCCAGGGCCATGTGAGTACTTTGGTTTGAAAGGGTTTGAAGTTGGGAACTTCCAACACTCAAAAAAAAAATATATTTTAAAACAATATCCTTGACCCAAGAGGTTCTGAAATGTTTGTTCTCTATGTAGTGTTGGCTGATCTTTGAGGACATGTGGGAAGATATAATCTAAGACCCCAAGCTATGTGTATGAGACTTGCAAGGGCCATGTGAGTGTTTTGGTTTGAAAGGGTTTGAAGTTGGGAACTTCCAACACTCAAATATATATATATATATATAAATAATCTTATTGACCCAAGAGGTTCTGAGATGTTTTTTATCTATGTAGTGTTGGCTGATCTTTGAGGACATGTGGGAAGATATCAAAAGTTGGCTTTGAAAAGGGTATATATACATATATATACACTAATTAAATCTATCTCTATATATATATATTTATATATATATATATCTAACTATATATATATATCTAACTATATATATATATATACTTATATATATATGTATATATGTGTGACAACATATAGGGTTCTAAAATCATAAGGGGTAAAGTTCTACAATCATCCCAGGGGATGATTTTAGACCCTTGTGGTCGACCCCTCCAGGGGTACCCATTCTAGATACCTCGTACTTGAGGGTATTCAATATCTACATAAATATCTTTAAACCGATCTGCAAGCAGAGTATTGCCGTGAAATACATGAGCCATTGTCTGTCCTCCACGTCGTCTGCCGGCGGCACTGGGGGATCCTTTCCAGAATGAACATCAAAGCTCGCTTGACGATGTTTGCATGAGATCACCTGCGAACAAACTGAATCTTCATGAGTCTCCCAGTTTCATATCCCTCGGGTGATGGCCACAGCATAAACAGTGGCAAAAGATGGCAAAGGCATGTGAATGGGTCCATAAACATGGACATGTCTCTTTGGGAATCGTTTCTTTCTGGTCAAAATCGAGGTTGGAAACCAAATGATGTCCGCCAAGTTCTGAAAGACATTTCATTTTGTTCAAAATTATGAGAGATATCGGAGCCTGCATTGAAACCTGAAGCAAACCTCATGAAAAACTAGGGGCCATCGTTGCCATCCATTTATCTCAATCTCTAAATACATTTAAATCATTTAAGTCGGTGTTCGGAGGAATCTGCAAACAGAGTATTGCTGTAAAACACACGAGCCGCTGTCTGTCCTCCACGTCATCTGCCGGCGGCACTGGGGGATCCTTTCCAGAATGAACATCAAAGCTCGCTTGACGATGTTTGCATGAGATCACCTGCGAACAAACTGAATCTTCATGAGTCTCCCAATTTGTTATTCCTTTGGGTGATGGCCACAGCAAAAACAGTGGCAAAAGATGGCAAAGGTACATGAATAGGTCGATCAACATTTCTGTTAGGGAATCGTTTCTTTCTGGTCAAACCCAAGAGTGCCAAACCAAAAACCATAGCGCGTCCTCGTTTGGAACTTGGAGGAGCCGTCGCCTCTGAAACCTTGGAAAAGCACCTATCCGTTCAGATTGAGTTCCAAACACTTGCCAAGCACGGTATTGTTTTTTCTCAAATGTGGCAAGCTTTCAGGTTTCGAAACCCGTTGAGCCGGTCGAGCCCTGATCCAAAGGGAGAAAGCTCTGAGATGCCCACCATGTGCCCACGGAGGGTTTCAACTCAAACGACATATCAGCCTGCAAATGTGTCAAGCAAACCTTTTATGTGGAAAACTAAAGGCCATCGTTGCCATCCGTCTGTCTCTAAAACATTCGGAACCGATGCTCAATGCAATCTGCAAACAGTATTATGCCGCGAAATACATGAGCCATTGTCTGTCCTCCACGGCATCTGCCGGCGGCACTGGGGGATCCTTTCCAGAATGAACATCATAGCTCGCTTGACCATGTTTGCATGAGATCACCTGCGAACTGTTGTTTTCCCTCGGGTGATGGCCACAGCACAAACAGCGGCGAAAGATGGCAAAGGTATGTGAATAGGTCCATAAATTGCCATAAACATGTCTGTTAGGGAATCGTTTCTTTCTGGTCAAACCCAAAAGTGCCAAACCAAAAACCATAGCGCGTCCTCGTTTGGAACTTGGAGGAGCCGTCGCCTCTGAAACCTTGGAAAAGCACCTATCCGTTCAGATTGAGTTCCAAACACTTGCCAAGCACGGTATTGTTTTTTCTCAAATGTGGCAAGCTTTCAGGTTTCGAAACCGGTTGAGTCGGTCGAGCCCTGATCCAAAGGGAGAAAGCTCTGAGATGCCCACCATGTGCCCACGGAGGGTTTCAACTCAAACGACATATCAGCCTGCAAATGTGTCAAGCAAACCTTATATGTGGAAAACTAAAGGCCATCGTTGCCATCCGTCTGTCTCTAAAACATTCGGAACCGATGCTCAATGCAATCTGCAAACAGTATTATGCCGCGAAATACATGAGCCATTGTCTGTCCTCCACGGCATCTGCCGGCGGCACTGGGGGATCCTTTCCAGAGTGAACATCATAGCTCGCTTGACCATGTTTGCATGAGATCACCTGCGAACTGTTGTTTTCCCTCGGGTGATGGCCACAGCACAAACAGCGGCAAAAAATGCCAAAGGTATGTGAATAGGTCCATAAATTGCCATAAACATGTCTGTTAGGGAATCGTTTCTTTCTGGTCAAACCCAAAAGTGCCAAACCAAAAACCATAGCGCGTCCTCGTTTGGAACTTGGAGGAGCCGTCGCCTCTGAAACCTTGGAAAAGCACCTATCCGTTCAGATTGAGTTCCAAACACTTGCCAAGCACGGTATTGTTTTTTCTCAAATGTGGCAAGCTTTCAGGTTTCGAAACCGGTTGAGTCGGTCGAGCCCTGATCCAAAGGGAGAAAGCTCTGAGATGCCCACCATGTGCCCACGGAGGGTTTCAACTCAAACGACATATCAGCCTGCAAATGTGTCAAGCAAACCTTATATGTGGAAAACTAAAGGCCATCGTTGCCATCCGTCTGTCTCTAAAACATTCGGAACCGATGCTCAATGCAATCTGCAAACAGTATTATGCCGCGAAATACATGAGCCATTGTCTGTCCTCCACGGCATCTGCCGGCGGCACTGGGGGATCCTTTCCAGAATGAACATCATAGCTCGCTTGACCATGTTTGCATGAGATCACCTGCGAACTGTTGTTTTCCCTCGGGTGATGGCCACAGCACAAACAGTGGCAAAAAATGCCAAAGGTATGTGAATAGGTCCATAAATTGCCATAAACATGTCTGTTAGGGAATCGTTTCTTTCTGGTCAAACCCAAAAGTGCCAAACCAAAAACCATAGCGCGTCCTCGTTTGGAACTTGGAGGAGCCGTCGCCTCTGAAACCTTGGAAAAGCACCTATCCGTTCAGATTGAGTTCCAAACACTTGCCAAGCACGGTATTGTTTTTTCTCAAATGTGGCAAGCTTTCAGGTTTCGAAACCGGTTGAGTCGGTCGAGCCCTGATCCAAAGGGAGAAAGCTCTGAGATGCCCACCATGTGCCCACGGAGGGTTTCAACTCAAACGACATATCAGCCTGCAAATGTGTCAAGCAAACCTTATATGTGGAAAACTAAAGGCCATCGTTGCCATCCGTCTGTCTCTAAAACATTCGGAACCGATGCTCAATGCAATCTGCAAACAGTATTATGCCGCGAAATACACGAGCCATTGTCTGTCCTCCACGGCATCTGTCGGCGGCACTGGGGGATCCTTTCCAGAATGAACATCATAGCTCGCTTGACCATGTTTGCATGAGATCACCTGCGAACTGTTGTTTTCCCTCGGGTGATGGCCACAGCACAAACAGTGGCAAAAAATGCCAAAGGTATGTGAATAGGTCCATAAATTGCCATAAACATGTCTGTTAGGGAATCGTTTCTTTCTGGTCAAACCCAAGAGTGCCAAACCGAAAACCATAGCGCGTCCTCGTTTGGAACTTGGAGGAGCCGTCGCCTCTGAAACCTTGGAAAAGCACCTATCCGTTCAGATTGAGAAGCACGGTATTGTTTTTTCTCAAATGTGGCAAGCTTTCGGGTTTCGAAACAGGTTGAGTCGGTCGAGCCCTGATCCAAAGGGAGAAAGCTCTGAGATGCCCACCATGTGCCCACGGAAGGTTTCAACTTAAACGACATCTCAGCCTGCAAATGTGTCAAGCAAACCTCATTGAAAACTAAAGACCATCGTTGACATCCGATGTTCGAAGCTGCAATCGGAGCAGTGCTGTGAATCACAGAAGCTATTGTCTGTCCTTGGCTTCTGGTTGCATCTGCAAAACAGGTGCAGGCTCCTTTCAAGCATGAAAGTAAAGCTCCTTTGACGACCTTTGAGATCTCCTTTGACCAATTTCATGCAGTTTGTTTTTCGTCGTGGCAAGTGTGTACATTTGTCAATGAATCAGGTAAACATGTTTACTTTGGAATCGTTTCTTTCACGTCAAGCCCGAAAGTGAGAGACTATATTTTGTTGGGGGAATGATGTTGCTTATCAGTAGTCACTGGTGGCAACAATATATGTGAATGGCCCGCTTCTATACGTCTTTGGACATCACTTAATCAAAGTCAATTGCTTACTTTTTTTGACAATCATGAACTTCAATGAAGCTGCACGATGAAAAGCAGCTGCACGATGAAAAAGTAAAACAGCGACTGTCAGGTTTTCCTTTTTTCAGTCATGAACGGTCCGTCCTCCAACATCTCCAACGCCATATCTTGACTTCCCAGCTGAACTCGCTGAGGGGTCTCCGGGGCTGTTGTGGGCGTCATTGCCTGCCAGCAGTTTGAAGTTCCTCCCCGCCACCCACTTGGGGCGCAGTGTTGTGTCACCGTTTATGGGAAACCTATGGAAAACCAAATGAATCCAGACATCAGCGAGGGGCCCACGTTTAAATTTATAGAGCCATAGCCAAGCCATCCCAAACTCATGTGTGGTACAGTGGTACAGCACATGACATTGGGTCCATCTTGGTGGTAAACTACGCTACAGATTCCAGAAATGGATTGTTGTGGATAATGAAGTCATGGCAAGTCCTTCAGCCGCAGTGTAATGATCAGCACGCTCTCAGCCGCTCTTTGCGATAGCAGTTGTCTGCCAAGCTCGTACGGCTGGTCTTAAAAAATGGAAATTGTAACTGTATGTTGCTTGGTATTGATGAGAACCATTGCATATTTATTGCTTTCATGAAGGTAAGCAAACGACTACTACTTTTAGTATCCCGATTCTAGCAATAAATTAAACGCAAACGTTTCTTGCCCCGGAAGATCCGAAGATCATCAAGTGAAGCAAGGCTCTGCGCAAAAACGCCTTCTGATCGATGAGGAGGTGGTTTCATCCAAGTGGAAGCGGAGGTTGTAAAGGTATATGGCATATGAGCCATGGTCGAAAATGGTGTTCAATCACCCATCTTTGGGCATGGTCATCAAGTCATCAATCTGGATAAATCAAGGCCATTGGAGATCGTTCCCCTCATCAATCCCCTCCCAGTAACGTCGCAGTGAGGTCGCAGTAATTGATCCAGATAAGGGATTTCATCTATAGAAGGGGGAAACAATGAGTAAGGCAACCTACAAAAACTTTGAAGCTTTGCGATTATCCCTGTACACATTCCACATCATTCCACCGTTTCCCGGCCAGTCATCCTCCTGGGGAGCCATCCCCGACTCGGGAGCCAGAATCTGTTCACCTTGGTGTGGAAGAGCTGCGGTAAAATTGGATCACCAGTCACAGTATAGCCTAGCTATGTTATGATTAGCCGTGATCAACTAACCATATGAACTATTCACCTTTGTTTTTTGGATATTGAACTACAATTAGGCAAGGTTATTAATCACTGAATAATGGGGATTAACCTCCAAGCAGCAAAGCAGGCAAAATCTGCTGATACGTCTGAGAAGATGAGATAAGATGAGTCAAAATGAGATGTCAAGACTGTCAACTCCTCACAGTTCGATGTTCTTGGGATCATCGTCCAATTGTATTCCGTTTCCCGCCCGTCTGAGTGAATGGCGCAAACTTGAAATTTGCATGCCTTGAAACTCTACGGCATGCGTAAGAGCACATATCCTTAGGTAACACAAAGTAAACCCTCTCAAAACACTCCGTTGATCCATGTAGATCCATGTCATCTCCCACTACCCTGGGAGCGAGTAAAGTGCCCCTGGGTTCCGAGTCCCGCGGAGTCACAGGGGCACGTGCTGCACCCATGTTTGGGTGCATACAACATCAGAACTGTCGAAGGTCAAACACATTTTGTGTATATCTTGATATATCTTGTATGGGTTTACAATGTTAAGCCCCGGGGCATCTTTGTCAGGGTTGCGCAGGGATGATGAGACTGGGAACCATTCACCAGAATACAAAGGTCAGAATGCCATGTCCGGTAGCACCATGCGTCACGGTCTAGATTCACAAGTGAGCAGTAAAGATATTGATCAGAAAAAACAATCATGGAATATGTTAAATATGTATGTATAAATAAACACAGTTTATAAGTAGATACCTAGATATGTATACTAACATGACATAGTATATATATATATACATATCTTATTGGATATAGAACCGAGAGCAGTGGTATAAGAACGGAAAAACTATCAATGGTATAAAACTCATTGCAAATGGGTAATAGTCAGAAATAGTCATCCATCCCTTAATAGGAATATCACCACTACTTTGTCACCACCAAGGCCAAGCATGCACAGAGAGAGGTGACCATCCTTCTTATGAGCAAACAAACCATCAGGCCACAAAGGCCACAATGACCATGGCACACATGGGTCACCGACACTTGTCTTGCCGAGCAGCTGTAGTTGCTGTTTTTTTAACATCGCCTTCACCTCCTAGTCAAAAGAAATGTGGGTTCGTCTGAAAGTAGGGTACCCCCGACCCCCAAATGATTAGTTTCCAAATATATTAAACAAGTTCTTTGAATGATATACTTCAGGCTTGGACACACCCATGTCGATACCGTTTGCCTCGTGTCATACCTGGTGCATCATGCTAGGGGGGTCTAGCTCGGATATGGCCCATATTATGGCTCAGTTGGCTTTGAAGATCAGGATGTTCCAGGATGTCTGAGCAGGATTCAATACCTGCAAAAATATACAATTTTCTCAATGGTAGATGAATAAAACGGGGTTCCCAGTTCATGGATGACTATCACCAATTCAATAGGATAGCATAACTGGATAACCTCCTTTTTGGGTCATCAATGTCATCAACTAACGGGGGTTTAGCCACCACTGCTCACTTGTGGGCGTCCTCGAGACTTTCGAAAACGGCATGTGCCATTTCCATGGCTGCGAAGGAACAAAGGTGACGTGTTCGAATTGAAAAGCTGCGTGTACACGATCTATGTTCGAACCCGGTGCCAACTGGTAGTTCCTCACCCTAACATGTCGTACATGTATGTGCATGTCAATCAATAGAATATATATATATATATATACACATATTATTTATATATACATATTATTTATGTATATATACATATTATTTATTTATAAATATTATTTATATATATATTATATATATTATATATATATTATTATATATATATATTATTTATATATATATATCGAACATATTTATGAAAATAGTTTGATGATAGAATCTTCTATCCTGAAAATCCTAGGAAAGACAACCAAACAATCCTATTTTAGACTTCTAGATGCTATGATATGTGTGTAAAAGCACTATCAACTATTACCCTCTGGTTTCTACGTTTACATAACTATGGAAAATCACCATGCTATTAGTGGGTAAATAAACGAACTGTCTATGGCCATGTTCAATAGTTTTCTGTATGTTTACCAGAGGGCCTGATCCGATTCTGCTGGTAACACAGCGGAAATGGGTCATTTAGTTCACTGATTTGCCATAAAGCATGATGATTCTGGAAATAGCTCTATGAAATTCACATCATTTTTTTTTGGAAACCCAATGATAAGCCATCCAATCAACCAACCCTTTTCGGGGCATTATTTTACATCATCCCAAGGGGTTTTATTGGATCAGTTGAACCCCCCGCCTGCATCGCAGCGCGCGAAGGAAGGTCCTGACGTGCGGGACCCAGCTGGATACCAAGCCATTGTTAGTATGAACCATGTAGAGGTGGATTTTCTATAGATTTATCTGTATTTACATGTATCTGTATCATGTATTTACGATATATATATATATAATATATTGTACGAGTAATATATATATATATATGCACCACAAATACACACTATTGCATACTCTCGAACACAAATCAAAGATATAAGTGTACATATATATATACATCAATACAAGCGTGCAGTTATGTTAATATACCGTAATTGTATATTTATATATATAATGTGTATAGATACCAGGTAATCTCAAAAAGAGATGGTGTTTTCCCCTCAATTTCCAGGTGTCCAACTGTTCTGGATGCACATCCACGTGGGGCGGAGGTGAAAAAGGAGTATGTCATGCTCCCCGTTACATACTCTGAACATTTAAGACTTTGCTATGAAAAATCACAAGCTGAAAAATAGGTAAATATATAGATACTACTTAATGAATGGGCCATCTATATTATATTGTAGCGAATTTAAATTACCAGCGGGTAAACCCTATATATCTATATATCCGCCGACCCCGGCCTTCGCCAAGGCCGGGGCGGCGCCTGGGACCACCGCAGGTGTGGAACTTTTCCGCGCACATAGCCCTCTCTCGTTAGGGCATTCGAGGCAGCTGCCACCACGCCCTCTGGCCGGCAGCCTTTGCTGTTCCAGGGTTGCAGCCTGCCCTTTGCCTGCACATCCCTCGCGGCAGCTGCCACCAAGCCCTCTGGCCGTCAGCGTTCCAGCATTGCAGCCTGCCCTTTGCCTGCACTGAGCCCTCTCTTGTTCCCCAACAAGCCCAACACGCGCCACTGCCGCACGCAAAAGCCACCACAAGGCCACAGCGCTCCAAAACCCTCCAAACCCTCCAAAAGTCCGGCCAGCTCCGCAAGGAAAAGGTACCCCAACAAGCCCAACACGCGCCACTCCCGCACGCAAAAGCCACCACAAGGCCACAGCAATGGCACAAGGGCACCCCACGGCCGCAGCAATGGCTTCTTATACGCGTTCAAGGCTGCCGTTTGCCAGGCCTCAAACGCTCCAAAACCCTCCAAACCCTCCAAAAGTCCGGCCAGCTCCGCAAGGAAAAACACATCCCTCGCGGCAGCTGCCACCAAGCCCTCTGGCCGTCAGCGTTCCAGCATTGCAGCCTGCCCTTTGCCTGCACTGAGCCCTCTCTTGTTCCCCAACAAGCCCAACACGCGCCACTGCCGCACGCAAAAGCCACCACAAGGCCACAGCAATGGCTCAAGGGCACCCCACGGCCGCAGCAATGGCTTCTTATACGCGTTCAAGGCTGCCGTTTGCCAGGCCTCAAACGCTCCAAAACCCTCCAAACCCTCCAAAAGTCCGGCCAGCTCCGCAGGGAACAGGTACCCCAACAAGCCAACACGCGCCACTCCCGCACGCAAAAGCCACCACAAGGCCACAGCAATGGCTCAAGGGCACCCCACGGCCGCAGCAATGGCTTCTTATACGCGTTCAAGGCTGCCGTTTGCCAGGCCTCAAACCCTCCAAACCCTCCAAAAGTCCGGCCAGCTCCGCAAGGACTCCGCAAGGTACCCCAACAATGGCCCAACAAGCCCAACACGCGCCACTCCCGCACGCAAAAGCCACCACAAGGCCACAGCAATGGCTCAAGAGCACCCCACGGCCGCAGCAATGGCTTCTTATACGCGTTCAAGGCTGCCGTTTGCCAGGCCTCAAACGCCTCCAAAACCCTCCAAACCCTCCAAACCCTCCAAAAGTCCGGCCAGCTCCGCAGGGAAAAGGTACCCCAACAAGCCCAACACGCGCCACTGCCGCACGCAAAAGCCACCACAAGGCCACAGCAATGGCTCAAGGGCACCCCACGGCCGCAGCAATGGCTTCTTATACGCGTTCAAGGCTGCCGTTTGCCAGGCCTCAAACCCCCCAAAACCCTCCAAACCCTCCAAAAGTCCGGCCAGCTCCGCAGGGAAAAGGTACCCCAACAAGCCCAACACGCGCCACTCCCGCACGCAAAAGCCACCACAAGGCCACAGCAATGGCTCAAGGGCACCCCACGGCCGCAGCAATGGCTTCTTATACGCGTTCAAGGCTGCCGTTTGCCAGGCCTCAAAGTCCAAAAGGCCCAGCTCCGCAGGGAAAAGGTACCCCAACAAGCCCAACACGCGCCACGCACGCAAAAGCCACCACAAGGCCACAGCAATGGCTCAGGGGCACCCCACGGCCGCAGCAATGGCTTCTTATACGCGTTCAAGGCTGCCGTTGCCAGCCTCAAACGCCCCCCAAAACCCTCCAAACCCTCCAAAAGTCCGGCCAGCTCCGCAAGGAAAAGGTACCCCAACAAGCCCAACACGCGCCACTCCCGCACGCAAAAGCCACCACAAGGCCACAGCAATGGCTCAAGGGCACCCCACGGCCGCAGCAATGGCTTCTTATACGCGTTCAAGGCTGCCGTTTGCCAGGCCTCAAACGCTCCAAAACCCTCCAAAACCCTCCAAACCCTCCAAAAGTCCGGCCAGCTCCGCAGGAAAAAGGTACCCCAACAAGCCCAACACGCGCCACTCCCGCACGCAAAAGCCACCACAAGGCCACAGCAATGGCTCAAGAGCACCCCACGGCCGCAGCAATGGCTTCTTATACGCGTCACGGCTGCGTTTGCCAGGCCTCAAACGCTCCAAAACCCTCCAAAACCCTCCAAAACCCTCCAAACCCTCCAAAAGTCCGGCCAGCTCCGCAGGGAAAAGGTACCCCAACAAGCCCAACACGCGCCACTGCCGCACGCAAAAGCCACCACAAGGCCACAGCAATGGCTCAAGGGCACCCCACGGCCGCAGCAATGGCTTCTTATACGCGTTCAAGGCTGCCGTTTGCCAGGCCTCAAACGCTCCAAAACCTCCAAAAAAGTCCGGCCAGCTCCGCAAGGAAAAGGTACCCCAACCCCAACAAGCCCAACACGCGCCACTCCCGCACGCAAAAGCCACCACAAGGCCACAGCAATGGCTCAAGGGCACCCCGGCCGCAGCAATGGCTTCTTATACGCGTTCAAGGCTGCCGTTTGCCAGGCCTCAAACGCTCCAAAACCCTCCAAACCCTCCAAAAGTCCGGCCAGCTCCGCAGGGAAAGGTACCCCAACAAGCCCAACACGCGCCACTCCCGCACGCAAAAGCCACCACAAGGCCACAGCAATGGCTCAAGGGCACCCCACGGCCGCAGCAATGGCTTCTTATACGCGTTCAAGGCTGCCGTTTGCCAGGCCTCAAACGCTCCAAAACCCTCCAAAACCCTCCAAACCCTCAAAACCCTCCAAAAGTCCGGCCAGCTCCGCAGGGAAAAGGTACCCCAACAAGCCCAACACGCGCCACTGCCGCACGCAAAAGCCACCACAAGGCCACAGCAATGGCTCGAGGGCACCCCACGGCCGCAGCAATGGCTTCTTATACGCGTTCAAGGCTGCCGTTTGCCAGGCCTCAAACGCTCCAAAACCCTCCAAACCCTCCAAACCCTCCAAAAGTCCGGCCAGCTCCGCAGGGAAAAGGTACCCCAACAAGCCCAACACGCGCCACTCCCGCACGCAAAAGCCACCACAAGGCCACAGCAATGGCTCAAGAGCACCCCACGGCCGCAGCAATGGCTTCTTATAGGCGTTCAAGGCTGCCGTTTGCCAGGCCTCAAACCCTCCAAAACCCTCCAAACGCTCCAAAAGTTCGCATAGCTCCGCAGGGACAAGGTACCCCAACAAGCCCAACACGCGCCACTTCCGCACGCAAAAGCCACCACAAGGCCACAGCAATGGCTCAAGGGCACCCCACGGCCGCAGCAATGGCTTCTTATAGGCGTTAAACCCTCCAAACCTTCCAACTCCTCCAAAAGTCCGCCCAACTCCGATGCAAAAGGTACCCCAACAGGCGCCACGCCCGCACGCAAAAGCGACGACAAGGCCACAGGCTTGAGAAGCAAACGGCCATATGTCTGTCTTGCTGTCCGTCTCCCTCTCTCTCTCTACAGTACCCCCCCTCCAATTAGGGGGGTCGGCGGCACCTGGGCGCTAGCCCATTCTATTAGTATAACCCCATGAGATATCTAAACAGGATCGACCACAAGCGGTTGGACTTGCTTATGCATCACCAATGCTCTTCCAGCCCAGTGCTGTAGTGATCTGTTGCTCTCCTGGAAGTTTGATTTTTTAGATACCAACTCTAGTACAGGATGGGGCCCTCCAGTTATAAGTTGGTTTATACCCCCATCTAAATATAGTTATAAGTATCATACACTATTGTTATTATCTGTTATTATAGTTATAAGCCAACTTAGCTAACTGTGGGGCCCCATCCTGTATGAAGCCTCCAGTTTTGGGTAAGACATGGAACACCAGTATTGAGCTTCACCACCTGGTCAAGGGAAAACCACCAAAATCCCATGGTTCCGGATACACCGACCTTTACAACTCCCATGGAAAGGCAGCATCCTCAACTAAGTGCACTGTTGTATTGCCCGCATGGCTCCAATTGAAGATTGGTTTGAAATGTTGAGAGGACTTCAAAGTAATAACAGCAACAATAACCACGATCATGAAAAAGAAAACACTAATCAGAAATAATTGATAAATATTGACAATAGCAATGGTTGGAGGTGTTAGGTGGTAAACAACTCCCAAGCTGTGCCAAGTTTATTGTGCATGTTTGGGGAAACTCAGGACTGCAACTGCAACCGTAAGTACGATTGTTATGAATTCAACTTGTAAAGTGCATGCCAAATTACTACTCATACGTCCCTACTGTTCCCTACTGTTCAATAATTTCATAACGTTTAATATTGTTCACTAAAAAGACCATGTGCTTGGAAATGTTGAGATGTTCTTGATACAAAATCTTGCGCCATGCTCTCAGCTACACGAAATCGCTGCGAAAGGTTGCTGTCGATTGCTTTCCATTTAACCAGCAAAAGAGTGTAGCAAGAGACAAATCGACCAGAAGCTTCAAGCAGAAGCTGCGAACATGGCCTCTGAGACCGGAACAAAAGAGCAAAATTCTAATAGTCTTCCAGACATGTATCCGTTTATGGATGGTTGTTTGTTTCACCCCATCACAACAAAACAAAATGTGATATGATGTAGTCAGCTTCTGCGAATCCGATGCCGGCAATAGGGGTCATATGGCTAAATAATGTAGATAAAACACCAGGCACCAACCATTTATGTACCATTTACCTATATGGTAGGTATGGTTAAAAAACACCAGGCACCAACCATTTACAGTATCTTACCTTATGCAGGAAATGACAGATTTTGACCAAATCGTCCCTTTGGGAGAGATGGTGAATTCTCATTGCTATCGTGACGTTGTGATGTCGTTGGAATTTCCCAACCGAATTTCCCACTTCAAAAGGTTTTCTCATCAGTTCTATTCACACTTTTGTTGGTTCAACCACCATTTTTCTTACCATTAGATCATTGATTCATGATATCCCCATTAATTAGATCCCGCATGGATTACTGGAAGATCTGCATCCAGACACAGCTCCAGCGTCACTTTCTGATGTCAATGTCAAGTTCCGTGAAAATGTGTGCCATTCCGTGTGTGGCTGCGAAAAACATGATGACATCTATTGCCATATTGCGTAACGACCATGGCTTCTAGAAAGCATCAACGGAAGATAGTTTTCTCTGCCACCAAACACGAGAATTGTGCACAGAAGATAAAGCGAAAATACTGCACAGTTGTGCAGGAACTGCTGTCTGATGGCAAAACACCCAAACCAAATAGTACAGTATTTGTCAACATCACAGGCTCCTTCTTCATTTTGAATGCTCGTCGTCGATCCAAGTGCAAATTATGTTGCACATTTAAACAAATAGCAATCGGTCCAAATTGAGGGTATACCATAGAAAAAAACAATCATTGATTTCCAGTACAACAATACAACCAGATCTCATGTAATTAAATAGGATTGTTGGAATCTACAACATGCTTGACCCATTTTAAACTTCCGAATCTCAGCACAATACGTGTTTTGTCAACAGTGGCCCTGGCCCAGTGGCCACTACGGAACCTGCTGCCCAGTCCCGAGCCAGGCCGGTCAAGCCACAATCTGCCAGGGGAATCACCAGCTGGGGTTCATGATGCATCAGAATCTAGATAAATAACCTCTTCAGCGGGGAAACCATTGTTATCTGGTTGGTGGTTTCAACCAACCCCTCTGAAAAATGATGGAGTTCGTCAGCTGGGATGATGACATTCCCAACTGAATGGAAAGTCATAAACAATGTTCCAAATTGACCACCATTTAGTTCGTTGATTTACCTATTCAAAATGGTGAATTTCCAGTTCGCTATGTAAACGTAGAAACCAGAGGGTAACCTCTTACCCTCTGGTAAACTAACACAACTATAGGAAATCACCATGTTTAATGGGAAAATCCACTATAAATGGTCATTTTCAATAGCTACGTTAAATTACCAGAGGGTATCCCCAAATATAGGGATGACCTGATGTCCTGCAACTTTTCGAATTCAGGGACTTTTTTGGGGATTCGTTGCAGGAAAAAAAAGCCACAACTGGCGCAAGTTCCGGGAAGTCTCTGAATTCAAAAGCCCTGTTAGTTGATGACTATTAGGGATTATAATACTATAATTATCCCATATTATCCCTAATAATCCCCTGTGTCTCGAAAAAAAAATCCCTAGTGTATTATCATTATTATCTGTATTTGGATTATAATCCCTGTGATTATTCGAAATTATCACACTCCTCCAGGATCCACTATAGGTAAATCCCCAAAAAATCACCATCCACTCGACTTGATCCAGGCTCCGCCTTCAGCACCTCGTCCAGCTTGGACATGGCCTCGGAGGCGCACATACCCTCTGGTAAACTAACATAGCTATTGAAAATGGCCATTTATAGTGGATTTTCCCATTAAAAATGGTGATGTTCCATAGTTATGTTAAATTACCAGAGGGTAAAAAAAATGAACTTGACATGTTGTATCACATGCATCATCCTAAAACCTATTAATGGTTGGTGTGTTTTTTGTTTTTAACAGGCCTGTTGAGGGTTCATCATCCGATATTTCTTGAGGGAACAACATGTAACAACATGTAACAACTATTTTCTTATGAAAAGACAAAAACGAACAATCAAACTGGGCAAGTCCGAGTAGTTGGACTTTGGAGTTTTTGGGAACATGCAGAAATGTTGCTACTGGATTTTTTGTGTGGAATTTGCATCATAAGTCATCATATATCGTGATATACATAGAAATATATATATATACATATATGGGTAAATTATAATAATTCACCAACCTGAATTAAGGCCATTTGGGGATGATTTCCCATATTAACCATGATTCCAGTGAGGGAGAACAGTGAGGTCGTTGTAATTTACCCAGATATATGCTACTTAGAGCCCTAACAAGACCATCCCAAGATGTTCCCTTCGTGAGATCGCCGCCCATCGTTTTTTTGGGGCCAGGCAGTCTGAACGAAGAGGATGGGCTCCTGAATCTTCACCTGAATTAGCACCAACAATTAGGGGAGTTCAACCTGTTTCACCAAGCAACATGGTTAATAATGGTTAATCATGGTTAATATATGGTTATTATATGGCTATTATATGGTTAATGATGGTTAATAATCATCTGGTTGGTGGTTCAATAAACATCTTGAAAAATGATGGAGTTCGTCAGTTGGGATGATGACATTCCCAATATATATATATATATATATAGAAAAATAATCCAAATGTTCCAAAGCACCAATCAGTATCAAAGTGTATTGGCCAAAGTTATTGGCTGCGAATCAACCAATCTGGAGAATTCGAAGCCTAAATCCCAATGCTTTCTCCAGTGTGACCTGTCACTGACAGGGCTTTCTCTCCAAGACTTAACCAGACTTAGACTTTTAGAGCCCCGATGACTTTCGCTTGGTGTCAACATTGGGTGCCAGTGAAACCTTCGCTATACTGATATTATATATATATATATATTTTATATATATATAATTATATATATATTATATAATTATATATATATTATATATAATTATATATATATATGTGGACCCATATACATACATCAATTTTGGTTTGCTAGAAACATGCCGGGTAGCACTGTGACATGTGTTGTATAATCCCCGATTGTTCAGTATCGGGCCGTGTAAAACTTGGGGTCCCCCTTTGGATGTGTGTACCTGTGTTCCCAGTCTATCTGTAGGTCTCTGAATTTTCTGACCCATCATCACATCATCATCAGTACCGTGTTGCTTAATTACATATCTAACTGATTTGACATGTTTTGTGGGTCGAACCGTATGATACAAACCAACCAATTTTCCTTGATTGTTAATCAATCTGCCTGTTGGTTGTGTGCCCACCATTACCCACCCAGATTGAGCTTGTTTTCCCTTGAAACAAGCCGTGTCCAGCTCTTGCCTTGCCCTCGCCGGGCTGCCCATAGACGTAGACGTTCGACTGGCAGGACTGCTTGGGTGTTCAGTGTGGAGCTTCTATTTTGCTTGAGCAGACCTAGACACATCCTAGACGCTGAATCTTGCCCCAAATTTTTGAACCCCCATTGTGTTGGTACCTGATGCTACTTTTACTTGTCTTGATTGGACACTTGGAGGCTTTACCATATGGGTCGGCGCATCCCCTGTAAACCTGCATCCGGAATGGAACCCATCACAATATATCACCATCTACAGAAGAATCTAAATGTATACAAATGTGTACAACTATATAACTACAGGCCAAATCAATAAAACAGTTGGAGGGGGGCTCTCAATTGACCAGGAGTTGATAGGTCTGCGCACTTGTGGAGCATCGTCAAGGGCATGTCCGAGCAATCTCACTTGATCTACCGAAACACTAAACATCTGCTGCAAACTTGCGTGTACTTGTTCTTTCAAAAGAAACATGCACCGTATTTGCAAGTCACCACCCACAAAACGGTGGCTTAACCATTCAAAACAAGGGTTGCCCTCTGGTAATTTAACATAGCTATTGAAAATGGTCATTTACAGTTGATTTAAATATTAAACATGTTGATTTTCCATAGCTATGTCAGTTTACCAGAGGTCATTCGAACTTCAGGTATGCACTGACTGAGTGCTGGACATAAGAAATCTCATCTGTGGTCTGCAGGGCCCTTGACAGTGGCAAAATGTGGAGGATTGACATGTGCAGTATCCCAACATGTTCATACTATTTGAGGTTTTCATAAATGGGGATACCCCAAAATAGAGGGTTTATACTGGAAATCCTATCTAGTTAATCTATTTCAATCCTATCTAGTTCTTACTGTACTTGTATTGAGTGTATTTTCGAGGGATACCAATAGAACAGACCGGTGTGGCAATATGTGTCAGGTCCAGATTGCCTCCGCCCGCGGATTTCCTCCGTCCAAATGATCCAAGTGAAGATTTAGCCCCCCATCTCCGGCGCACAGAAGGTGCTTCCGTTCGCCCCCAGTTACAGCCCGGAAATGTCTGGGATCTCACCCAGTCCCCACCGGGGCATCGTGCTATATCTACATCCTGGTTGCTGCCCCCTGAGTTGGCGAACGAGGCGATCTCATCCATCCTCTCCAAGACTTCCACTTCACCCAAGCTGTCGCCCAACTGCGACACGTGGTTTTTTGGGGAGATGGAGATCATCCAAGCTATGGACAGGTTGAAAAATAGCAACACCAACCGGGTAAGATTGGTAAGCCAGGTTCATTAAATGGATCTAAATGGCATACAGTTAGTCAGTGACCATGGAAACCCTTTGGTACGAGCCTGTATCATGGTAGCTGCATGAAGATGTCGTTTTTTTTCGGTGGGATGTGCTGGTGCTATCAACTTGGGTTAACAGCCACATACTGTATGCCCAAAGTTGGAGTCGTGTTGAGTGTTGGGATATTGACCTTGCCACACCTGTAGTGGTATTGGTGGCAACTATCCATGATTAACTCATAAGAAGCCACCTATAACCCACATATGTCTGTTGATTTTCGCTGCAAAACCCGTTTCAACCATTTTCAACCACCGTTTTTGTTGGATGCCCTCAAAAAACCCATCCCCAGACCCTGCCCAGCAGCTCGCCTTCTTCAGGGTGTTTTTTTCGAGGCCCAAGTTCCACAAGAAGGACACGGGCGGCGTCTGGCGGATTCAACCGGAGATCGAGGTCTGGGGCTGATGCCTTGAAATGGTGATGAATCTAAGGTGAAAAACCCATGGAAATCGTACAGTTTGGCTTCAGACAGGTTCTGATCCAAGTACAGTATATAAATGATTACAAATATATTATACATATACACATATATATAATATATATACATGGTTTTTAGCATGTGTTGGCTTGTTGTTGCTACAGTTTCTGATCGAATTGAAGTTGGGGTCGGCGGCGAGCGACTGGGAGATGTATGGGATACTGGAAGTCCATCCGTTTTAAGGGTAATCCATGGCAACCCCAAATCTGATGTTGTAAAATGTTATAAATCCATCAAACAATCCACCATTTTGGCTGGTTCAATCCTCATGAAACGATGAAAATCAATCCTCAGGCGCCTTGAGGACTGAGCGCACACCGTCCCACTTCTGTTCCTGCCATGAACGAGATTTTGGTGGAAGAGTGGCCCTGCCAGGGTGGAAGTTTTAACAACCTATAGAGTCTATAAGGTGGAGAAACATCTGAACATGTTGATTGATCTTGCCATAAATTAGTTGTACCGTACTTCAGGATGGTTTCGTAGCTGTAGGACCTGATCTGATGACATCTGGCGGTTCAACCTGGTGGATGACCTGGAGGACCTGTCTTCCAGGAGCCCCAAGAATCGCATCTGGCTGGTGGTTGACCTACCCTTGGTTGGTAATATACTATTCATATATGGCTAATATTAATGGTTATTATATGGTTAATGATGGTGAATAATCATCTGGTTGGTGGTTTCAACCAACCCCTCTGAAAAATGATGGGGTGAAAGTCAGTTGGGATGATGACATTAGTCAGAATATGAATATGATGACATTCCCAACTGAATGGAAAAATATGGAAAAATACATGTTCCAAAACACCAACCAGGAATAGACCCAAAGTCAAGACGAAGGGTTCGATTGGCGCTTCATATTTCTCGGGCTATGGGGTTGCTCTATGGTCATTGGAGTGCACTCCAAATAACCAGAGATCATCAGAGACATCCACAATCAAGCTGATACTGAAAATTGATGAAAATTGTGAGACCCTGGGAGTGGGAGTTTGATATACATATATATATATATATATAATTTAATGCTATTTTGATATCTGAAACAATCCGTGATTTTTGGTGATATTTAGCGGATTCCTTGTTTACAGTATATATGCGGTGAGAATTTCGGTCCGCAAACGTCCTTCAACATCTTGGGGACCGGTTCCAGCAATTCCCGATCCTTCCTCAGTGGTTCAAGGCTTTTATATGAGTGTCCAAACATGGAATGAAACCATTTCATCCACTGGTTCAACATCACTTTATCCCTAGTGCTCCAAATACCATCTGAGATGTACCCCCAAAGACAACTCCAAATACAGTCTCAGACGAAGGCCTTTGGAGCTGTAGGGCATCTTTTGAATGTACCACAAACCGTGGAGGACTCCGGGGCTGAGGCCATCGTGATGCAAAATTCGTCATCATCCAGGGATGGTGACAATGGTGACAAGCTGGCCCAGTCGAAATAGTTGATTTACCCGGCTAGATAGCATGGTGTTTTTCCATAGTTATGTGTGGGTAGCTGGAACTCCCTGCATGAATTTATGGACGGAACGGGATTGGAATCCACCACAATTCTATATATGCTCTTTGCCCCCCACAAAAAACTATGGTAAAGCTTCAAACACTTCATGTTTGGGAGACAGGTTCTTACATCAGAACAGTGAAGAAGACTCACAGCACCAATGTAAACCAAGCATTCCCCAATCATAGCGTCACAGTCACAGTCTGATTAAATCGGAGTGTTTTACTACAACCATTCCTAAATATTCCTAAACTATCAACGGTCAACCCAACCCTACCGTGCATCTGTTTAAGCTGGTTATGTAGAACTATATATAGTCCTTATAAAAATCTCAAACAGAAGCATCAAACTAGCCATCACCACTTGGTTCGAAGCCATCTCGGGCCAGCGACTTCAGCAAAGCAATCAGCTCCTCATTGCTCTCAGCGTTGGCGGCCACTGGCCTCGACAACGGGGTCGCACAAGGAGGGCGATAAAGGGGGGAAGGGACGTGAGAACCGGAAATGGGGAAGGGGACTTGTTCTAGTTCAGCCTCAGGGTCTCAAACAAGTTTTCTTTTTTCGGGGATCTTATAGATTCTAGATATTTCTAGATCATGTTTTCCCCATATGATGATCAAATGTTCAACTGCCAAAACCATCTTTTGAGTAATATAGCAACCCACAAAAAGGATAGAAAAAGAAGACTTTATCAAAATGACATCACTCTTCCTTTGTGTTAAACTACCCTCTGGCTATTTAACATAGCTATGGAAAATGGCCCATAGAAATAGATTGTTTATGATGATTTCCTTGTTAAACATAGTGATTCTCCATAGCTACGTTACGGTAAATAATCAGAGAGTATATCAAATTCAATCAAATTTCATTCAATCTTTGTTCACCTTCAAATCACCAGTGTGACCCCATTTTTTCAGCCCCAACAAATTGTTCTTCGTAAATCTGCCGACTGAGAAGCCCCGACAGGAAAGCTGCAGCGGAGCTGGAGACAAGCACCTGAAAAGGGCTGTCAGGCTGGAGGAAATGCCTGGGGATGGTCCTTTCATATTTCTGTACTGTATATTTATAGTGTATATTTTATAGTGTATATGTATAGTGTATATATATAATCATAAAGGTATATATATACATTGTGACATAGTATCTGCGTATATACGCATATATGAGATCTATGATCATAAATGTATGTCTGAGTATAAACATAGATAGATATACATAGATAGATATAGATAAGATAAGACAAGGTAAGATAAGATTAGATTAGATAGATAGATGATTTACTGGGATTTTCGGAATCTCCTAATGACATAGTTCATGACCATAAATCATTGAGGATTATATATAACATACCGGTATGCTATATAATTATGTACGGTTGTTCTTTCACATGTCCATGCTGCTAAATATACATATGTCCCTGATAATACCAAACATTGTGTATCACTGCATGTGTATATCTAAGGATATCCACTCCTTGCCAAATACAGTCCTTACCAAATTGGATGCACTCCCTTCCATTGCAGCCTTTCCCAGGAACCAAAACAGTGCCAAACAGTTCAAATAGTTAGGTGGCTCCCCCGAGATTTCATTAGACTTTTAAGCTTTTAGTATATATATATATGTATATGTATCATAAATATATGAGTTCTTAATGATTTAATGGTTAGGTGATGCCCTCGAGTCCTTCAAACAATAACTCAGAGTTCATTAGATTACAATATATCTAGTTATAATGGGTTCTTGTTAACCAACAAATACAACTCAAGAGCACCACCATGGAGCATCCTGAGCCGGGACCGACTTTTGGCACATCCACGTCTGCCACGTGGGAACCGGGAACCGGGTCCGGGCTTTGCCCGTTGGACCCAGCCGAAAATATTGACCGGTCTCCGGTTGTCTTTTTGGGGGTATATCGTCTCTGCTTACCTCCAGTGGTGGACTTCATAAAGTGGATTCATGTGCAGAATATTCAACGATTTTAACATATATGTTAACTTTATCACTGGTTCAAGAGTTCCTGATTTTGCTGCATACTTTACGCACCACCCCAGGAGAAACTTGACATGTGATTTACCTCTGAACTCATTTAGATTGCGATTTTACTGTTCATTACTTACTCATCATTCCTTTTGGGGGTGCTGTAAACGATCTTCGCCAAAACGAGACCGGCCGGTGCCCCAACCCTGCTCTGAAGGAGCATAGCTGGAGAACTCCAGGAATTGATTTGGGGACAATTTGGAGCGAACCTCCTGACGTTAGACAGAAATGAAACCACTAATTGAGCAAATCCAGTGACTTTGTAGATCATCAGTGGTTGATTTTTGTTCATAACCCATAGGATCCATGTATGGTATATATGCTAACATGTGGGGTATATTGATGGTAAATGTTACCATATATAGCATACATGGATCCTATGGGTAATGTGTGAGGCTTCCGGTGATGATTCACGTAATTGGTGTTTCCCCAAATCAACCCAAGACTGACTGCTATGATCGCATCCCTGCTGCCGTGCTGTGGGAGATCCGCCTTTTGGTGGCTCGGCTCGCTAAAGGCTGAGCTTTGCAAGTCACGAGGGTACCGGGAATCATGAGGGTAATATGGCATTGAAACATAGTGAAACGAGTTCTAGGTTCTGAACTGGATATTGAATCATTGAACGATTGTGGAATGTTAGACGCTTACACTCTTTTACAGACTTATCCATGTTTTTGGTGTGGGCGCCTCTAGGAGCGCGCGTGCCTTGCACTATTTTGCACTGTTGTTTCTTTGGGGGGGGTGTTTTTTTTGGGGGTTGGGGGAGGGCTAATAACGTTCTTGGCTGGCCGTCTTACAAGATATGCTCTTGGACTTGCTGCTATGCTATCAACTCTCTCTTGCACTGTACCTTGCCACACGCTTTGACCTTCTTCTTGTAAGTTGTAAGACGCTCTTGATGCTACGCTCTTAACTTCTTCATGTGTTTGACTAGTTTAATTATCTAATATGTTTAAACTCTGACCAAAGGTCAAGAATCCTGCCATACTATGTTCGGGGGAGTTGGACAAATAATTACTGTACATACCCCTGTTTGTTGCCATTTCCATTTCAAGGCATACCCAAAGATATCGCTTTGGTGGGCAAATTGACTCTGCAACGCACTAGATCATGAATCCATTCACTATGACCTTGTAATTTGACAAAAAAAGCTATTCCTCAGTCCTCGGCAGTGCCGTTCTTGAGATTTTGAGACCAAGCAAATTCCTGGACTTGATATTTCTTGTTGGCTTCGAATGAAATTTGCAGATCCATTTCTAAGGACTTTTCTGAGCCCTACATATAGTCATCCCCCCAAAAAATGGAGCAGTAGTTTACCACTTGTCTTGGGGATTCTCATATAAATTGCAAGGCGTCGTGGCTGTGTGTGGTGGCCACCTCGCTTAGTCATGGCGCGGATCTGGAGGAAAACCAACTCCTCAGCTGTACACGACTCTGCTGTCAATCCTTGAAGTTTGGCGGTCCCTCCGACCGCAGAAGTGTGAGCCTTTGACATGTTGTTTTAACAGCTGGTGGCTGAAGTCAGATTTAGTGATATAGTTTTGTAATTTCTAAGTGATGTTTGTTCAGAAATGTGATTTCTGATTTTTTGGTATGGGCCAACTCACTCGCCCAGGTTGTTTGATAATTTGTAGTTGATCAAAAACAGTTATTTGATGTTGTTTGATATTGCTGGTGCAATGATTACCTATATGCTACTAGATGCCTTCCGAAAATTGCCGGCAATCGGGATACAATCGGAATCTACGCAAGAAGATTGGCATGATGGGGATACAACCAGTTGCACCAGTAAACATATCCAGCAAAAAACGAATACTACTATATAATATCCAATATATAAATATATATATATATATTAATATATTAATATATACATCCAATTGCAATGAATGGCACACCCTCATCTTTTCCATGAGACAACACACCGCAGTGTCAGGTCCTCACATCCAAGGACTTTGTCCGACAGCAAGACCAATGTCTGAGCGCTCACGCTCGACCAACGACAAAGCAATAAAAGCTTGTCGTTGGCGATTCCCCGCAACTAGTGGCATTGGCATCTTCAGTTCTCATCCAAGTGGGACTCAAGTGAGATATGAATCTACATGAAACCGCAAAGGGTTGGCTGCTGAATAGATTTTTTTGGGGGCTCTCACTAAAACAGGCAAGCCAATGTGCAAACCCTTTTGCAGCAAAAAAAGTGTGCCAACACCAGCTGCTGTCTAAAACGGATAGCACAATGGACCTGTAATTGTGGGCCCACTGGGCTTCTGATGGTCCCGGTTGAATCTGCGGAGCATCAACTGCCAAAATATGCTCAACTGGACCGTCCTTTTCTGATCTAGATACCGCTTGCAAACTCTAGCCACAAGTGTGTCACTTGAGCAGCTGCTGCGCTGCTCAGTGATAACCCATACACAGCCAAATGTCTACAGCGGTCACTGGTACTGCAGTTTGATGAAGTTCTGCTTCTTTTTACCTGACAGTTGATCCGCCCCATGGCTCCCCATAGCTTCGGACATCAATCCGACTACCATCTGTTGGTGTTGGCCAATACCCCCAATAATCAATAATTGGGATCATCCCAAATGTCAAGCAAATGTGAAACTACCACCCATATTGTTGCTTCCTGACATAGTCAAGCTCGTTCACTCCAAAGAAATGGATGATCGATACATTTTGAATACATTGATATTTGATGATATTTGTCCATCTGTGGTGCCCAAACTCTCATGATCCGTGACCCACAGGCAATATCACCACAGTGCCAATAGCACCAGCTCCGTGACCTGCATCCCAAACCTGGTTCAACTGTTTGCCAATGTCAACCATCATCTATTTGATCGAGGCTCAGTTACCCTCTGGTAATTTAACGTAGCTATTGAAAATCACCATTTTTAATGGGAAAATCCACTATTAATGGCCATTTTCAATAGCTACGTTAAATTACCAGAGGGTATATTGTTCATAAACTAACCAGGTTGAGTATGGTTGAGTAAACAGGTTCTGGATGAGTTGAGCAATTGTCCAAAGTAACATAGGGTGGCCAGCTTCAGGATGAGTTCGTTAAGCCGAAAGTCATCATCATTTGGATGAACTCGTTGCACCACGACGACATGATCCAGTGAGTCCAGCAAGGGCATTGGTCATCCGTTTCCCTCTTCAAAAAACCATGTTGATAGGGGGCATACCCATGCATACCCTATTTTTAAGACAGGCCCATGCTGTAATAATCATTAATAATCACCCAATCAATGAATGTTCAGACCGTCCCTCCTTGCCAGCGTGATACATGTGGCCGGCGCTCCGTCCGGCTCGGCACCCGCAGGAAACTGCCGCCACTCCTTCCATGCCTGGTCACGGCGCCACGACCGCGGCTGTGCACGCTGCTTCGGCTGCTTCGGCTGCTTCGGCGCAGGCTGAGGTGCCTGAAGGGCCGGCCTGGGTTGAAAATATTTGGGGCCTGCAATGCTGGAGAATCCTTGGTGGTTGACCCCACAACTATGGAAAATCATCGTTTTGAATGGCTCAACTATCAATAGCCATGTTCAAGTTCGCAAACTCTTAGTTTAACCATTGATCTAACCGTAATATAACAATATTTGCCATATTACATCCCATTATTAATGGAGGACTAACCCATATTAATGGAGATTGTATAACAATATTTAATGGAGATGTGCCATTTTTTCCCATTAAATCTCCATGAAATCCCATGGATTGGTCCTCCCAGTTCAACTCCCCCGCCTCCCGCGGGGGCGGTGGTGGTGGTGTTGGTGGCCGCCGAACCTGGCGCAGCGGCTGCGCCAGGGCGGCGCGGCTGCATTGGATCAGCTCACCTTGGTGGTGATTGGCAACTGATAATTTCAAGGTGAAAATAAGGGAACATGTAAAATTCACAGGAAATTTCAATGGTTTTATAAGGGACAATCCATGGAAAATCTCCATTTGAGTGGTTTATAAGGGATTTTTGTTACATTACACCAATTATCAATATTCAATACCAATTGTAAGTTGTTAAATGTAGTAATGGATGTAATAGCGCATAATCCTATAATATTCCATAGGGAAAGAACCATATATATATATATTGCAATGGGTATATAATGTGAATATGATCCTTAATGGGAATATCATGCTATACCTTGGTGGTGAAGGGAAAGGAATTGAGAAAACTGGGATGGTGTATCTATTTGAAATGTTGTTTTATATAATTAATGTGGTTTAATGTGGTTAGTTTAATGGTTAATATAATGGTATGTAATGGTTATCTATTTATCTATAATTTAATGGGAGGATATACGAAGGTTTATACCAAACTATCATGTGTTTACACACTATACTATCATATTATGTACTCATGATTACATATGTTGAAATTGTGCGACCATGATGGCATGATATATACATATATATATATATACAATATGTAATTGAACATTATGGTTTATATAATGGGACTTACATAACAAAAAATGTGTTTTTTTAATGGAATATAATGGGATATGGTTGTAGAACTGAAGAACTGAGGTGAAAATGATATTTAATAAACACATTATGTAATTTAATGGGATACAGCTTAATTTCCATACGGGGGTTCCTACAATAGGGAATCCCCGAGTCACCATGGGTTTCAATACTAAAATGATCTAATGACTAGATGACTAGATGATTTCAGGGTACCCCCATTTAGGAAACCTCCATATGTGTCATGGTCAAAGCATATGGTGTACTATGGAAAAAAAAAAACACCAACAACAATTGGATATAGAATGGGTATATGATGGGAATATGTAGTGGTATACAATGAGAATACCATGGCACATATAACATAGGTCGATACCTTGGTGTTGGTAGTTTGTTTCCACAGTGGGATGTCTTGTAGGATTCAATTGGATGTAATGGGAATTTGATGCTCTTGTTTCGATATAGTAGTAATTGCAAAGTATAAATATAGTATAGTTTGTGTTTGTTTCTATATGTTTCTATACTATTTGCTACAATTGTTAACTTGATGATATGTGTACTATTTCTAAATTAGCAGTTTCTTGAACTACTTGGATAATGGAATATCATTGCCCGAGGGTCATATCCATAATATTCCTGTGATAAATTACTTTGCCAAACATTGCAAAACTAATATTCACAATTCACAATATTCCAGCGATATTCACAATATTCCAATAATATTCAATATATTCCAGTGAAAAAATTATGTGCCTACCTGGATTATGAATATGATCCTTCATATTAATCATATTCATAATTCTTATATAATGTAAGATAAACTGCTATTCTTAAATATACCCTCTGGTAAATTAACATAGACCCTGGCAGATAGGGGTTGGAAGACTAGTTAGTTTCCATTAAAAATTGGTGATTTTCAGGGTCTATGTTTATTTACCAGAGGGTATTATATTCCACTGATCAATTCCCTGAGATGGTGAACCATTTTTCTTTGAACGGTTTAGGGTAAACGCGTACATAGATGTAGTAAAAAAAATGTAAAAAAAAACTATGTGTAGATCATTTTCCTAGGAAAACCATGGCTTTTCCCTATCTTTTGGTTACCCTCTGGTAATTTGTTACATAGCTATTGAAAATGGCCATAGAAATAGTGAGTTTTCCCATTAAAAATGGTGATTTTCCATAGCTATGTTAGTTTACCCATAGTTTTTTATATGTTTACCAGAGGGGTATAGTTTACCGGGCTAAAATCGCCCCCAAAAGTCCTTCCACCTCTCAGGCGCGACACCAAGGCTGCGGTAGGGCTTGCCATCATAGGCTTTGCGCAGCGCATAGGTGCGCTCCAGGGCGAAGACATCTGCAGGATACGGGGACCACCTGGAGATGCGCCATGGGGCGACTGGAGTGACGAAAAGTGACGTTTGTTGCCCGAAAGAAGGTGAAAAAGATATGATAGATGTAAGATGATATATCTGGTTGGTGGTTTTAACATGTTTTAGCCATCTTGAAAAAATATGAGTTCGTCAATGGGAAGGATGACATCCCATATATGAAATGGAAAATAAACAATGTTCCAAAGCACCAACCAGATATAACTTGATATCTAAGGTGTTCATAGGTGTTCCATCGTGTTCCATCTTCAATCGCCAGGTTTACAAACAGCTATGATATCTATGATGACTTGAGCTGTAACCATAAACCTGGCCATTCAATATGGCTCCTGGGAATGTTGTAACCCTAGAAAGTAAACCATACAAGTACCATATATATATGATTGTAGTTGATTGTATAATATTATATATATAGTCATATAGTTGTGTTACTATTTGAACGGTACCAAATAAACATAACGACAAAGGATGCTGTTAGTCGGGTTTGCGTGTAAGTAGAAGAAATGTAAATAGCTCAATCACAAAATGCAGATCAAAACAACAACAAACAGGTGGGCTTCAAATAACAATCATGAGGGCTGAACTGAACTATATAACTCAACATATCTAAAGATATCGGTGCAACCACCAAACATGTCATATCTACATATATGATAATTATTATGATACACATATGATAATTATTATGATACGCATATTTAAAATAACACCAATGACATGTGCCCAACACATCAACACATCGCGTTGCCCAAAACCGGGCCAGGCGCCAGCCAGTGAACCACTCGGGCTCTTCACTGAAGAAGATCTCTTCATGGCCATGGTGCCCCTTCTCAACCACCTGGGAGGCCAGCCATAGGGCCTATAGGGGGAACGAGTTGAAACTGAGCCCATGGAAAGACATGGAAAAACATGGTTTTAGATATCCGATTTTTTGCTGGTGCTTAAAAAGAGTCATCCGATGTCAAAAAATGCGACTCGGTTAAGCGTAGCAGAACACTTAGTGGCAGCTTGGTGGTTCAGCCGTCCCCATCGATGCTTCACCATATGGAATCCGCCGTCTAAAATCAAACATCTAAAACAGATCAAACGTATTATGAAACCTCTTTTGTCTTTCAACATCTTCACCAACAAAGTACTGTAATAGCGTGTAATTATCTTGTTATATCCGTACTTATCTGCAATACTGTAATGTACTATATATAATAATTTCGATCAAGATTTTCTTGGCAAAGCGCACGCACCATCCCTGCCGCAACGACACAAAGTATTCAGAGTTTCGGCAGATGCGACTCACGTGCTCCTTCCAGGTGCTGCTCAGCACCTGATCATCCCGTGAGGACAGTTGCATCTTAAATGATTGACATGTAATATGATAATATAATATTCATCTAATAATGGTATATAATATGGTATAGTATCATGGTAATACTGTAATTACTATCCCTTTATGATAATACATCTATATAGATGGTATAGTAATTCATAATATATATATACATATAATTATATAATTAATCCTATATGTATCCTATATGTATCCTATATAGTAATTGATGATCTATGAATATGAGATCCATCATCTCCGGGCCTGCGCCAGGCCGCTCTCCTGGGGCGCCAGCTTCTGCATGAAGAAGGCCACCACCGCGGGCGTCGGCCGCAGGCGCTCCGCGTAGCACAGCTCCACGGCGTCTCGCCTCGATACCGATCCCATTGAACATCGAACTCTGAACTGTGGCAAACAAAGTCTCACTTAATCATATATAAGGAGATATACCCCCAAAATATGGCCTTATATGGTACAGTACCTGCATTTTAGGATCCTGGAATTCCCATTGACTTAAAAAAAAAGATTTCTGGGATGATCCAGTTGGTTGGTGGTTTTTGCTGACCCATGACCCATCTATATACAATAACTTGACAATAACTACCATTAACCAAGCGTCATAGACCACTCCCAACAGCACAGAAATGGAGTGGCAAGGTTTGCGGAGTTGAAGTTCAGCTCTCCAATGGCTAGCAATATCAGGTATGGGTATGAGTATGACAGTATGACTCAGTATGACCATCAGAACTATGCCTGCCACATGTGGGTCATGCCTGAAACTAAACCATGCATATGTTTGCATATGCATATTTTTTGTCAGTATTGGTTCTTTCAGGCAGAGCAATTTTAGGTCTGGGTCAAAGCCCTCGTACTTTGGTTTCACCTGGTAAATGCCTGCATCCAACCGAAATGTTTTTCATCATGTTGAATCCATTTCTATTGTTGGGGGGTTCAAATTCCCAACTGCGGCTTTCCTTGGTTCAACTGGCTCAAGACGAAAGAAACACTGGTGTGGGTCCCTTGGTACCCCATCGTACCCCAAATTTCACACATTCGATGCTTAGATCAGTGGTGTTTTCTGGTCAATTTCCAAAGTCTGCGATGTTTTAAGTCAGTTGAATCCCCAATGTTCATGATGAATTCATGAAAAAATGATCCTTCTTTTTTGGCTTACTGGTGCTAAGTAGGGAATGGGAATGATCCACAATAACTATCAACAATCATCCCAGCAACCCCCATTCTCATCCATTCCCTACGTTTAGCACCAGAAAGTTGGTAAAATTTCCAACTGGTCAATTTCCAGCCCCAACGGTTCCGTGTCTCCGCCCAGCCACAGCATCTTGAAGGGCACTTCCTGCATCCCCGCGCCGTGCGCCGGCACCGCTGGTGCCCCAGGCGTCGGCGCCGTGCCGGGCGCGACCGTTGAACCCACCGGCGCGGCCGGGTCGGCGCGGGAAGTGGAGCAGGTGGAGGCGCTGGTCTCGTCCTGCCACTGGATATGTCAGACTTGTCGTGTTTAAGCATATTATCAATGGGAATTTCAGGATCCTAAAATGGAGGTACGTTAGTACCATTTTTCAGGCCATATTTTATGGGGATCCTGAAAATCCCATTGATATGATTTTCACCAAAGATGTGAAAAGGATTTGTGCTGCCATAAACCATGGACCTGGATATATCATGTACCTATATGTATCTGAAGTTTGTCTCAAATCCGCTATCAGACATGCTTCTTTGGGATCATCATCATCATCATCATCATCATCATCATCGACGCTTGGCAGACTACTACCACTAAAGGTGTAGTTGACACCATATACCGCGTACCCATTTGACGATGGTTCTTCACGCCTAAAGCAATGTTTATCCATTGTCTGGCTAAATTACGATTATCTTGCCTATGTTCCAACATCTTCGGATGTATCACCAAACTACCAACATGTTCTTGTCGAAAATCCGGCATAGAAAATACAGTTGTGCGTCTGGCATTCAAGGGTACCCCAAGATTTGATGGTTAATCATCATGTTCACCTGAAAAAGTTTCTCTCTAGGTATCCTCCAGTTTAAGCCAATATCCCAATTCTATGATATCCCGCCATATCCAAGGATTTTACTCCTGTGATCCCATATAAAATGTTACAAACACCCCACAATGAAAAAGTGTAAATCCCCTACATCCACCTTGGCTTCGTGTGGTGTTTAGATGTGTTAAGTACGTGACTATAGTGTCACCGGGGGTTTCGGGATTTCATCTCCACGTCCCCGTCCGCAGGAGGCTCAAGGAGCAAGCGTTGAAAACTCCTGTTGACAAATGTTCAGCGACCGCAAGGGGCTGCCAGTTACAGTAGCAAGTCGTTGAGATTAACCATCTTTCTTGGGGATAAAACTTGATATAACGTATTTCTATGTATTTCTATGTGGGGAATATGACTGAGTTCTTTTTGAATCGTTAGCACCCACTCGGCAATTGGCATGCACATCCTTCTACTCATTTAGTAGTCCTCAGTTCAGATCAAACATCGGGCACCGGGCACGAGTGCCCGCCATTTTTCCGCCACTGGGCAAGCCCAAGAAGAGGATAACCATTAGAGGAGTCGGAGAACTCCACCACAAAAACGCAATGGGTGGAAGGCTTTAAAAACCCATTCTGAAGAAAAACTCAAACCAGATTGCTACCAGTTCAGCTACATCCAAACTGTTGGACAACATTGAAATCACCATGTTACGATGACATCCTGGTGTTGGTTGTTGAAATTCGCATCATTTCCCATTTATAAATATATTATAAATTATAATGTCCATTCATCATTGACAATGTCTACTATAAACATCCATCAACCATACTTAAGCTAATTAGAATAAAGTTATTTGGCGAACTAATCCAGGGGACTCCACATTGGCCAACTTCCCCACGTCTCGTATCTCGCATCGTCCTCTCTGCCACCGTCTCCATCATCTGCTTCTTCAAGAGTATCTGTAGCAGGTCATCCTGACCGGGCCGGCTTGATGCATCGGGCATGCTCGGAGTGCTGGCTTTTTTGGTAATCTGTTCCGAGCCTGTTTCGGAATTTCAGTACCAAACAACCAACCAACCTAGATATCTAGATCAACCTAGTCCCACTCAGGTCACTTGGGTTTCCCTTCTGCCAAGCATCTTGCTCTCCCGACTCTGTCGCCATTTTTTGGAACCGGCGCTGCGCGCAGCGTCTTTGGTCCCACGATTCCTCTCAAATTTGGCGCCTTGAACCAAATCCTTCGTGCGATGGACATGGGTAAGAAGAATGTATCAACAAAAATAGTATGCGAATGTCCAGCATAATAACCCCCAAAACGATAGAGCATGAATAATAAAAACACTATAATATAACACTATTCTTTCTGTGGTTGCTTTACTGTTCCATCTTTTTTGGTGTTGCCAAAAAAAACATCCTTTTCACGGGCATGTTTCGTGATTTGCCCAACATCAATCATCATGGATGTATGGGCTTTGATCAGGTCGCTGCAACCCGACTTAACACAGCCAGCGGGTTCTTGAATTCTAACCCATAACATGCTATAGCAATGTGTGCGTTTGTCTCAAAGTGCCCAATATCCCAACAAAAGCATAACAAAGAAACACGTTAATCGAGAAAATGATGATTAGCCATGGGATTTGAGGCTTGCACAATTTTGAGACACCTCCATACTTGATGCCGATATATTTCATGGCTTTTCATGGTCGATCATGAAGGCCTTCATCCATGCCTGCAGCCCCCATCCGTTTTTCTCGGAATTCGAGCAGCCCAAACTACAGCTACCCTCATGCACTCGACGGCAGTCTGCATGCATCCCAGAGGCAGTCGTGGGGGCAAGATGGGGTAAGGGTCTTGAGGTAATCGCCCCAAGAAAATGGTTCAACACGGTCACCACTATGAGCAATATTTCCTGTTGGGGGCTTAATTGTTGACCCATGGTCGTACTTCCCATATGCTCCATGTACAGCTGCCTGGCTGATGAAGGTTTCTGTTTTTGTCATTGGGGGTACCCCCTTGCATCATCCAAGCCATGGATGACCATGAATCAGTATTGAAAGCCATGGTGACTTGGAGTACCATTTTAAGAAACCCCCAAGTGTTTACTAAGGCTTTTCCTTGGACTTGGGTTTGGGATGGTTTGGGTATATGAGCAATCTCGAAAACCCTAGGTTCACGGAAAGGACATCCACACATTTGGGAAGGTCCCATCGCTTACCACACGTTTGTACAATGTTGATATATGGTAAACTTGGGGGTATCGATTGCAGAAAACTGCTACATCTTTATATATATATATTATACATAATTCACAGAAATCAATGTCCAATTTGAGTATCGCTAATGTGGATAATTATTAGAGAAATACAATGACATAACCTTGAAAAGGGGTATCGCTAATTTGGGAAGGTCCCATCGCTTACCGTGTGTTTTTAACAATTTCCATCAATTTCCATAAACCAATGTTCGTCCATTACATATTCAGTATTGCCGAGTTTTTGCGGTGGCTCATATGAATCTGGAGTCCAACGTAAGAATCAAGTCTCTGGGCTTCTGTGACACAACTCATCGAAGCTCATTCAGCTCTGTTCTGCTCTTTTGTTCACTCGATGTTTTTTATCCAGTCTGGGATAGTTACCCTTCCAGTTGCGTCAGTTTAAACTGTGTTTAGTATCTGTATCACTGTGATGTTTGTACATAATTTACCCAGATCTAGTTTCAACATTCAGCTGGGCCGACATGGGCCATGTTTTTTTGCCAACGTGCATCCCCTTGAGGCCATGACACTAAGATGCGAGCCATGCAGGTGAGTGCCAGGAGAAGCCTATTTAAACCAAGTGTCTCAATTCAGATCATAACTGGTTAATAATGGTTAATATATGGTTAATAATGGTTAATGATGGTTAATAATCATCTGGTTGGTGGTTTTAACCATCTTGAAAAATGATGGAGTTCGTCAGTCGGGATGATTATTCCATTCCCAGTATGATGGGAACGTCATTAAAAAAATGTTCCAAACCACCAATCAGATAATTTGTAGATTTTATGAAGTTCGTCTCAACAAATCTCAACTAACTAAATCCAATGAATATGTTAATTAACTCGCTGCTTGGACATTGCGAAAATTCAGGGCTGAATCAGACCTTCGCGTCCCGGAACTGGCGGAGCGCTCCAGGGTCGAGCTACATCGGCGCGTGAGCCGCAGGCGTGGTCGTTTAGCAACACAATAAGTAGGCTTGCTGGGTTTCAAGTAGGGGTTGTCTGCATGATTCAGGATTTACTTGCCAATTTATGGCAATTTCATAGGATATTGTATATGTATGAAAATATGAGGAACTATTATGAGGATTAAGTGTTTTAAGGTGTTCTACACACCCCGTTTGGTTGGACAACAGTAAATGCAATCTCCTGTTGATCGTTCGCAATGAACATTTACCATCGGATTTCGCTTTGTGTCCTGGCATGGTAGTCAAGGTCAATGGTGGGCTGCGTAACCGACGTTTTGGTTCCATTGAACATATCATTGAACAAACCACGCCTTTTCTCTGCACCAATAAGCTAAGCTGGTTGATGGTTTCTGGATAGACAAATCACAACGTTCATTACATTCAAACACATTCAAAAACACAATTGCAACATCATGAGTGTGGTCACCATCATCCCATCTTTAGAAATAGATGTTCAAACTTTCATTTTGTGCGGGGACTTCCCACTTGTTCGATGGCCGGAGGGTGTTGTTTTTTGCTCACGTTGAGACCATCGACCAGTCACTGACAGCCCATGGTGCTGTGCACTTTCTTACTGCCGCTCCATGGTGTGCATCGACTCCCCAACCAAGGCGGTGAAAGGCGCGCTTTCGCCATCACAGCGCAGCCAGGGTGGGAAATTCTTCCCGGGCATTTTAAGTGCACCTTGACCACCCATCAAAAGTGGTACCCTCTGGTAATTTAACATAGCTATTGAAAATCATCATTTTTAATGGGAAAATCCACTATAAATGGTCATTTTCAATAGCTACGTTAAATTACCAGAGGGTAATGCCCAACAAAAAACAACCTGGTTCTGATGATGTCACCTTGAGGGTCAAGGCCTTTTTGTCTGCAATCGAATTCACGGACGAAGAGATTTCTATTCAGAGATACCAACCGAAGGGACCATGTCCTGGTTCATCTTTTTGAACCCAACCAACTCCTTGAAGATGTACCTCAGCAACGGACCGCATCTGGGAAAAGCCAGAAACGCCGTTGCTACCGAGGAAAACCAAGCGCCACCACTACTTAAGTGGGGAATACCATAGGAATACCATCTTCAGGTTCCGGAAAGGACCCTTCGAGGATTCCAAGCCAGTCTCAAGGGATTGTTTCAATCTGACAAAGTTGGGTGGGAACTTAATCAGAGACATACTATCCTCGAATTCCTATGATTGTTGACACAAAATACCATAGGAATTCGAGGATAGTATGTCTCTGATTAAGTTCCAAAGTCATCTTAATTCTTTTGCACATCCCATTTGCAGTGGGAGGACCAGACCCTTCACCATCTCCAAAACATGTCCTCCCGCCATGTGTAGCCACCAGTGACTTGCCTGGCTAAACCCTCTAAAAATTCTCTGCAAAAAACAAACAATCCCACTAATCCCACTGTTTTATTTTATGTTTTTGATGCTATTGTTGATGCGCGGGAAAATCATGTATTGTACTCATAGAGGGGATTATGCCTAATCGGGTCATATTTTGGTGGTTATATAAGTCACCATTTGGGTCAGTCTGAAGTCTGGGGTAATGGTATAGCTCATAAAGTGGCCCATATCCCATGTTATATAAATAAGGAAAATACGGTGATGAACCATTCAAAGTTAGGCTACCCTATATATATATATTCACATATATATATATATATCATATATATCCTATATTCAAAGAAAGCCTTTTCTCGTTGGAAATCACCATCAAACTGATTTCGGTGAGTTAACTCGCCATGGTTTTTCCATGTTTTTTTGCACAGAAATCCACGTCCTCTGAGGTCCCCAGCTCCAGAATTCGCTTGGAGGACCGCTTTTCGCCCAACTTCTGGGACACACCGAGGATGTCGCCCGCCTTCATTCGTTGTGTCCATATTTTGGAGGAATGGACATGATACTGTATTAATAAATCATAATATATAATAATCATCATAGAATCTATGGATCCAAATACCTTATGAGAATGTCAAGGGACCATCTGAGAATCCATTTGGATCCGAAATTCAAAAATCATAATAAAAAGACAGTTGATGGCAGATGTCAAAAACCCAAATTTTCACATTTTGAAGACTCATGTTTGGATCATGCAGTAAAACAATAATAAACCAATCCCCCAGTCATCATCATTTTTATAGGTGCTATGTTTACCATTCCCAAATGGGTGATTTATGACATTGTTTTACCCACATTATTACTGGTTGGTGGTTTCAACCCCTCTGAAAAATATGAGTTCGTCAGTTGGGATTATGACATTCCCAAGTGAATGGACATTCATAAAATTCCATGGTTCCAAAGCACCAATCAGATATCCATTGATGGTTCATAAACCCATGATTATACTGGTTGGTGGTTTCAACCCCTCTGAAAAATATTAGTCAGTTGAGATGATTATTCCCAATATATTGAAAAATAAAACATGTTCCAAACCACCAACCAGTATACTCAGTATACCATGATTATCCTACTATGATCTCCTTAAAAAAAAAACGTTGAAGCCTGCCATCTTCGCTCCAACCGTGGCTGCTGGCTCCAACTGGTGGAGCCAAGGCCGATCTGCGCCTGGCGAATGTAGAAGTCCAGGTCACCATCCGTGCACCTCGGGGCGGTGTACGGATGGGGATAGCGGATACAAAAAGCGGTGGAAACTGGACCATTTATAGATGACTTAGCTGTAAAAATGGTGATTTTCAATGGTTATAAGTTATAATATGTTATAATACGAATTTACCATAGGGATCCATAGGGTATCTGATGTATCTGGAATCCATGCTATCTGTTCTTGGTCTTGTGCTTACAAAGTAGTATAGATTGTCAAAACTTCTGTCAACAACATTGGAGAATGTCCAAATGTGACAACGCAAAGACACCCGCAGTTGTGTGGATGGACCCCAAAAAAATGCACATCCCAAAATTGCAATTAATGTCGCTGTGTCAACAAAAACCGTCAACCCCAGGACGCTTCGGTCGACTTAAGCACCGTAGCATATCAATCATACAGAGTTCATTATCCCAAGACTTGTTCAAAATACATCCCCATTGAATCAGCAACGACTCCATCTGTCTGTGGTTATTTCAAACCCCCAATGTATTGAGTTAACATAACATCCGCCAGCTTGAATAGTTCATATACCCCATATGACAATATGTGCCATCGTCAAAACATGTGTATTTTTGGGGGTGTATGGGGAATCCATCCCGATGTAATGGGTATCCCCATCATACAAAGGATCGATGAGCAGCCCCTGTCGAAACACTATGAGAAAAATGATGCCTGCAGAATGGGCTTGGATAACTATAGGGAACACAAACGTGTTGGGCAGTGCCCAACTATGTTCTCTGGGCAGCCAGGCTTGTTGGTCAGCTGCGCTAATCGCACCCGCTCCGACGCGAACTGTTCGTCCTGGGACAGTCGCATGCTGCGACAACAGGATCGCCCACCACCAATCTGAAATCCACCAAAATGGAAGAGTTGTGTACCACCAAACTAATCGAAAATACCATTAGATTACCCCAGATTTAATCGATTTGTTAAAAACGTTTGACCAATACAACGAATCCGTACGAATCCACTTGGGATCCACTTGGGTGAATCATCCCTGGTGACGAACGGGCGAACATCATGGCCACGGTACTGGGATGATCCCAGTGGCCCCACCATCTGAATCCTTTCCCCAAATTTCAAGTCTTTCCACATCTTTCCACTAGAGTCACTATCAAACACCTCCATACTAAACAGCAGAAACCTTGGTTTAGTAATAGGATGGGATCAGCGAATCATGGGGACCAAGCTTCAAGGACCATTTTTTGACTGGGGCCCCCACCAAATCGAAGAGGTCCAGATTGGGCGCCAACGGTTCGCGAAGACATGGAGGAAACACCTGAACCCCCCCCAAAAAAAAACATGAATTCGACGCTTGCGAGATGAACATATCGGGTCTTGGAACTTGAACATCTTGAAACTGTTTTTTTTTTTTGAGTATGAAAACGCGTACGGAACATGTGAATTCAAGGCCCCTCTTCGCCCCATCCCAATGGGTCCAATAGGTCCAAGTTTGATCATTCTTTGATGAAGCCACGGCTGAAACCACCAAGCGGATGATGACCCGCAACTGCTCAGATGGGTATCCCAACTCTAAAACTTACAACCCAAAACTTGGACGTAGAACAAGAAAAAAACACAAGCATCATGTTGCACATCCAGCACATTGTCTTCGACAGTCCGGTTTCTGGGCCTAGCTTTGATTTCAGACATCCCAGACCTGGTGTTTCACTAATCCCGTTGCCTCCAAAATAGTTCAGACGAATCCCACTTCTCTGGATACTTCATAAATTCAGTCGAATGATTCGAAATCTAACATGAATCCATGGATTAATCTAACACCAAAGTGTATATCACATCCCAAAAAATCCATGGATATCTGGATCTACCATGATTGATATACCATCTGGTTATTTAACAGTTTGCCATGGAACATCACCATTTTTAAGAACGGTAAACCATCTATTTCTATGGGCCATTTCCCATGGCTATGTTAAATAACCGGAGAGTACCTCCAATTCAACAGGTCACCAGGTCACCAGCCGACCGTCACTAGGTGCCCCGGGGCCCCGGACCGCTGGCTGAAGGGCCGGCATGGGCGTCTCGAACTGCGGAGGGATGAGCGTCAGCCTTGGGTCCCGTGAAGCGAAGTCTGGCAAAAATGGAAGGGTCTTAACCAAGCCTGATGGGGATATGTATATATATATACATATATGGATATATATATATATATGGATATATATATATATATGGATATATATATATATATGGATATATATATATATGGATATATATATATATGTGTCATGTGTATATAATAATATTAAGATACATATGTATATATATATATATATTAGGATATTCTGAAGCTTTGAAGTTAAACACCTACAGTATATGTTAATTCTTGGATCATCCTTCACTTACATCAGGTGAAAAAAGACACTCAGAATCGGTAGCGGATCATCAGTGTAGATGGGGCTTGAATGGAAGGAACCACAAGCTTTGTCATTATACATAGATCCTTACATATATTGACAATTATTGAGATATATATATATATATATATACTGTATATATAAATAATTATACATATATATATATATATCCTTGATTATCCTTGGTGGTTTTAGACTCTCTCGAAAACTCATGTAGCTTCAGTGGGGATCATCATTCCAACATATTCCAACCACCATGATTTTGAAGTCAGAAAATTCATGAAAATTCCAAACAGTGCATCTCTCATTCCCTCCGAAAATTACATTAAAAAACATGTTGTTGCGTCTGTTGTAACATGTTGTTGCAAAATAGCTCTGCAAAGTCTGCAGTTTCCAGCTAATCAATCTGAAAACTCACCAGCCATCCATGGATTCATTGGTACCAATATCACCAGTTTTTTTTGGCGTCAATCCACCTTGTTGGTAGTGGTGAATTCCGATTTCTGCTAGTTGAATGCCCAGTTTGGTATAGATTAAACTCTTAAACTCTCCAAACATCATCTGGTTGGTAGTTTCAACCAACCCCTCTGAAAAATGATGGAGTTCGTCAGTTGGGATGAGATTCCCAATCATCATGGAAAGTCATAATCCAGCCATGTTCCAGTCACCATCAACCAGTGATTATTAACCATCATTAACCATCATTAACCATCATTAACCATCATTAACCATCATTATTAACCGTTCCAGTCACCACCAACCAGTCATCCCATGTTCATCGTTTTTAGACCTCGCCAGATCTCCGTGCGAACGCAACGCTGGGAGTCCGCACGGCTCATGCTTCACACCCAGCTGATGGTAAAGTTTGACCGCCTGCCGTGGTAAACTTGAGGACACAGCAAAAATCCAATATATGAATTGGATGATTATATAACACATTGAGATATCAACACATCTACGAATCATATATTGGATGATTATAATAATCCAATTGGATTGAGAATAACACATCTACGGCGCATCAATCATCCAATATTAATGATATCAACTTAAGCCATTTTTTTTGAGGCTTGAAGTCTTGAAGCAAGTTTGAGAATGGATTTATGAGGATATCTAAGCAATACAATTCGAGGATATAACTATTTAATCAATATAAGTTTGATACTAACCAATGGATTGGCGAATATACATTATAAGATCCTAACAGGTCCCTCCCAACCCCTGGATACAACAAGCAATAAACCTGGGATAAACATCAAATCATGGAGCTATGGATAGAGTAAATCCATCTAAATGATTTCAAGACAGAGAAATGGACATCTTCATGAATCAGAGTCGAGGCACAATCAACATGAGGATACAGCCCCATCAGCACCTTGATACTGCTCGATGTTGAAATTCAACCAATGGGCTTTTACAGGATTCAATCAACAAATAGAGTGATACATGTATGACCTGTATGAGCAACACAAAATGTACAGTGGTCAACCTGAAGTAGTCGTGCAAAATTACATTCCTTTTGCTATCACTTAGGAACTCGGGAAGGTCATTTGGGATTCCAATTACATCCGAGCGCATTTTTTTCAGCAAGTTGACGTCTGGGTGAAACTAACACTCAAAACAGGGTCATGGCTCAAAATGGCGTCTCCAAACTGGCCACAAAGTGCCATCATTAGTATCTTCCAGTTTCAGAGATTCTGAATTCTCCCTGTCTTGCAGGGATTGGTAAATGTCCCATTTTGGGTATATTGGACATCACCTTATAGTAGCCATTATAGACCATATACCATTCATGGTTGGGTGATGTTCAATGGGGACATTTAATGACCCCTGTCTTGACTTAGCAAATCATGCGGGATAACCTCCTGGCTACCCTTCGGTTTTCAAAGATCGCTGCGATAGCTGCTCCATCTACTTCGATGATTCTCCGGATTGCCACGTTACCAATTTTTCCACGGGATGATAAAAATATATCATCCATGGTTAAATCCCTGTGAATCACCATCAATCTTCTTTAAATGGTGGCTTTTTAATGGGTGATTGTATAATTCTATATATATATCATGTCATAATTTTCACACTATAACTCCCATAAAATCATATAACAGCCCTATTTGTTGATGGTTAGCCCCTATTCAAAAATTCACCGTTTTTATCGTTTGAGCCATCCCCAGCTTTCCACTGCCCTCAGCCACGTGGAACTGAACTGGCACGCATCCTGCGGGGACTGACACCGATATCGAAGGATGGGAAAGCCATAAGCCATATGCTCCATGTATGGAATATCTACCTACATTTTGCTGATTTTTAGGGCACATGTTGGTAAATATTCCAGCACCATGGGTTGCATATGGGTAGGGATACCAATAAGGAAAACATTGGACAACCATAAGGACAACCATGGGTTTCTAGCACTCCATCTGATTATGTCTGATTGAACATGTTCACCTTTAGGCAGGAAACTCTGTGTTTCCCATTCAAGAGTTCAAGAGCTTACAATTACCACATAATCTTAGAAACCCTTTGAAATAATGGCTGGATAGTAAATAATGGAATATTATATATATAGATATTCTAATATACAGTAATGTATGTCGCAGAAAGGGCCCCTTTTTTTCCAATAACACCACTATCAAGCTCCAGGCGTTTTGTTTCGACCGTGAAAGGAGTTGGTGCCTCTCCAACTTCTGTGACAGGAGTGGATGACGGAAGTCTTCAACCACATCTTCAGGCCGATGGACCTGGTCACCCGGCTGCGTGCAGCTGGGTCTTTCGGCGAGAAAAAAGGTGTTGGAGGATGTTGCAAAATGATGGCAACATAGAATAGAATGATGATTTTCATGATATCCACATATATTCCCATGATATCCCCACTATATACCATATGTATATATATATATATGTTGCTTAACTCCCCAGTTTTCTTGGTTCAACCATATCAAACCCATGGTTTCAACCCCTGGTTTGGGCCCAGGGGCCCAGGGGCCCAGCGCAGCAACTGAGCCACCGGGCCGGGCCAAAGTATGTTCGATGGAGGCTGTTCAAACCGCCCGAGCCGCTCCAGCCTCCGAAGCCGAAGGACCTGGCACTAACAGTTTGCTATTGAACATGGCCATTTATGGTTGATTTACCTGGTAAAAATGGTGATTTTCCATAGTTATGTTGGTTTACCAGGGGGAAGGCCTGGTGAGAAGCGACTGGGGAAACGCTAGCAATGTTCAATTGATGGAAAAGGGGAACAAAAATACTCGGCAACATTATGCAACATTCAAATTATGGCGCACTGGGCCCAAAGTTCCAAGATCTTACACTAAAGCCGAAATAACTCCATGGTTGGTTACCCTCAGTTCCCTCAATATTCATAGTGTTTGCTTTTTAATATGTTTTTTCCTGCTGAAGTTATTGTACCAGAAGTCATTGTACCATGGCAGTATTATAATATATTATAATTAATAACTATACATGTATATATATATATATATTATTATTATTGTAATACAGTTACTATATATATATTATATATACATATAGTTCCTACATCTATGTAACTCACCCAGTTCAACTGGCACCTTGAAAAGCCGGAGGAGTCGTTGTTCATGCGGTTGAAGGACCCCTTGGGAAATCGATCCTGCCGATGAAACCGACGGAATCCGTGTGATGAAGAAGGAAGCCATGGATTGATGGATACACCACCAGTGAACAGTTTTGATATCACTATGTAATCTATGTAACTAATGGTGGTGTATCAAAATATAAATAATCAACTAGTGATATAGTTACATATGTTAATATGTTTTGATATGTTTTGATATCACTATATCATTATATATCACTAATCTCACTTGTTGATTCATCATGATTCATCACAAGAAAGACTGATTACATCTTATAAAACCCATTCTGCAAGTGTATTTATCTGGCCAGTGAGGAGGCCCGGGATCCTGCTTCAGCATCAGATCTGGCGCCGAACCTGCACAGAATCGAACGGATGAGCTCCCTGGGGCCCTTGACCTTCGAGCCGCTAAGTAGCCAAGAAAAACAAAGTTGGTATGTTGTCTATATCCCCAACCCATCCATGCACCAAATAATCATAATATACACTTGGGGCAGGCGATCTCATTTGTTGGTGGTAGATGTATAAAGATGTATAAAGGACATATTGCATGAATGATCCGGATATAGCGATGAACCACCAAGATGGTCCCTGAAGTTTGCTAGACTGGAAGTCAGTCTCTCTGAACCTCTGCTAAATCCCCGAGACATGGCTATTGGGAAAATGAATGAGAATCATCTTTGGCATTGTCATGCATTGTCCATTGCCTTTGTATCATTTTGTATCTGAGTTCTTAGAACTTAGATAACTTAGGACTGACGACCCACTTTCTCCATCGTTTCATGCTTGTCATTTACAGAAACTCGAGGACTAGAGGATGTCATCAGCCGACCTACTGGTGGAAGTCCAAACTTTGCGCGTGACGCCTGACGAGGCGTCAGGGGACTGCCGAATGGTAGAAACCTGGGTCGATCTGTTGCTTCCTACGAGGTTTATCAATGGTTCATAATGTTTCAACATCGGGCCTCCACAGTGGAGAAACAGAGGGTAGAAAAATGCTCGAACAAGCGAGTATGGGTCGAGATCTAAGCAACCTTGGGACCCTTGAGGAAAACAATTAGCATCAATTAGCTGATTGTGTTGCTAATCCATGCTAATCCCATCCAATTTATCAATTTCAGGTTGTGACTCAAACAGGTGGCAAAGGACTCACCTAAATTGATCATTCTAAGCGAACATTCAGGTTCTTGGAGTGCCCTCCAATACCTCCAATCTGTCAATGGATAATACCCCTGAAAACACCATTTGGGCAGTTTCCAAAACCTCTTGTAGATAGGTTCTACTGGTTGGCTGACAGGGATTGCACCCATGATGGGTCATAAAATTATATAAAATGCTTACCATTAAACTAGCATATTCCAAGAAAGACATGTGAATGAAGAACGTGATAATACATTATGGGATTCTTTTGGACACAGCATTTGGCATGTCCTCTTAATGTTTGGTTCCAAATAGTTAGTATATTCCCTTAAGATATTTATCTCCCTAGGTTGGTAAGTGATGATAAGCCACGGCAAACGTCAGATTTGTGTCTGAAACGCCACCTCCCGATTCCGCACCTCTTTGAGAGGTGCATCCACTTGGGAAATTAGTTCCTGAGACCGTAGCATGTGGCGCCGTCTACCCAGTTGAAGCCACGTTTTTTTTTGCGGGGTGAACAACAACTGGATATCATAGATCCAAGATGATGACATGTTCATAGATCGTCCTGCAGTGAATGGCGGATCCACACAGTAGATAGTAGATGATAGTAGTGGCAGGAATCTCCAGTAAACAAACCATCAACAGCTGCTATGTGGCTCATGTGGCAAAGGAGAGTCATCCAGCATTGGTTTTGAAAATCTCCAACTGACGGGAAAGAGACCACTAGTCACCTGCGAAAATGTGACCCCCTTCCTGTTCGTCAATAATTGAGGTTGCTATCATGGCTTATGACGATCATGAAGTCCGGTAACGTAACTCCAAATAGTACTCGGTCAATACTGGTTTCTTCTCATGTCTGTTGCTTCATGTTGCTTCAGTACTCTCAGTTCTCACCCATCAACCTGAGACATCACCCATCCCCCACAAGAAAAAATCAGATTTCTTGGGTCAAATTCAATCCATACCCTCTGGTAATTTAACAGTTTGCTATTGAAAATGGCCATTGAAATAGTGAGTTGTCCCATTGAAAATGGTGATTTTCCATAGTTTTTTGATGTTTTTTGTATGTTTACCAGGGGGTACATCCATCACCCGATCACCGGTGAACCCCCCAAAAGGGTCCTTGGGAACAGAGCCATAGAACTCCTTCCGCAGCCTGTCCTGTGAGGAGAGGCGATCTGTTGAAGGAGTCCCGGCCTCTCCCCCTAGTTTGGTAAAATAGTAAAATACATTATATAATATTGTATATACGAAAAAATCCAAATATAGTTGTTCTATGTTGTTCTATAAGATTTTTCTGGGTGCCTTTTTCATCTGTGGACTCACCTAAAATCCCCCACACGATTAACAGAAGAACGAGGTGACAACATCCAGCTCCGCAGCCAGGTCCTGAAAGCAAAGATGGTGATTCATGTAGGGCCTGGCCTCAGCTGAGGGCTCACGTCTGCTCACGTCTCGGGCACGCACCGTTTCGAGGCTTTGTCAATGGGGAACCCCCAAATCCGATGGTTTGTTGTTCCCTCCGACGGGGTGTTCACGCGCAGACACACTGCTGAATGTGCATTTTGTACTGTGTTTTACAGTGTTTTCTGCTTCTCGACAATGCTGCCCTGGGGGGGAGGGGGGGGGCAGGAACAACTGTTTCTTCGAGTGATGTTTTCTGCCTTTGTCCATTTGCACTGGTTTTTACAGTGTTTTTCCCCCTTTCGCACTTTTTTTTTTTGCACCATTTGCATTTTCCCTCGGTTTACAGTGTTTTCAGGCTTCATGACGTTGCTGATGCTACGCTGCACATTGGGGTGGGGTGGGGCAATCACGTTCATGTGAACTTGACAAATCACGTTGTTGAGGCTTCATCATGTTGCTGATGCTACAGGGGGGATGTTAACGTTCCATGTAACTTGCTCACGTTGTTGATGCTACGCCACGCTCGGGTGGGGGGGATGTTAACGTTCCATGTAACTTGCTCACGTTGTTGATGCTACGCAACGCTGGGGTGGGGGGGGATGTTAACGTTCCATGTAACTTGCTCACGTTGTTGATGCTATGCCACGCTGGGGTGGGGGTGGGGAAGGGGGAGTCGTTTGCCTCTCTCGTCTAGGGGTGTTTTTTGTTTTTTTGAACATGCTGTGGAACTGGGCGGCAAAGTATGGGGGTGTCTGTGGCGCAACGTGTGCTTGAAAGTGAATGTAATGTTGAAACTTCTGACTCAGCAAAGATGACAAACCAAGCCGGCCGCGCGTGAATAGGCCGTCCGACCGTTGTTATGATGATCATAACACCCTCTGGTAAACATACAAAAAACTATCGAAAATCACCATTTTTAATGGGACAATTCACTATTTCAATGGCAATGTTCAATAGCAAACTGTTAGTTTACCAGAGGGTATTATGATCATTATCCCATGAAAATGTCTATTTGAACTTTACAACCTCAGTTTACAAAAACCATCAATGGCCTTTGAGGGAGGTATACCCCATTTCCAGACGCACCACGACACACTCATTCCACTCATCATAAAAATTACCACTACCATTTCGGGGTCTTTAACCAGGGACAAACCAATTGACCCAAAGATCGGACCCTTTGACAACAATACCAGGGAAGCACCAGAAAAGCGACCGCTGCGACCAAGCGTCATATGGAGAATTGACACTTGGCTGTTTGTACATCGACATGGCGTCAAGATTTGACTCAAGGCTAGAGAGTTTGGAGTTGTCTTAGGGGGTGCTCGAGCTTTGTGCTCATCCATAGGTTCCATACATAGTGTGTACATGGAAATATGCAAACATAGATGATCCCACAGATGTGCAATGTAACTTCTCTATGCTGAGTATGGTATGGAACTATCCAACTCTCAAGGTTTGGGGTTGCCTTAACCATACCTAAGGGACTCTTTCCATGTCTCCTGGCGAATGCTTACACCTCCAGCACGGCCGCGGCCAAGCATTTGTGCCGGTGATGCAGAAGTCCAAGGACAAATCCTGATAGCATAAAGCTTCACAGCCTTAAGACAACTATCATGTGTCCATCAGAAAATGCATGTATTTAACAGGTTTATGGTTTCTTGAAATGCTCAGAAGCCTTCGGTACGTCCGCAACTTGTCAAACATGGTGTGGGTTTCTCTTTGCTTAATAGCATGATATTAGTATCCATTCATCAGTATGATATGAACTGATCATATCACTATACACATTAACTACACATCAAGTAATCAAACATGGCTAGCTGGAAAACTACCCTCTGGTAATTTAACATAGCTATTGAAAATGGCCCAGTTATAGTGGATTTACCCATTCAACATGGTGATTTTCCATAGTTTTTTGTATGTTTACCAGAGGGTACATCATTAGTTCGAAGGTTTTCCCAGAAATCCCCAGAAAGCCGCCTCTGGAATCAGATCGGTATCCTCATCCCGGCCCCACAGGGATCCCCACAGGTGGCATGGCTTCATGGGGGGATGCACAAACCAGACCTTGCTAAATATTATCGGTTATTAATGGTTATTGGTTATTAATGGTTAACTATCACCACCAACGAGATTAATAGAGACTATTTTGATTCAATGGATTGGTTTTCACGGGAAAATCTTAACCGGAAACCATAGAATTTCCCATGAAATCTGGGGGTTTCCTGTAAATTGTCCCTTAAACCAATACATTGATTGATGTTAAAAGGATATGATATGATATGATATGATATAATATCATATGATATGGATAATGAATGAATATTGGTTTCTAAATGGATATCATCACAAACCATCATTATCCCCAATGGATAATGTGGATTCAATGGGGATATGATATGAATTGATGTGATCTGATATGATCCCATCAATATGAAAAGCACGCTCTAAACTGTCCCAACCATCTAAATCACCAGAAAAAAGGAAAACAACAGCGCTCTAGGGCTGTGTCATATTAGGGAGAAGTAGATTTCCAGCGTTTCGGAAAATTTGGCATGAACAACTTCCCCAGTCACAAAAATTAGGGAGAAGCGATACGGCTGCGCTCTCCAGGACTCCGGGCGAACTTAAAGAGGCTATCGTCAAACAGCTGTGTGAAGTCTCTGGGCAACGGCTCATTCTCCTGGCGTCAAAGTAAAGGGCAAAAACGGCGGGAGATGCCGTCCTCTGATGTCGAAAAGATGGGATGATTGGATGATGTTAGTGAAACATACAATGTGAGGCCCCCAAGATAGCTAAGTTGGTTTATAACTCCAATAACTATGGTTTATGGTAGTTATAACTATAGTTACTGGGGCTTATAAACCAACTTATAACTGGGGGGGCCTCACATTGTAGTGAAACCATCTTCTCGTAATCTGGCGTCTACCAAAGGACCATGGTCTAACGTCCTACAGGAATGGTGTAGGAAGTGTGCCACATTGCCCTCATTTATATACGGCCATAGCGCAACAAGTCCTTTTTGTGGAATCGGTATCCACAGAAACTACCCAAAACCACACAAAAGTATTATATAGATATTGGCAATCCTCCATGCAGCCATCCTCTGGGGTTGCTTTTCCTGCTCCATCCCCGACAATTTTCACCCTATGCGAAAATAAACAATTTTGATCAACTGTGTACATAATATATATATATGTTATATATCATGCTCCCACCTATCTCCCTGCACCAACCAAAATCATCCAACATCACCCCCTCGCTCCTGCAAACAACTTCTCAAATTCATGGCTAAGCCCTGCGTGTGAGGGATATGGTGATACTCGCTGAGCTCCGGCTCCTGGCTGGGAAAATCTGTAGAGTTCTGAGGCCCTCATTTGTTTTTTAAAGCTAGAGTACATAGATGTCACCATGTTTATCTCATTTCTGTCATTCCAACCTGCAGAATTGCCATAAAGAGCATGCAATATGCATTTGTATAGAGGATCTTCTGACTAAAATGACTATGTTCCATTACCACCTTAGATCACCACAGAGTGTCGTTTCTACTGTCTTTAGATCCCCCTTGAGAAGGGCTGAACCAGCGGCCACTGACCAGCCGCGCCTCGCCATAGCCGTAACTAAGCTCACAGTCACCCATTTTCATGAGCCTCAGTGGCAACCACACACAGGGCTCAGTGAAAAAAACAAAAAACAACACATTTTTCGGAGACAAGAATTCGAAGCTATTTGACATCGAATCCAAAGACAACAACGGATTCTACCAATCCACAGACGTTGCGGTTGGTTTTGGCCTTGAGGCAGAAACCACCTCACCAAGGTGTCGATGACCTGTCGATTCTTCTCGCAGTCCAGGAAATCATCCTGAGCTTCGGCTTTCGGCTTGGGGGTGGGCGTCATAGTAAAAAATATATAGTCTAGTGTATATGGTTGTGTGTATGTAATATGGAATATGACATTGTGTGTATGTAATTTGGACTATGAATGAATATGATGGAAATGATGGAATATGATGGACATGATGGAATATGATGATTTAAAAATATGATGGTCATATTATAAGTAGAATGGACGCATGAACAACATCTTATAATTACACATTGTGCATTGTACTTGCCCACGCAAAGGAACTGCCACCCACTAACTAGGTCTTTGCGGATCATCTAGGGCAGGAATCAAGAAGACAAATCATTGACAAAACTAGGCACAAGAATTACAGGGAGAGGCCCCGTAGATTAAGTTGGCTTATAACTCCAAAAACATCCAAAAACTAAAGTTTATAGTAGATACATCATGATACATCATGATACATCTGCTGGTTGGTGGTTTCAACTCCTCTGAAAAATATGAAAATCAGATGGGACCATTATTCCCAATATATTATGGAAAAATAATCCAAATGTTCCAAACCACCAACCGGATCTGTATAGTTCATGGGATTTATAGAACAACATGGTACACACCATCCCCTGAGGCCCGGACCCCGAACATCTGCACGGAACCGATGACACAAATCCTTCCCATCCCGGCCTGCAAGAGATCATGGCAAAATGCCTCTGCTTGGGAACCCCAAACCCGGAACAGTAACTATCAATGGCTTGGTTTCAGGAAACATCTACAAGAAACTGCTTGCTTTTTGTTTTCACTGTAATTATCTGGTTGGTGGTTGACCTACCGATCTGAAAAATGATGGAGTTCGTCAGTTGGGATGATGACATTCCCAATATGATGGGAAAGTCATAAAATTCCATGGTTCCAAACCACCAACCAGTCATGGATTATCCCATATATTATGGAAAATAAAAATGTTCCAAACCACCAACAAGAATTGTAGTAGTGCTTCCAACGTTCCGCACAACCCATATCTGCATTTGGAATCCGAAAGGCTGGTGGTTGCGCGATTTTCTGACCATTGCACCATTTCAGGTTCAAACTGGAATGCCTTCCTTAAATCTTTCCGAAAACGACCCAACGTTTTACTGAAATAAATAGTTAACTCAAGTTAACTCCCAAAAAATCATGGTTCATCAAGGTTCATCCTCATTTTCCCATCATTTTCCCATCATTTTGAGGTCATCGTGTCCACACCCCATGGTTTTTGCATGGCCCCCGTGACCGTGACCAAGCGCGCCTTGCTGTGCACTGCGGCCACGGGACGATTCAATGGATAAGAGATGGGCCTCAGTCGGAGCATTTTGGTTGAATTTAGAGGTTGATTTAAATGATTTATTTGATTCAAATATAATAATAACTATAACAATACATAATATATTTATATAATAATACTTAATACTAATAAGAATTGTTAATAATGATATTATATAAATGATGATAAATAATGATAAATGATGATAGCTAGAGATAAAACAATGATATATACATGATGACAAGTCTCTGATACAATCTGATAATGATACATATAGTGCACGATTGAACCAAGAAAAAAACATCCGGTGTTCTTCTGGGGTAGTTGAAGCTGATGTTCAAAACAAACTTGTTTTCCAACATGTTTTCTGTTTAAAACGGTTCCTCATCCTTGCTGCGTATGCCCTCCAAGAACGTACTGTATCAAACCGAAGCACAACATTTAGCCACGACGAGTTTGGTTGTTTTTTGTGGTTTTATCCGCTAAAAAAAAAACATGGAGTATGTTCATTGTCCCAAACGATGAATTCGACTCACTATACAACAACATTGACTAACCATCCAGAAAAACATCAAGTACTTCTTACAAAATGTCTCAATATAAATATCACATTGTGGAGTACAACAAAAAGGTCTGACCCCATCCCATCTGCTACGCCGCTACGCCATGCCCCAGCCCACATGTTCGGCTGCCCGACCCTGAGGACAAGATGGGCACCGCTGGTTTCTGCGCATTGAGAGTGGCGCCATAAGGGAAGACGAACTCCAACCCGCCGTCGTCCTGGGGAAAGGTGAGTAAAAAGGCGTTGGAAAAGGTGAGCCCTCGTAGGATGGAACTGGGATACAACCCAATTAGTTACAGGCCATTTGCTAACATATTTTATATATATATATAATTATATCTAATATATATTGGATTTGCTAACATATTATATATATATGTATATATATGTTGCCTTTTTTTATCAAATTTCAAGTAAAAAACCAAGCCATGTTCATCCCGAATCATCCCAGTCCGCCGCCCGGCGTCTCCTCTCCGTGACGTGACCATGTTGTATGACTATGTGTTGCACCTACCCTATATATGGCCTATATATATATATAAGGCCTATGTAAGTGAATATCACCACAACATATGGCCTGAAAAATGGTACTAACGTACCTCCATTTTAGGATCCTGAAGATCTCCCATTGACAGAGGTTTGTCCAAATTGAAGGCTTTAAACTCTAGTGAGTGAGCGATTGTGACATGACCTGCAAACCATTGGAGACCAGTACCATAGCGATTCTGTCCAACGAAATCCCCAAACCTGCGGTAGATGTTAGCATTCTGCCAGCCCGTCCTAGTGTTCCATTTACCGAATTATGATCTATACAGAGTTACATGGTCTACACATATTAGTTGTGTATAGTTTTGTTTTGTTTTGTTTATGATCCCTTTTGTATTTCCCAATTCCTGGATACTTCGTTTGATAGGAAACCTCACAGTGCACTACGGGCCAGGATCATAGTAGATAGTCCCTGATTGGGCCTGGGAGTGTAGCCCCCATACTTGACCATCATCTTCTGGTTCCGTCTCTTCAACGGTTATTTCATTCAACATATTTGAACGTTTCCGAAGCCACATGATTTTGGGGGTCATGAAAAGGGAGAACATGTATATAAATGTGGTGATTGTTGATACAGGTTTGAAGCCCCCGAACGATAGCTAAGCTGACACAGATTTGTCTTGCTGAATTCTATGGTTTATGGGGGGCATATCATCATACTTCATTGATCATAGATAACTGTAGTGTTCATAGCTCCAGCAACTATGGTTTATGGCAATTATAGCCGCATATTATAGGTTAATAGGTTAACTATATTGTTGATAAATCTTTATGGAACCTATAACTATTATAACTGTAGTATTCATATTCTATTCATCTTGTATTACCCTCTGGTAATTTAACATAGCTATTGAAAATTGCCATTTATAGTGAGTTTTCCCATTAAAAATGGTGATTTTCCATAGTTATGTTAGTTTACCAGAGGGTAATGATTCATGGGGCGAAACTCAACCAACAAAAAAACAAAAAGGTCCCATCGTGGCTTCGGTGAGCTCCCCAGCGACCAGGTCGCCTGTCCGGTCGCCTGTCCTTGGCGACGGTCACGGTCTCTGCATCTTCCTTCCAGGTCCGATGTATATGGTGGGTTTATATAGTGGGATAATATATTCATCGGGTATTAGACCCATGATTATAGTGATATATAGTGGGTTTATATAGACCCATATTACCCATTAACGTTCAGAATAATGGTGATCATCATCATATATTATCATATATTCATGGGGTAATATGGGTCTAAATAGTCTATAATGATCTGTTAATGGGGATATGGGGTCTAACTAACTACATTAATGGGTCCATGATTAATGGGAAATTATGGGGTAACATATAGTCATATAGATCATATACTGTACCCCTGTGGTAACTTGTTACAGTTTGCGAACTGGAAAATCACCATTCTTAAACCATCTAACTAAATGGGCTATCTATAGCCTACAGCTATGCTAGTTTATCTCTCAACAACTTGGGATGTCTCAACCCTTCGTCACAGCCGCGGTGCGAAACTATCTGCATCTACCATGGTCTCAATTGTGTGTCTACGTTGTTAGTACATGTTGGTACACAATAAGGAGGACCTTAGAATCTCGCTACCCTCTGGTAAACTAACATAACCATGGAAAATCACAATTTTCAATGGGTAAATCCACTATAAATGGTCATGTTCAATAGCTATGTAACAAATTACCAGAGGCTAACTTTGTGGTTGGAATCATCGCTGATCCCACCATGCCTTGGTGATGTTCAGAGCCAGCCTTCGCAGGCATCGATGTAGCAAGTGGTAAATCGAATGTCCATTAAAATGCTTCCCAGCACGTGGTATTATGGGGAGCAACTGTATAACACGTTTGGGCTTAGCCACGTGATCTGATGATGTATAACATGACAAAACGATGCCACTGAACAAAAATGAGGTCCTTTTGGGCACACTAGAGTGCCTTTGTACACCCTTTTGCATCATATGATTAGAACGCTGAAAAATGGAGTCGACTACCCCTCGATTAACCTTTGACCATCTGGGACACCTACGACCAATGATCCACACATCGTACCCTTCGCTCAACAAGGATCTCCAAGGCAAGGCAAGTGACTTATCGGTGTTTTCCTTTTCCTGCTTCTTCCTCTCGCCATTGGCTGCGCGAACCTTGGAGAACTGAACATCTGTGGCATCCCAGTTAGCAAGTCGGTTATATATGGGTTGTATAATGTTGTTACTGTATATATCGTGGGCTGTATATGGCTTCTGTGATTGAATGGAATCACAAACTCACCTGGTCGATGTTTGTGCAAATCACCTTCAAAATCCCGCCAGTAAAAAAGTGTGGATTGTCTAGATCATTGCCTAGGCCATGGATTTTCCACATATATAAATATAATTATATATATATAATTATATATACAATTATATATATATATATATTATACCATTATTTACCTCAGGGTACCGTCAACCCTACCCGGTAGGCCCTCCGACCAAATCTCGACAGAGCGTGCCGTGAGTGATCAAACACTCCTGAGGTTACACATGCAGCAGCCAACGACTGGTTGACTTGTATTGAAGGGTACCAGAAATGGGGGTTTTACATAGGGGATCCCCAAAGTTGTTGGTTGATTTTGATGGAAAATCCTAGTAAAATTGATGATTTAGGGGTACATCATGGTACATCCATGACTTAGGAAACCTGCATTTGGGGTCTAATTGTTGATTTAACCCTCTGAATCATTGCTTTCCTCATGAAAGAGTGACTAAGTTAAAAATGATGTGGGATCTCCCCTATTCAAAGATGCTCTATTCTAAGAAACCCTCACTTACAGAGGGCAAATGAATCATAACATTGAGTGCAAGATTTCCATACTAGTGCTGGTACTGCCACAACTTACAATGTCTCTTGTTGCACCAACTTTTGGAGTCACGATCTAGTCCTGGGTTGACAATCATCGGTTCATGCTCGTCAGTTGGGATCATCATCCCATTGGCCTAGGATTGAACCGAGCATTTGAACCAGCAACATCCCCCATAGGTTTTCAATGGTTCTCTCAATGGTTAAATCCCGGTTTCAACCAATAGCTGGTGCCTCGCCCCAGCAAGCGCTCCTTGGGATGATGGTACTTGTGGTACACAGTCCGAACCTCGGTCGTTGGGGAAAAATGGCCATCTTTTCACATGGGGAAAAAATGGGAAAATTATGATGCACCATAGATGTTGGAGGATTTCCGGACGGTTCCCCCCCCAAAAAAAAACAAAATCAGACAACCGGATTTGTTGGGATCGCAAGGGGCCCCAAGCGAATCAAGCCCCTATGCCTAGACCTGGAGATACCTTGAGCGTTTATCATGCTCAGCAAATGGTCAACGGAAAAGATTGAACCGCTTCACGTGAGAAACGTGTTGAGGTCTTTAATTTGATGCAAACCCATGTGTCGGGAAAATATCCACAAGTTCAACCTGATTACATCCACAGACTGAACATCAAGTTGTTGGCAATGCTTTGATGTCCTGTCTTTGTCTTCAGCGCAGCCGTTGCACCAAAGCCTTTTTCTCTCCATCAATGCATAGTCATTGCACGCAGATTGATTAACAGCACTACCAGAAAGCACTGAGCCACTTGGGGCAGCTTTGGATAACAGCGGCAAAAACCCTTACACCAATCGCTTGTAAGGTGCCTGTTTGAATGTACATCTCCTGACTCACCATGACAATTTCATCATTCCCCTGGGTTTCTGCCACTGCCCCTCAATGTTGCAGAGTTGGATCGGCCTTTAACTCCTCTCCTTGGGCAGATCCAGGTCCGGCGTCCCCGCGGCCGGAGTGGATTCGATGCCGCATTCGTTGGTGCCGCGACGGATCTTGAACAAGCCGTGCATCCCCCAGTGAGGAGAATAGGAGTTCGCAATCAGCCAGTAGTCCACGGCTTTCTTGCCCAGCTCCTGGATGTGTGTTGAATGACAATGTGGAGGATAAATGCAGCTGATCTCTGATAAATGCCATGGTGCCATGGTCTGTTGTATAGCATATACTGTCATATGCTATATATCTATAATATATCTATATTTACTCATCTATAAAGCTATTTATATCAATTTATACACTTGGATCGTCTAAAGAATCATGATTCCTAGGAATTAATGGTGAACAAAGCTGGATGAAGCTGGTATGTCGTGGTTTAAAAAGATGTGCATTTCTGAAAGCCAATTATCCGATTACTACAGAAACATTCCAATCATCTGCTAACCCATTGCATTTCAACCCGTAATCAGAACCAACATGTCCATTGCTGAGACATTTAGGAACACACCCCGTTTGGGAACCAACGGATCTCCAATCTTGTGGAAATCAAAGTCCATGAAAATTCCAACACGCCCCAGAGCATACCCTCGCCATTTGATGGTTTATGAAAGGATTCCCAAATCATTTGGGCATGGGGTATGCTCCATCTGTCAAAACGTCCAAACCCTGGAAACATTTCCCATTCTGAAACCCCAGCACCCAAGCGTTCCATCGGTCCTCGTCAATGCCCCAACCCAGCAGGCGAACAGCATGTCCTGCACCGGATTCCCATAATCCTTAAAGGTCCTTAAAGTGTCCTGAAAGTGTCCTTGAGGTGTCCTCAATGTCCTTATGTGGACTTACATGAGTAAATGGCCAAAAACGGCCGGTCTCTCAACAAAACATAACTAAATATTTAAACACAATCAAATCTGTATATGAGTCTACTATAGTCTACTATAGATATTTAATGACATTTGAAAATATCAGTTCATCTGCTCAACCTGAAACTTGGCGATTTTCCAGATGCTCCTCCCAGTGGTCCATAAGCACCCGGAGTTCGGAAGTAAACGCCGCTCCTGGAGAGGCGATGCATCCCAACTATAATGTGTGGTTTATAGACCCAACCCATATTGAAGCTGCATATATAACATTATATAACTGAGGTATGTTCATAATTCTCCCAACTTCATGGCATATCTTGAGGCTGAAACATGGTGTGGAGATCTTGAAAAGAATCCTGATGCGTTGAAGGTGCCCTCAGATCCTACCGCGCAAGCGCTGAAGCGCTCCTGTAGTTCATAAAGTCCGAGAAGACCTTGGTGATTCAGCGAGTGACTTTTTGTTGGATGTCCCAATTCATTGGTGTTGCCAAATCACTATCTATAGACCCTGATGTTTACCAAGCTTGATACTGTTATGATATTATCTGGGAGGTTTTCCGGTCAAACAGCTCCTTGTCCAGTGTTTGTGGACTCGGCACTAGAATATCTCCGCTTGTGACCCATTGTATCTGCAAGTGAATGTCCTCATTTTATCCCCCAAAATATATATATATATAATATATATATATATATACCTCAAAGCCGTCTCAACAATCAAGATACAGTACATCCTTCGTTTGCTCTTTTTTCCAAGCAAACATTTCGGGATCCCTGAAACATAGATTTGCTGATTGGCGAATGCAACCATCTCATGTTTGGGCTTACAACGTTGGTCACATTCCTGTGGATCCCCCAACGGTTACCCAGTTGGTTTGATCCCGAAGTCGGTAGACCGTTGAAGATCCCATAGGATCCACGTATGCTATATATGGTAACATTTACCATCAATATACCCCACATGCTAGCATATAATAACATATATACCATTGCTATGGATCCTATGGGTATGTTTGCGACAATCCCAACGTTCGGTCACTTCAACTACCATTCTTGGTAGATGATAGCCACCCCACCACCTCGAGTCATAGCGAGTCCATAAACCCATCCAACTATAGATGCGTGCACCGTGAAGCTATCCGCTAACCGCTAACCTGTACGTTATATTTAGATTCAACTTGGCACATCAAAGGCACCACTTGGCATTTCTAGAGCCATGTGTAGATGATTTATCTACATTGATTTAAGAACTAAAATGCCAGCTTTCCAGCCAAGCAAAATTGTCAGAGGGCCACCCCCAGGTGTTTCTTTAGGAAGTACCTTAGCTTACTACGAGTAGAGGGGCTAAACCCAATATAAACCCTCCCAACCCGAACCGGTCATTCATACGACGTTGCCTTCAGCCATGACTAAAATGAATGTAAGTCCTGTGAAGTCCCGACTTTGACATTTGACTTGCTGTTCACTGCTTGGATGCCCTTTTGGCTGCTTCGGGTCCTGTTTTCCTTGGATCTTCTCCCCCACTTCCGGTGATTTTAACACCTAGTCTTTTGTCTCGAGATACAAGATATACTTCTCCCGAATTCTATAAGAATGTTTGTAAGTCTATAACACGAGCTTAACACGTGTATATAATACAGAAAACACTGGTGGTTGTTATGGAACACCATCACTTGGTAAATTTGATAATACCTTATAACATCTTATAACACTATATAACATATAACATCATATAACACATACCGTTTAACATCCGTTTACCTTTACCATAACATGATTCACCATTGATGATTTACTTGAAAACAAAGTTAACATTATTTACCATCAATGGTTGTTCCATGCTCCGCCAAAACACGTAGAAGGCCACCTCCACAGGCCCGGCCAGCAGCAGCTCGCGCTGCAGCGTGTGCACGTCGCGGGGCTTCGCCACGGCGTAGGCCTGGCAGGTGCTAGGTCGGTAGTTGAGTTGGTAGTGGGATTCAATGGAAAAAAAAAACAGGGGTTGGTAACTGTCCTACTTGAACATCACCCAACTATTGGGGATAGTAATATAATCTCCAACAGATACTTTTTCAGGTGATGTTCAAAATCTCCAAAATGGGACATTTACCAAGCCCTGAAAAATAAGCCCTTATTGTGAGAGGCATTTGGATTTGTTCGAGTTGATTGGGATTCTGGATGTGGTTGGACAAATCAAACACTGAACCTTTGTTCTATTTATGTGTTGGAAACAAACACTGTTTCTTTTGAAAAGGTTTAAAAATCGGTTCTTGTTTGTGGGTGGTAAAACAAATTGAACTAAGTGAACTGTGGGAACAACAATCACCTTCGGGATTGACACTGCACTTTTTCCGGAATTTCAAATCTGGATTGAAAGCTGCTGCCAGATCCAGTATGCACGTACCCTTGTCAGAATCTCATCACATCTCGTGTCATCTAAAGACAAAGTAGAACCTACTCACACGAGAATGGCTTCGCAGGAAGGAAAGTGAGCTTTCAGCTAGGCAAAACCAAACCACATCCTCTCAGCATAGCTGATTTACAGTGACATGTCGTTACTTTTCATCGTTAAACTGTGTCAAAAATGGAGGTTTCCGAAGTCATGGGGGTACCCTCTGGTAATTTAACATAACTATGGAAAATCACCATTTCTAATGGGAAAATCCACTATAAATGGCCATTTTCAATAGCTATGTTAGTTTACCAGAGGGTATCCCTTTAAAATCACTATAAAAGTGAAGTTTTCTTACCATAGAAGCACCATAAAATATCATAAAATCACCATAAAAATGGAGGTTTCCTAAGTCATGGGGGTACCCCCAATTTTTCCAAGTCCTTGGACCAGGACTTCGGATTCACCGATCCCGAGCGCCTCCGAGACTCGGAAGAAGGTCATCTGGGAGCCGTCGCTACACTTGCCGCCACCTGGCGGTTTTTTGGAGGCCCCGGTGGAAAGTCTCCTGGGGGCTGCAGTTCCAGTGAACTAAGTGAGTTATATAAACTATGGATCAATACCTATAAGTACCATTTTTAGGGGGATGAACATCCATTTACCAGCTATTTTGATGTTCACCAGGGGTACAAGGTTTTGACACACTGCCATATACCAAGAATCGTAGGGCAAGCATCTATAACTATGGGATCTTTATGGTGTAGTTAGCATTAAGTTTCGGTAGTTATATGCCTATGGTAATACCCAGAAGTGGTGAACCAAGTGGTTATATCCCAACTTATGGGGATTGTTACCATAGTTATATCCATTAATAACCCCTGCGTCCCAAGTAGCTGGGACTTGTCCTAGATCTGGGGGATTTTTGTTGTGGGCAGCTGACTTGGATATAAGACTCGGAATTTTCCATCTGGAATCCAAAAAAGTTGCTGGGACATATTCATTGGATTTTATTGGATGGTGATCCAGAGAGTAAGGTTGATGTGCATCAGATGCATCATTTATCTTAGTGTTCTCCCAATCTTCCCATTTTGTTTAGATCCTCATCCCTGGGACTTTGTCCAGTAACATGCCATCATCTCCCTGCAAAATGGTCGGTTTCGAGTGATACCCGATATTTTGCAAAAAAAAAAACTGGGCAAACCCATGTCCAGTATATATTCATAGTATCCCCTGATTCTATACCAACTATATCCACATCGCAGATGATTTACACCTGTCACCTGTTATACCCTCTGGTAAACTAACATAACTATGGAAAATCACCATGTTTAATGGATAAATCCACTATAAATGGCCATGTTCAATAGCAAACTGTTAGTTTACTGGAGGGTACCCCTATCTCCTGTTGATAGCCCAGCCCAGTGTATCCCACTGTTGTGGGATATTGTTAGTTCCCGATGGTTCATGCTGTAGCTGTCAAGAAATCTGCATGCTATGTAGGACCTACCATTACCTCTAACTATGTAGGACCTACCATTACCTCTGATTCAATAGCCATCAATGAATTACCTTAAAGGCTATCCATCACAGGTCATGCCCGCGACGATCAACGCCGTTCGCTCCGAGCGACAGATCGAGCGTTGCTTCGCTTCGGAGCTTCGGCCGTAGGGAACAAATGGCCTGTGAGGATCATCCCATGGACAGCGCCGATAGATTCCCTATGTCCTGTATCGAAAAACCATTCTCACATATGAATATATTGTAACTACATTAAATTTGTATATATATATATTATACAGTAATTATATATAGTTATATTTTTTTGTATAGTTATATACAATTATATATATATATATTTATTTATATGTGCACCCCAAGTGTAGAAATGTAATGAAATGTATATAGTCCATGCGTCATTTTTATGTTTCCGTTGAAGAAATCTCCCAGCCTCTTCTCCCAGCCATAGGAGCAGCTGCGCTGCGTAGGCACTGGGCAATGCATGTAAGGCGCACAAGACTCCTCCAACTTTTCCATGATAGTTGAGCTGGTAAACATACAAAAAACTATGGAAAATCACCATTTTTCATGGGAAAACTCAGTATAAATGGCCATTTTCAATAGCTATGTTAGTTTACCAGAGGGTAGTTGAGCTGGTTAAACATGTTGCAGCATCTTTTTGGGTATTTTCATTAAAAAAATAGATGCTTTCGATTTTTTGGATGGTCAAATTATCATAGATTCCACGTTTTCCCCAGTTGCATCATCATCTTCCAGGCATTCCCATCAGGTGCTTGACATTGCCATATTAAAATTCCCCATCCACTAAACACATCCCCAAAATTCAGCAAAAATCCCCCAGTTTCCCGGAAGTTGGACTTCAAATCATCCCATTTTTCTAGTTTCCTGTGATGGTTCAAATCCCCATTTCACAACCTACTCCGTTGGTAAAACTCCCAAGATCCCATATGATCCCAAATATTTTGACCCAACCCAACCATCTTCCCACCGAACTTTCATGGGATCCTCCCAGTTTCCCTATGGATCCTCCATGAAATCATCCCAGGTCCTCAAAAAGAGTTCCCCATGGGATTTCCCAGTCAAATCATGAACCAATGGTTTCTAACCACCAACCAGCCATTTTTATGACGTCAAAAATGGCCTTTTTTTTGTTGAGTAAAATCCTCCATGAAACTACCAGGTCCTGAGTTCCCCATGGGATTTCCCATGGGATTTCCCAGTCAAATCCTCCATAAATCCTCCATGAAACCCACCGTCCTTGGGGATGCCGTGGCGCTTCAGGAAGCCCCACGCGTCATCCAGGCGCCCCCCGCCGCAGCCGTTGTTCTTCTCGTCGCACTGCACCAGCAGCTCCGGGGCCAGTGAGAGGCCCTGCATGTCCTGCGGCTGTGTTTTTTTGGGGTCGTTTTATGGAGATAACTCTGCATAGTCTATATGTACACTGTGTATATATATATACACACAATATGGAATATATATATATATATGAATACTGTGTTTACATATATGATGCAGTAATTCGATCATATTTCAGGTCAACAACCATTGATTAAGGGAAGAATATGACCAGTATATGACCAGTATATCCCACAGCTAACCAGCTCCATTTCCTTCGACCCAACCTCCAAGCTGCTCGCATTGGAGGCGCCCTGTAGCAGCTTCAGCTGACCCGCTGCCTGCTGCGCGGCCACGCAGAAGCGGTCCGTCATCACCTGGACAAGGGTCAAAGCAACAAATATCGAAAAGAAACTGGACATATAATGGGGATATAATGGGGAATATCATGTGATGGGGATATCCTTGTTATATCCCCATGATATCCCTGTTATATCCCTGTTATTATCCTTGTTATATCCCCATGATATCCCTGTTATATCCCTGTTATTATCCTTGTTATATCCCCATGATATCCTTGTTATATCCCCATATCGCCATTATATGTCAAAGCAACAAATATCCTTGTTATAATGGGGATATGGGGATATAACAAGGATATCATGGGGATCAGTCAAGTGATGACAAAATGAGGTGAAAAAATGTTAAGGTGGATGTTATTAGCAAAGAAAATGAAAAAACATGTTGATGTGTATAGATTTAACCAGCTAAAATACTTACGACATGGGGATTTACTCAGCAGAAATGTGGACTCCACCCAAGAATCATGGATTCAAGCAACGAGGAAGGTTACAACATCGGGATTTAACCAGGTTTTTTTTTTAGCAGCATAACATGGGGATGTGATCCAGAAACATAGAAATCTCATGGGGAAAACATGTTTTTCGAAGAGGAGCTTCTAAAGGATTCAACTGTTTCACTTAAAAACAAAAAGTGAACACAACGAAAACATGAGGATTTAATCGGCAACAATGAGGACGACCACGCAGCCAAAACGAAGGGAATAGATATATAATATCTAATAATTATGTATAATATAGGTATAATATATATAATATATATAATATATATAATATATATAATATATATAATATATATAATATATATAATATATAATATATATAATATATATAATATAATATATATATAATATATATAATATATAGAATATATAGAATATATAATATATATAATATATAATATATATATAATATAATATATATAATATAATATACATATAATATATAATATATATAATATATATAATATATATAATATATATAATATATATAATATAATATAATATATATAATATATAATTAATGTGTATATATATAATTAATGTGTATATATATAATAATAATGTATAATAAAATTATATATATATATATAATATGATATTTAATATATATATAACCATATCACTACCATAGTTTCATAATGAGGGTACAATGGGATTGAAATAACCAATAGCATAATACGGGTTTGTCCAGAAATGGGGTTTACCCTTATGATGAGAAAATGACGATAAACCCTTGGATGGAGTTGGATGTTCCTATAGATTAATGGTGATTAATAATGGTTAATAGTGATTAATGGTGATTAATGGTGATTAATAATGGTAATGTTCAAACAAAATCACGTATTGCCTTCTCCGGTATTGAACAATGGGCTACCAGCCAGGATCATCCAGTAATTCTTCAATTTATGTGACGCCTTTATTAATTAACCAATGCGAAAAGGGTTGGTCATCTCCCGAGTTTGGAAACAAACTTCAGTTGACACGATACAAGCTCTACAATTTGCTGCTCCCCAGCCATGTTTGCATAAACGCTCCAAGATGGTGCACAGGAAAGTTGTGTTTCTTGGTTGATAGCCTCCAGCCTCCATTCAAAAATGCTGTTCCTATTAAGACCTCCATTGAGTTCCGGGACTTTCCATCTATAAAACCCGCTAAATCACCATGTGTCATAGGTAAAACCCATTAAACCACCATCTTTCATATCATTTCCCAGCCATCTCTACCATCGCGACCTCCAGCCTGTCCCGCTTCTGGGCCATGTGACTGTGGCGGCAGCCACCGCCCAGCAAGAGCCGCAGCGACCCTGGGACAGTCAGTGTTGGTTGAACTCCTCTAAGAGAATCTGAAATGGCCCAGCCAGACACAGCCAGATAGATATTTCGCTGATATGTGATTGAGGAATTGGATATTTCACTGAGCAATCGGACATTACAGTTACAGTATGCATACAGCATATATATATATATTATAATATGTGAAAAGCATGTGCTGTGTAAAGAAATGATAATATGGAATCATATGAAATCATTCTACAAGGAACTACGACACACCATGATTTGGAAAGATCCTTGAGAAGATCCATCCCTTTTAATATCCACTACGAGCATGAAATTTCCTCTACAACTCTCATACTCTCTTCGTCCTTCAATGATAGATTCTCTGCCATGAAAACCAATCAAAAAAAGTGATCCAAACATCCTAAAACCTTAACAATTTCGTAAATCAAATGTTCGCCCATTGCCCTAAACTCAAGTCTCTTCAACCTTTGCTTCATCATATATGGCTATGGGTTTGAGTCAAATTTGGAACCCAAACATCTTGAATCCGTTTCTCATCCTTTTCCTTAACAACTACATATTTGAGATAAGTCCAATATGGAGGTTTCCTGAAATTAAAGTACCCCCAAATCATCCATAGATGGATTTTCCCTTATAAACCATCCATTTTGGGTACCCCCATTTATGGAACCCCTATGGATCCAACATGATCCAGCGTATCCCCGCCTATCCCCGCCTGGTTGCGGATGAGACCGATGGAGTTGCACTTGGGCCATTGCTTCCGCGCATCGAAGATGGCAGGGACGTCTGGCGACGCCTCGTTCGCTTCCGTCTCGTGGCGTAGGAAGCTGGGCCTGGCATCAGTCGGGGGCTTGGAAGACTGGGGTTCACAACAAGAACTGGCGTGTTTCCAGGGTCTATCTACATTTTGGGGATGGATTTCCGGGATTTCCATGAAACAAAAAAGATTTCCATGTTTTTTTTGTTTTTTTTTCCATGTGGCGGTTATAACATGTTATAACTGTTCATGTTTGAGGGTCGAATCACCAGCACCTGGCGGCTCCTTTGAGTGGCAGCTTCAAGGGACCCATCTCTGTGCCCAGCGAGGAAAGCACCTCGCGCACCTGCGATGGCGGTGAGCCCAAAGTGATGTGCTGCTGATGAGGTTCTAAGTATCCACCTATGAGATGTATAATACATGGTACTTGGTGGCTCATCCCACTTAGTAAGTGGGTTGTAACCCCAGTTATAAATGGGATAAGTAGGGTTAATCCACTTATAACTGGGGTTATAACCCACTTACTAAGTGGGATGAGCCACCAAGTATAATATATATATATGTAATACATAATACGTATGCAATATATATATTGTACACTATATATATACTATACGTATACTGTATCTATCTATACACCACATATTATACATATATGCAATACTATATGTATATAACAAGAACAAACTATAACATGCTGGAACCACATAGGGACCCCTCACACCATCCCGATTCCCTAAGTAAAACTGACGACGCTCGAAATGTTTTTTGACATCCACCTCCAAAAAACGTTTCTATAAATCTCCAAAAAGAGGCTTCAGTTCCAATGAACTAAGTGGATATCTAATCAATCTAATCCCATCCACCTAATTTTAAAGAACCCCCCCAAAAAAAGGTCCCAAATATCTGGAAAATCAGGGGCTCCATATCCGTCATCATCAGCACCATGGCCACCTTCAAGCCGTTCCAGAAGTCATAGGCGCCCGCGTCCCAGCGGCCAGCTGCTTCACCTGGAAGTCGTTGAACCAGAAGAAGAAAGCTGAGTTCTGCGGGAAACGAACAACTCAGCTGGATATGAACCGATATGAATTAAACATAATTAACCTGAGAGTTGTTTCGATTTTTTGGATATGAACTGATATGATATATTTTTTTTATCTAACTGGGAGTTCTTTCGCTTTTGGATGTTTTTTACCGACAAAATCGTCCCAAAAACTGCCGTGCTTCGGGCCAGTGGCGGTTGATGCGCTGCAGTCGCTTCTCAGCGTTCAACTCTTCGTCCAATTCCTCTTCACCAGTGCTTCCCTGGTCATGGCATCAGATGGTCTTTCATGGCGCATGTTAACCAACAAAAAACAAAATGGTGCATGTAAACCAAAGAAACAGGGAATAATATATATACTAGGCTTGGTATATATATATATATATGTATGTATATATATATGTGTATGTATGTGTATATATATATATATATATATATATCCGATGTTTTTCTTGGTTAACATGCACCATGTTGCTTTGTTTAACCACAATATTCCATTATTGAAAATTGATCCAAATGTGTCTTGTTGGTGAAAAAACCTGACAAAGCATCCCCTAATTTTGATGGTCAAATCCATTCAAAACGCCCATATTTGATACAAACAGACATGTTCCCAAGGTCATATTCCCATGTTTGATAGGTTGATTCCAAATATTAATTCCCCAACTCTCTCTAAATATATATAATTCTATATATAATTATATGGATATTCTATATATATATATATATAGATTTTCTCTCTCTCTATATATATATATATATATAGTATGTATATATATATATATTCCCATCCTTTCGCTGGATATTCCCCAGCCATTCATCAAACATCGCCCGCCTGCGTGAGATCTGCGCATTCTCCGCCGGCCACGCCTTCAGTGGCGTCCAGGAGAGTTGCGTTCGCCCTGGTGGAGCCATGAATGGCATCGATGGCTTTAATGGGTTTTCAATGGAATTTTCAATGGGATTTTCAATGGGTTTTAATGGGATTTTCAATGGGTTTTAATGGGTTTTAATGGGTTTTAATGGCTTTAATGGGTTGTCATGGCCTGGAATTATAGATTTTCATGGGATTTTTTGGGGGGATTAATTTAATCATTTGATTTAATGGGATTTAGATTGGTGTTCTTCTGAAAATATGGGGATACCTCAATAGCTAAGTTCACCAACTTAATCTTATCACATCTTATTGCTGTATAATAACTATAGGGTTCATGGTGACTATAAACATCTATAAACCATAGTTGGCTGGATTTATAAACCAAGCTCTCACATGGGTTAAAACAACCCCATGTTTTTGGGGGATGGTCATCAATTCATCCATAAGATTCCCGGGGATGGATGACAACGATGACAATCGAATATCATGCTTTGACCATGGCACATGAACTCACAATACCGTTGCCACATTATTGGGATTAATTTAATATAATTTAGCTGCGAATGGGTATACAGCTGACAATAACACCTTTATGAATCTGAGTGGTAATCAGCATGGTCAAATATCTATGAGTGTGTACAAGAATGGGTAATTGGGCCCTATTAAAATGGGTGGACATACACAGGTTCAATCATGTGAACACTTTGACAATGCACTCAAAACCCAACTGTTCTCCACTTACGTGATTCCAGCTATCGTTGAATTGCAATGCAAAATAGACCTGGAACATCCAGAAACGGCCAAAGCATGCCCAAGGATTCACTTTGTAACAATAAAGTGAAACTTGATTACATAGCCCAAAGAAGAATCACACCTGAAATTACCAGAATAATTTCCAGCACCAGCCTGAGGCATATCCTTTATATATATATATATACCACTGATAAGAACTGTATATATAAACCACATGTGTATGTACATGTGTATATATATATATATATATCATGTATTTACACATATACATGTAGTCACCCAAAATGGATACAACAGGCATTTACTTCCATGTTGGTGGCTCTCCATGTTTTCCCATCTCAATGGCGTCGCCATGCGTCGTCTCTGCCTCTGGAGCACTTGGGTGCTGCGCGTCTTTTCGAAGATGGTGACTTCTTCCCCAGGCGCCACCTGGAGCCACGAGTTGGAGCAACGAGTTGGAGCATCATCCCACTATGCCCAGTTAGCAACTGGTTAATAACCATAATACGATCATACCTGGCTTGTACAAGGTGGGGCCCCCCAGTTATAAGATGGTTTATAAACCCCATTAACTATAGTTATAGGTACCATAAACCATAGTTATTGGAGTTATAAACCAACTCAGCTATCTAGGGGGCCCCACTTTGTAAGATCTGGCTTGTAATATATAATGATTAATAATCATAGTGAGTTATCTCTATGTATATTCATACCTAGCTGGTAATTATGGTTACTGACTAGTTATGAAATGGTTAGTTCATAACCCTGGTGATCGCAAGTGCGCTAAGTGTCTTATCCCATGTTTTGGGATTTGTGTGACATTTGGGGATACCCCCAAACGCAGAACTTTTACAAGGAAAATGGTGAAGCAGTATTGGGGTTACCCTATTTTTGGACAAACTTATTTCAATGTGCCCCTCAAAACACTTAGTAGTATATGACTATAAGTGGTTAGTTGTTTGTATAAAATACGATAGAGCTAGTACTGATCCGTGGTTCAAACAGGAGGGTTGTTGGGGATGATCACCATTTCAGGAGAGAAACAGCATCTGTACAGGAAGGGGCCCCGTACATAGCTTAGTTAGTTGATAACTAGGCTAGTGAATGGATCTGTGGATATCTAGGGTATATATATATATACCCTCTGGTGAACTAACATAGCAATTGAAAATGGCCATTTATAGTGGATTTTCCCATTAAAAATGGTGATTTTCCATTGCCATGTTAGTTATCCATAGGGTATCTACAGTTGGAAGCAATTGGATAGGCAGCAAAGCAAAATTTACAACCGGAAACCTCCATCTTGCACAAGATTCAGGATTTGTCATTGCTATATATCTTTTTGTTTATACTGTCAATGGGAATTTCAGGAACCGAGTTATTCGAGGTGCCTACCATATATAAGGCCTATGTTTTAGGCCTAAATTTCAGGGAATCTCCGAGTCTCCCCACAAAATATGGCCAACAATATGGTACAGTCAGTACCTCCATCTGTTGGATCCTGAAGATCTCCCAATCTGATACTGCTTAAGCAATGCCAAGGGGCCCCAAACTTTGCAACCCACCCGTTTCCGAGTTTCCGATTCGCGCCTCATCAGACATGTCCGGGCCGTCCGGGGTCCTGCACCAGAGAGAACAATGGATGGGCCCCAAAGTATGATAGTAAAGCAATATGTTGGGCACCTCATCCATAGTGTTAGTAATTATGTCCTCATCCATAGTGTATAAAAGCATGATGTATCTATGATAGTATCTATGTTCTCAATAGTTTTCATAGAATATCATAGAATATCATAGATATACATAGCTACACCACCTGGTTACATAGCTATGGAAGCCCCCATTTAGTTTGATGATCTATGACGATCCTGGTCTCATTGTCGTCATCCTCCGGCAGCCGTTGGTAGGTCAGTCGATACCTACGGAACAACCGGTGGTAGATGTCAGTTGGGATAGTGGTTCTCAACCGCTGTTAACCCATATCATAATTAGTTGGGAATGTTTGTTAACCCATCTTTATATATATATATATTACTGGGGAGAACAGGGGTATATATCCCATTTGAAACTGGGGTATGTGATATGGTCATTACCCACTTACCAACTGGGAAGCGCATCTTAAATAACACGAAGAACAAACACGACGCTTGACCGATTGCTCCAAACTGCGGTCACTTCGTTGATAGAGGTTTCCATGAAGGGCGTTGTTGGTTGTGGTAGTCGCAGGTTAGGTAAAGCCTCATGTCCAGTGATTGTGATTATTCTCAGTAGGAGTGACATGGGTCACTGCTTAAGTCCTATCTTTGCCAAGTGTTCAAGGGTGCTTTATACATCTTTATACCCACTGTTCTTAAGCAAATGTGTATTATAGAATTATAATATATATATACACATCATATGTGATTAAATGTGCACGTATATATATATATATATAACTATGTATATATATATATATATAATTGTATGTATCTATGTACATATATATTTATGTGTGTATATATAATCATAATCATATATATATGACTATATATATATACGTATATATATATATATATACGATTATATATGTATATGAATTAAACTTACTTAGATTGAGCTACATTATTTCCCTACCCGCACCTAGCCCCCTTTGGATCTTCGCCAAGTTTCAAGGATTCTGTCGACAACAACTCCCCTTTGTCCGCCACACAGAACTCGAAGGCCGATGTCATGGTCACAATACCTTCGCCGCTGTCATGGTGAGGCTTCCATGGTCCATTAAACCTCACCTAAAACTGATCAATCTTGGGCATGTTCCAATCAAAGTGGTCTTTTAGTGTTTTACATAGGTATAAAATAATTATTATAAAAAATCATGAAATCATTAAGAAATCAACAAACTTCAGGTGTGAAATGATAAAATCCCAGGAGCAAACCACCAACCAGCCAAATATTTCTTTGATGCGCAAGTTCCCTTCCAAGGAAATCACCGTTCCCATCCTGCCTCTCGGACGCTGCTGCACCAGCGACTTCAGCTCAGTCAGGGCCTTACCCTCAGCCTCATCCTGACTGCCAACTTGGTCCATGACCCTGGCTTCAAACATGGTGGAACCCACCAAGACATGGGGGATTGAATCAGAACCATCCAACACGTGGATCTAATATGATCTAATCATCCAAGATCATAAAAAATCCATCTAATTTGGATTGATTCAAGGAAATCCATTCCCATGGAGACCTTCATCTTAACCAAAAACCGTGTTTTTTTTTGGCCCTGGACATGAAGGTCTCCATGGGAATGTGCCAAACAATGGGCATACATACTAATTTTGGCGAAATGAAAAACATGAAGATCAACGTTGACATTGGTGCTCAAAATCTGGCTTACATTCCGAAAAAAAAATCAAGCCAATGAACTATATTATGTTTGGCAACTTTGGTATCTTTGGTAACTTTGGTAACTTTGGGCCTTAAGCAACCAACTGTTTTCTGGTGCTTCTCCTTGTTCTTGTGTGTTCTGTACTTCCGTGTGCACCTGCGTAAGAGCACCTGTGTATACTTACATGGGCCATGGGATTAGCTGACTGGTTGGTAACTGGGTTAAACATACGAGTCAATTATATCCAATTATAATACCCAGTGAATTTCGATGTTTCACCCAGTTAATTATATTGTCACTATATCCCAATTATAAGCCATTTACAAACTAAGTATGCCATTTTATGTCAACTAACATGGTTGGTAAATGGCATGTCAACTAACCATCCAACTAACTCCATGGCCCATCTATGCCATGTCTCCGTCCCGTCATTGTTCCCCGCCTCCAGAGCTTGCATCCACCACGAGGACAGCTCCGAGTCCATGCCCAAAGTCTCTGCCAGGGCCTGGCGATGGAGGGATATATGATATAACCATAAGTTGGGATATAAAACTGGGATATAACTATGGTAATCAAGTCAAATAAAACCATAAGCCGAGATATAACCGCTAATTATAACTACGCTTAATATAAGCACTCTTAGCTGGAACTGCGCTCCCAAGTGGGGTTCTCCATTCATAAGTTCCGTCAGTTCCCATTCACTGGGCAAATCCACCAGCGGCTATGTGCTGCCCCCAACATATGAGAGTTACGTTGTTTCATCAACCCCATTCACATCCATTAACTACAGTCTTTGAAAAGTAAAAATGCCATGAACCATGATTATTGAAGCTATTTGCACCAACTGTGCAATCGTTTGGGGGCCACACCTTATACAATTTGCAAAACCATGTTTGTTGGGGAGATCGTGATTCTATCTATAAAATCATTTTGAGCCATGCCTACCTGGTACGCACTTGCGATCTAAGTGTTGGTGGTGAATTGAGATTGGCAGTTAAAGGGGATTCAATCAACCAAAGGGTCACTCTTTGAACCCAGGCAAAATATGTGCTGGTTGGTGGTATACCTACCCCATCCTACCCCTCTGAAAAATGATGGAGTGAAAGTCAGTTGGGATGATGACATTCCATTCCCATATGAAATGGAAAATAAAAGCCATGTTTGAAACCACCAAGGTGTGGACTCTTTGACTCATTTGCCCAGGTCAAAACCGGTGGGATGAACATGGTCCCATCATGTCCCATCACCGTGCCTGCACCATGGGACCCAATGGCATGCTGCGCGACTCGTTCACCCTCCATGGTCTGCACGTCAGACCGGTGATGTTCTTCACGCCTGACCGAAAAGCACGTGGCGTCTGATTGACCTCCCAAGCACGCAAAACCCTATATATACATATGATGATATATGTATGTATTATAAGTTATTATATTACACACTGTATATATGGATTGTCCTATTTTTGCTCCATGTATGGAATATTTAGCAACATTTGCCCCATAAATGACCCAAATGTAGGTCAATATACTATACATCCAGCAAATGAGTATCTAAAAAGCCTTACTAAAATTCCACGCTTGCACCTGCCTTCAGCAAGTGTCGCCATGTCGTAGATCTGCAATGGGACTTTGTAGATGTCGCTCCTTGGTTCGGCCAATTCGGCCAAGCAGCCAAGGGTAGGTCTCAACATTGCAACAAACATCTATGTATGCCCTCTGGTAAGCTACCATAACTATGGAAAATCACCAGTTAAATATGAGTATAAATAATCCACTACAGTCACTATAAATGGGCAAATTTCTATAACGAAATGACCGGAGGCTGAAATCATCCAAAATCACCCAAAACAACACCTGCCCCCATCCCAACCATCAAAATAATCGAATCATCCAAGTCTCATGGCACCCAGAAACAGCATGTGCTGCATCTCTTCCTTCGACATCTCCAGCGTTTCGTTGCCCTCGTCCTCCTCGTCCTCCCGTGCCAGGCGCAACAGGCTGACACCACGGCGGCCCAGCTGGGCGCGCAAACGCTGGAGGTGCGTGAAGCGGTGGCGGCTTGGCATCATGCTCTCGGGAGGGTAGAGGTCCTGGGACTGGGGTGAGATTTCCAAATGTTCTACGCCTGCTGTGAATACACTGCAAGATAACATGATATATATATATATATATCATATATATATAATGTAGTACAGTATAATGGTATAACTTAGAACATACTTACTAGAGTATATATGATCTAATATAACAAAAATCAATCAACATTTATATAGTTTAATCATGTTTAATATATATATAAAGTTATATATAATTATACGTATACATACATATGATGTTTTATATCATAGACATATGTAAATATGTGCTTGAACATCACAGAACTGGTTCATTATTTTCGCCCAACTCCAGGTGGAAAGTCAATTGGTTTCATCATCCGAATTGGGACAAGGGGAGAAGGAGGGCTTTAACCAACAAAAATGGTCGTTTGCTTGGATTTAACCAACAAAAATGGTGATTCAATGTGATTTACATAATAGGATATAATTATATATAACAGGGGTAAATGTAGTAACATATCCTTCTGTAATATGTTACATAGCTTTTGACCACCATCTTGCATAGCTATGGAAAGTCATGTCGAATTTAGTTTAATGATGTACCTATACACGGTGATATTCCATAGCTGGCTCTTAAATTACAAGAGGGTAAGAGGGTATATCTGATTCACCAACAACATAAATATATAAATCTACTTGAAAGGGAGAAACCACCACTTGATTTGTTCATTGCCCGTAGGAAATGCCACCCAAACCAAAATAAACTACAAGTACCCCCTCGTCATTTAACATACTGTAACTATCGAACACTACCACTTTTCATATGCATGTTTAATTAAATTTATTCATCTATAAATTATATATGATTACATAAATGGCTGATTGTCCATAATCTATTTCCGTTTGACCCGAAAGGATCAAACCAAAAGGATGCACCAAAGCACGGCAGCTTGACCAAAAATCTATGGATATTCCTGGTTTTTCGCGGGAAAATGATCTAAAAATGATATATTTTTTATAGCTAGGCTAGGCTATTTAAGTATACTGAGTGTATCCAGTTGCTGTGGATGGATTGTGTATCTAAATTGAGGGATTCCCGTCCCTATGCAGGTTGCAAAGGGTAATTCAACACCAAATTTCAAACTGAAGATTGGATCATTTTTAGATCATGATGATGTATGATGATTATTTACACCACGTATTCATGCGCCATACATCAGATCAGAGCTAAAACAAGACCATGATGTATGATGATGTATGGCCCATTGCCACAACCACACAAATCGCAGTACCGAGGGACGAAAGTGAAGCAAACCCTCTCATCAAAGAAGCGCTCTTGCTCGTGCCTGTCAGCAAACTGTCAGCCAACTTTCGCTGGTAAAAAAGGACTATGTGACTATGTGGCAACCAACCACGTTGGAACCTCTTCATGAAAAGGGGTACCCCTAGATAGCCAAGCTAGTCAACAATGAGGCCAATGATTGGTTTTGTTTCATGTTTTATTATGGTTATATCATACCTGGATGGGTGTACAAAACAAAATTGCTGTGGAAACGACAACAACAACAATAATAATCGATATTGCCAGAAATGGTATAACATACCATATTACCATGAAATACCATAAATATTCCCATATTAAAACCATATATATCCATATTACTTAGCATAGAAAGCGATGACATTTGGAATTACCACTCCGGGCTCCCGGCCTGACATTCTTGGCCACATCCACCAGGGTACGGTCTGTGGGCTGCGAGTTGAAGGCCGAACCCAACATGTCGTCGGATGTCATGTCCTGGCAGCGGTTGGTTGGGGGGTGCAGCTGGCTTGGTGCCGGCCGCCCAAGCCGAGCTGGGTAGGATCTATGGTGAAATAAAATCGACCATCTGGTTATGACTAACATAGCTATGGAAAATCCATCATAAACGGAGTTTTTAATGGGAAAGTCATCTGTAAATGGGCCATTTTCCATGGCTATGTTAAATAACCAGATGGTAGACGGGTAAGTTGGTATATAATACGATCTATCATCATTCACCTGCTGGTGAGTGGGGTTTCAACAGCCGACCAATGGGTAAAGTGGTTTATACTTGAAAGTTTCTAGGAGTTGTTGGTAGAACTATGACAAACTATTATTATTAGAAGAGGGTTAAAAACCAACTAATACAGTAACATCTTAGAACTAGGGTCCCCCGTACCTGAAGTGCAAGCACGTTTAGTTTTGGCTAGGAAATATGTGCATAGGTATCACAAAGGTGTTGCACCGTGGTTTTGTTGGGGTTGCATAGCAATGTTGTAATAGTTTGCCGACAAACGATACCCATACTGACAGTGTTTGTATGGTACATTTCCTAACACGTACGCTAAGCAGCGGGATAATCATCCAATTCGAAATGAAATCAACGAATTAAGGAACCAACCCCAGTCATTTTCATATGTGCAAATGTGATAACCATACCGTAGCAGTCATTGATACATGTCATATCATACCCTGTCAAATCATATGCAAATAATATAAAACATATCATATCATATCAAATGTAAACATAATACTCGTATCCTATAAGGTCAAATCATATTTTGTTATTTCATACCGTATAATATGTATAAGCAAGATAATTATATCATATGATGTCAAATCATATGTAAAAGAAATGTTTGTTTCCTTCAATGACAGCAATGTATAAATACGGTAAACATCAAGCAAGTACATGCGCACGACACTCCCAACAGGCGCGGAACCCACTTGCACATGGCAGATTTCACTTCCTTACACATTCTCACTCACTTACACATTCCACCAGCAAATTTTGCTCACTTGCACATCCCGCCAACCTACCTACTACTACCACGAGTACAGATACTACAACAACATAACAACGACTGCTATAGCTACTGCTGCTGCTGCTGCTGCTGCTGCTGCTACTCCTATTACTACGACAATGATGTTTAGTTCTTCAAGTTCTTCCGTTTAAGGTTTGGGTGGGGGGGTCGGGAATGTCAATGCTGACAGTGACAAAGTAAGCAGGCCTCAAGCTGATCATATAGCTTTGGGGGCCTCCACACATTGAAGCGACGCCGGCCATACTAACTGTCTACGTCATAGTCCACAAGAAGCCAGTGCTGGTCAGTGTTGCGATTTGGTCGTCCTTGGGGCAGGGCCGTGCCACCAACCGCTCGGCCACCTCAACGTCGTCCGCGTAAGGCGCCAACGACGGCCGCCGAGTTTCTGACTTGCGTTCTGCATGCGTGTGCATGTGCGGGTGTTGAGAGGCATTGCGGGGGAAAAAGGCATGTGACTGAGGGGTAGAATTTGTAGTCAAATGGATTCTTGAAAACTGCCGCGTTTAAGAACTCGAAACGGCAGCGACGGCATTCATGTCTGATTTGAGGCAAGCTAACTATATTATAATATGTTGTAATTAAGCATTAAGCTATAATATAATATGATTAAATATATTTAAACAGTTTAAACACGTATATTATATATATATGTATGTATGTATATATTATACGTATATGTATATCATATATCATCTATTCCCTCCCCTCCAACCCTTCCTGTCCTCAATCATGATCCTCAACTTGGCCTCATCCGCCGTGACCTTCACTTCCTCCCCATTTGGCGCGCCGCCGCCGCTCGAGGACAGCAGCGCGCTGAAGCTCAGCTGCAGCGGAACCTTTTCAGGTGGCCTGGGAGAACCAAGGCCAGAGTTCTGATGAAAAAACTACAGAAATGGGTGGTCTAACCATTGTTTAACCCAGTTTTCAAGGTGATTTTCATATATGATATATTAATATTGTGTATATATATATATATATTTATTTATATATAGTTCATGGTGATTTTCATGGTTTGACAAAAGAAAAATGGTGATGTTCATGTGACACTGGGGGTTTACAACTGCCTCCATGACCTTGATACCGCTGGGCGGAAAAGCGTCCATCGAAACAAAAAACCTTGTGAAGCAAGAAGCAACAAAAAAATGTTATTTGACTATATATACTACAATAATCTATACTGTAATTTATACTTTGATATACTTGATTATTCTACATTTTATTACAGTGACAGTTAATTTAAAGAATCCAGATCTTCAAATGTTGACAGTATCCACCATCCTCTACCCATCCTTTCACAGGGGCTTGGTCGAATTGGTCACGTTGGTCACGTTGGTCGAATTGGTCGCACCATGTCGGGTTCGCACCGCCCCTGCCGGGAGCATTGCATGATGCTGATTGTTTGAAGCAATTCAGCTGGTCCTGGTAGTATGTCAAGAATTGGAAGGTTCACTTCAGACCCAATACCAATGCTGTGGTCCCTGTGGTATGCCATGTTTCAGCCACAGCTGTATCAGGGGGTTGCCACTTCTTATAGATCGTTGGCTCAGCCCCACCAAACACATGTCACCACGTCCTGTCGTCCATAGCAGAAGGCAGGCGATCCAAATGATGTCACACGCTTTGGAGACCATGGCTTCAACAGCAAAACTACCGGCAGCGAGGGACTCAAATTTGTTCGTGGTCGTTGTCAACCCCAAATGTGGCTGCGGGCAAGAGGAGCATTTCACAGTGCATCAGAAATGCATGGACCCGCTGAGGTCGAACGACATCCCATTGAAACCATGTGATAGGATTTCAACCGTCCCCACTTGGGGGTTTCTGTTGAGCTTGCCACAGTACCAAGGGATACCAAGGGTTCCTTATCGTGAAGGAAAAATTCAAACCACCTGACCGAGATGGTCACAGCCTGCCCTCGGGGCGTTGTCTCAGGTTCCGTGCCACTGCATCGTTGTTGATGCTGATACCAAACCTTGTGTAAACGCGGCGGAGCTGCTGGTTGGTGATTTCAGCATGTGTCAGCCAAGTCCAAAAATGTAACAAAGTCAATTCAAGTCATCATCGCAGGTAGCATGTAGAATGTAGACGGTTTTCTGTAGCAAAGCAGAAAAATACCCTCTGGTAATTTAACATAGCTATTGAAAATGGCTATTTATAGCCTGATTTACCTATTAAAAATGATGACTTTCCATAGTTTTTTGTATGTTTACCAGAGGGTAACACACAATGACGGGGAGAATCCTGGAGAATCCAGTTCAATGCGACCAGCAGAAATCCTTGCAGCTGAAGACACTCCTCAAGGAGGTAGTTCACATTGGTGTTGCTCTTACCTGAAAGAAATGGCTGGCACACCTGGCAATCAAAGGACCCCAAGTTCTATAAAACATATAGACAAGAAAAGACAATGGTGTTGTTGTAGGTGAATAATATATATGGAATTATAGAATGTTATTCCACTATATTCCACTTTCATTTGGAACCCAAAATATCCCAAAATCATTGACATTGGGTCATTGGGGACCCAAAATCCTTTATGTGTTGTTTTTTTTCCCGCAGGAACCGTTGATTCTCCCCCCAACAAAAATCCGACAGCGTTCTGACGTGCAGGCCTTCGCCACCTTCGCCAACGAGGAAGAGGATGCTGCCACCTTCACTCAAGTAGTCCTGTGGCACGACCGGTGCACCCAGGCATAGGTCCGGTCGCTGGTGCCATGAGAGTCCCTCTCATGGTGAGGAGCGTCATACAGTAGCTCCTCTCAGCCCAAAGATTTCTATCCACATTTCGGAACAGAAATGGCTATGGGTCAATACCTATAGATACATTTTTAATGGGATGAACATCCATTTACCAGCTATTTTGGGGTTCACTAGGTACCAGGGTTTTGACTCATAGCCAAATGAAAAGTGAAGTTCCACTGAAGATCAAACACACATCCCACTATCAAACAGCCATCCAATGACCCCAAAAGTGTACATCCACCATGGTTTCGGGGGCGTGGATGTATGTGTTTAATATTAGGTGGGTCTGAGATTATAGTGAAGCAAGCGGGTTAGAGCCCACAAACAATCACCAAGTCTCATCCATTTACTAGCTTATAGCTAAGTCATAACTCATAAACCATGAAAAAAGAAATGATTACAGACTAACTGTCGGAAACCCAATAATAAACCACCCCTCAAATTACCATTTTTATGTGTGATATAAACCGTCCCCAAATAGTAGGTTTGTAGCATGGGGTTTACCAAATTATAGTTGTCATCCATTTACTAGTTGTTATAGTCGCGGCAAGCCACAATTCACAAACAAAAAACAGTTATGAATCCATAAAAACTAACAGAAACTCACTATATATACTTAACCTACATCTATGGATCAATAACTCTTAACTATACTTCTAACTATACTAATAATATCCATAGAAATTAAGATAAACTAACCTGGTTGGTACTTTCAACCCCTCTGAAAAATATTAGTCAGTTGGGATGATTATTCCCAATAGATGGAAAGTCATAGAATTCATGTTCCAAACCACCAACCAGTAACTATATACTTAACTATTGTAGAGCTTAGTCCTTAATGGCCGTGAACTCATCGCTGGAGAACATCTCTCGGGGGCCGCCAAAGATCACCAGGTTGGCAGCGCGCAGCCTTTGTGCGACCGAGAAATGACACTTGTGTGGTGCGATGTGGTGCTGATAATCTATGGTGTTGTATGGTTAATGATGGTTAATATATGGTAATAATGATGGTTAATATTATGGTTAATGATGGTTAATGATAATCTGGTTGGTGGTTTTAACCCCTCTGAAAAATATTCGTCAATGGGAAAGATTCTCCCATATATTATGGAAAATCAAAAATGTGTGAAACCACCAACAGAATATGAAAGTCAATTGGGATGATTATTATTCAGAATATGAATATGATGACATTCCCAACTGAATGGGATTCATTAAAATTCATGTTCCAAACCACCAACCAAATATTCAGAATATGTTAAGAATATGTTTAAATATATTCATACTCAACATCGCACTGATTTACTGGTATTGAAATCATCTGAAAATTCTAGTTTTGATCAGTTTTCGGATCCAAACTTGGAAGGGGGTTCAGCTGTGCTGGAAGTGCTGGAATCTGCTCCTCTCTGCTCCCACCTTCATGCCTTCATGGTAAGGTGTCCATATTTATGTATTTTTATGTATATTTATGTTATTATTTATGTATATGTATCTATATTTATGTATATTTATGTATATATTTATGTATATATTTATGTATATTTATGTATATTTATGCTATTTTTTATTGGAGAGGGTATCCTTTCAACACGGCTGGCATACCTTGACCGGGGCGCCTTTCCAAGCTGATGATATCTTTGTTGGTGGACACCTGAACAGCAGGGGGGCCACAGAGCGCGTTGACCGGGGTGTGAACCTCAACATGGGGGGATTGGATGAAGCCATCAACATATGGCCAGTTTGATACAATGTGAGGCCCCCAAGATAGCTAAGTTGGTTTGTAACTCCAATAACTATGGTTTATGGTACTTATATCATCTTATAACTATAGTTACTGGGGCAAATCTAAACCAACAAACATCACTGGGGGGCCTCACATTGTAGGGATAAACGAATATAAATGATATCATTAACCATCAAATTGAGGTGGGACAATCCCCCAAATTTTGGAGACACGCCCATTGATCCTGGGTATGAGTCGGGTCATTGCAGGGTCCGAAGCAGCTCATGCCTTGAAGTCCTGCTTGATCCTCCGGTGCAGCTTCTTGAAGTTATTGGAGGGATTGCCCTGGCGTCCAAGATACGGAACAACGTAACGAGTGGTTTCTGGCTTCGTTTTTTGTTTGGTTGACCAAGCTGAAAACTGATCCAGTTTTAGCTGTTTAGGTGAACGTCATCATTGTTGTTTAAGTATGTTTAAGTCACATCCATTCTATGATGTTTGGAGAGTTTGGGGATGCTTATGCAAATTAGTTTTAGAGTACTGTGTGTGTCATACTCTCAAGTGATTCACCGTGGCTGTACAATCTCAATTGTGGATCGGAAAATATGGGGCAATCATCGAACATCATCAAACCAATATTGGCGGGTTTGATGTTTGGGGACATGAATATAAAGAAAACATCAACTACCAACCAGTTGTTAAATAGGGAAGTGCCCCCACAAGAATCTCCCGCATTCCTTGGGTTGGTTTTCTTGGAAAGGACCCTGGCTTGAAAAATACATATCCCATCTGTCTGGATAATTCTGTTATTCCATTTAGAGATTATGGATGATTAGTATATATGATTATATCAATATCAATGGCCATTTCAAGAACCTAAATTGGAGGTACCTACCATATATAAGGCCTATGTAAGGCCTATGTAAGGGAATATCCCCACAAAATATGGCCTTATATGGTACAGTACCTCCATTTTAGGATCCTGAAATTCCCATTGATTATACATGTTCTTGTTTACCAGAGGGTACCACTGAGGGACACGGTAGGTTCATCACCAGAAATGACCCCAAATATTGGGCCGCCTCTGGCGCGCAGACAGTGGTCAAAGTCCGTTCAGTTACTCTCTGGTTATTTAACAAAGCTATGGTTGAATGTGGTCCATTTATAGATGAATTATGATAATTTACCTTTTAAACATGGTGATTTTCCATAGCTATTTTAAATAACCAGAGGGCACATAATATGAAAATTGTCAACATACATTGATGGTTATCATCTTTAGTGAAAAGTTGATACTTAAATCATGATCTAATCTGCACCAAACAACTATTGTTTCTGAGCAGTTTTCCTAAACATGATTCCAGATTCAGTCCCCATTCCTCTCGATCTACATCCCAATGTTTTTGTAGTTTTCTTGCGGGGTCCGCAGTGTGCCGCCCGCTGACCTGTTCCTTCTTTGACATGTCAAACATCACCTCCATATCAGCAGCACTCTTCACCTGGTGGCACTGACAACCCAGACCCACGTGATGTTGGTTGGATACATATACTATATATAATATGTATATATATATATACACAATAATTATCATATAGATTCAATAAGTATATATGAAATAGCATATATGTATATATATACTTCTCCAGTAGTCTATATGATATCATCATTGGAATCAATTTGGGAAGGGATCCCCTGAGCCAGAGGGGTTTCCCATGGCTTTTCCTGCATACTTTTGGAGTGGATGTATCGACTGGATTCGATTGGGTCATGGAAACTGTGATCTGGATATCATTGGATATTTAATACGTATATATATATATTATATATATTATATATATATATACACATATCATATATATATATACAGTATATACATATTATATATATCTACATATACATAACTATATTTTCGGATATCTACATAGGGCTCCGTCAGGACCGGATAAAGGTCGCCTATCTTTGTTCTGCTGCAACTCATCTAAACCACCGGTTGGTTAGTTCCACCATGCCACAAAACACATTTCGGGGCCAAATCATCCAGCAATCTTAGATGTTACTTAGATCCTTCATGATCCAATGCTTGGTGAAATGGTGGGATAGCCATCTTTGGACCGCCGAAGTCAACCCATCCTGCCAGTTTGGTCTCCTGCCTCACCCCCCATGGCTGCAAAATGTGAAGCCTCCAGTGATCACGAAGAAGCTATGAACATATCTGCGTGTCCAATTAAAACTTCAATTGTAACAATTATTGGTTTTAAGCCAGTATTCATTGATTATTGATTTCTCTATATATATATACCTTAAAATGTCAATGTGATATTCAAATTCTTGGGTTCACTCCACATTATCGGTTTCAATCCACAAATAGTACTGTAAACCATCCAGGATTATCAGCGATGTTTCTCCCATCCCATCCCCTTCCGAAGATCATAGAATATCAACTTCCAGTCACAAAATATATCAACCCCAAGTCATGAATGAATAGATCCATATATAATATATATATATATATCATATCCAATACATTTCACCAGGCTTTCGTTCAGAGAGTAAGTATTTGACAGCAGGAGAAAGGGATCACCACACCTGGTCGATGATGGCGTTGTACCCGTAAGCGCTCCGCAGGGCGCTGCCGTTGTACCCGGACGTTTGAGCCACAAAATCCATGGTTTGTGTGACAATGGAGGGATCCACGGCCTCAAAAAAGATATGCTTTTGGTATCATTGACTGTTAATGTTGGTAAATAAACCAGCATCGGATGATCATTGAGGTACTGTTTTGATGCAAATGTGATGTAAATGTTGATAAATAAGCCACCATTAGATGGTCCGGGTTGCGGACCTGGTATTTACAGAGAACCTGGTGCACAATCTGATGAGGTCGAAATTTCCAGGAGGCTCTAGAGGTGCAACTGTTTGATCTTGATGACGGTGTAACACCTATAATCGTCTATAATCTGCTTCTGATTTTGACGATTCCTGCATCACATGAAACAGGATAGTCCCCAGACAGCCCCAGGTTCAATCAGTTGAATAAGCATTGAAAGTCACTGCAGTCAGTGTGCTGGGGTGGGAATTCAACGGAAATAGGACTCCATGATTCACTGATCCAATGGGGTCAAAATAGGACTCCATCACTTTCATTTTGACCAACAAAACCCAGATTGCGTACAGTACCTCTACAGACCCAACCATCCAGCTCCAGCACCTCTCTTCGGCCCGGTCTCTGCGCCTGAGAATGGGGAAGGACCTGAAAAAGAAGCAGCCTTTTCAGCTTGCGCAAAAAAATGAGAGTCAAAGCACACTGGTGGGGTTTTCACCAACAAGAATTGAGTTAATCAGTAAAGAAAACAAGAACAATTGGGATTGTGTTGCAAATATTGGGATTCAACCCAAAAAAAAATTGGAGTGAAGGTAAGCAACAACAATGGGGATTGAAACAACAAACATATATGGATTGGACGAACAAAAACGACAAAGCATAGCACTCACTCAAAGTTGGGTCCCACCCCGAGGCTTTTCATCTGCCTCTGTTAACTCTCTGAGAGATCCAACACCAGGCTCAAGCCAGACAAAGGCCATGTCCATTGCATGCCTTCCGGCGGTGCTGGCAATTCAAAACGTGTGGCCATTCATGGGGATATTCAGAGGACATATAAAACAAAACAAGGGGATCTGGGATATAATCGGGATATACTAGTATAAGTGAACATATGATATGGTCTGCAAATGGTGGTTTAATAACCATATTTTTCTCATCTTTTGTAGGAAAACTGATCGGTCTGCCAGACCGATCAAATTTGGGATATCCGTGGGGATCTTAATACGGAGACTATTAACGAACCAAAGATTCACAGCAGAAATGGCAGTTGTAAAAGCAGTCCATGTAGCCTATCCACGTCAGGTGGATTCATTTGTTCATTTGCTACCCCCGAAAAAAAGCTGGTAAAGGTATGTAAATGTCACAACACCACAAGATCAGAAGTCAAACAAGCAAGGCCTCAGCTAGAAAGCTGAAGCCCGAAAAAAAACAGTTGCTTGTGGGCGCCAATTCCCACTTCCCTGATGTCCAACCCGGAGACGCTGTTTCTTTACTTTACATTAATTTACCATGCTTTTGGCTGGAACGATCCATGTTTTTCTTGTAGAGAATGGACGGATTTCAAAGGTGTTCGTACTTACATGTCATAGTCCTTTCTCAAAATCATGGTCGGATATAGATAAGTACCAAAAACGGGATCCAAAAAGGTACCCTCTGGTAATTTAACATAGCTATGGAAAATGGCCCAGTTATAATTGATTTACCTTTTGAAAGTGGAGATTTTCCCAGGTCCCAGGGGTCCCAGGTCCTGCATGCTACCAGGGCGAGCAGCGCCGCTAGGCTCACCTTGTCTCATCACCCCCAAATAGCCAAGAAAACAGGGAACATATGGGACAACTATGGAACAATTATGGGACAATTATCACAAGCCTTTCGACATGGACATTTACATATCATATCTCTATATATATATACCATCTGGTTATTTAACATAGCCATGGAAAATCACCATTTTTAATAGGTAAACCATCTATAAATGGGTCATTTCCTATGGCTATGTTAAATAACCAGAGGGTATGTACATAGCTATATACAGATATACATTTAGGGGATTTCAGGGGTATAGTACCCTGTTTTATGACAAACCCATCTGGACATCTCCACTGACTGCTTGTTTTTAGGATTTGTGTCTTTGAACGAATTATGATGGATTTGCACCGACTTTAATGCACTACAAAGGATGTTTTTAAGTCACACACGTTCACCAAGTCATGAATCAACTTAGCTATCGTTATATCATCTTCTATCCCCCTCATCAACCCTAGATAGCTTTGTATTTAATGATCAGAACATGTCAAAACCAAGGCTTCCAACGTACCCTATTATCATAAATCAGCTATAAATCCCATGAAATCCCCATGTGTTCTTGGTGAAATCACCATTTTCCATAGTTTTCCCATGGTTTTCCCATGGTTTTCCCATGGTTTTCCATGGTTTTCCTATGGTTCCCATGGGGGCACCACCTCGTGGGAAGAGAAACAAACACCGCAACGGACCGAGCTGATGGACAAGGCCGACAGAGCCGGCTCTGCGGCTGCACCGCCTGAAGCCAATGTTGGTCGGGGAACCAATTGTGGGATATATATATAGATGTGTGTGTGTGTACATATTTGACTGACTACACATAGTGTATATATAATTATATGTATAATTATATGTATTATTATATATATATATGTAAAATATGTGATTTATTGTAATTTATTGTAATTTTATATAGTCTATCCTACAGTATAATTTATCTTAATTTTACGTCAACCTCAAGATAGAAATGTATATTTATGTGTGGATATACTGATCTCTAATCTACATTGTCTGCACAATTCATGATCAATGCTGAAGTGGGCACAAGCTCGTTTTGAAATGATTCCCGCTAACCGTCATTAGTGCTGAGATCGCCTCGAGAATATGTATACATGTCCATGTATACATATTATATATATACATAATTAATATCCCATTGCTGCTGATTATACAATCCAGACTTTGTTGATTCATACATCCTATTTTTTGTTGCTGGGAGACGTGCTGTTTGTTGATTTTGTTGATCTGTTGATTCAAACATAGATACCCCATTTCTTCCGTTGGAGAATAGCACGCATAGACTTGGCAGAGCCAATCTGAGACTGGAGACCATGAATTGCTTGTAGTACACCTCATACAAGCTTCAATCATCTAATTTGAAGCAACCATGATGGTTACCCTCTGATAAACTAACATAGCTATGGAAAACCACCATGTTTAATAGGAAAATCAACTATTGCTATGGGCATGTTCAATAGCCATGTTGAATTACCATGATGGTTAGATCACCGCGCCTCATGCCAGGCAACTGTGAGACGCCCATGTTTGGCTGAGCCAGATACCAAGGTAGCCAAGGTGAGACCCCAGGGAAGTGTTTTTGAGATTCGTGGATGATAATACCAAGTTTAATATATATATATATATAGGGGGTTGTCAACCACTTATTTACTTGCTGGGATGTATCTATGATAGTTTAATCCATTCAGATTTGGGGGTTCATTTCTTTGACATTACCATTGATGACATAGACATTTGGGCATTTGGGAGTTATTGATCACATGATCAGCCCCATGAACTTGATTCTGGGGTCCATATGGTCCATGTTTCATAGATATCATAGATACATCTTGGGGGATGGTCAGAAATTTGAACCATACCCGAATGAAAGGAGGTACCACCGTACCACATTCATTTAAACACGTGAGATGCTGTGAAAAGATATATTATTGGGTAGCACAGTGCATTGGTCCCAATTAGATGAAATAACCATAGTATCGGAATAAAGGACGTTCTGGTATAAACCGAAAAAAATTCAAGATCAACTGAACAAATATGGAGGTTTCAAAAAAAAAAATAGGGCTACCCGCGTTCATCATCCATTTTAGATTGGCATTTCCCATGATAAACCATCCATTTTTGGCGACAAAAATTGAACATTGCAAGCTGGGAAATCCACTAAAAAACCACTAGAAACAAAGGTTCCAATGGTAAAATCAAGTAAAATCTAACAGTTTGCCATGGAAAGATCCACTATTTTTAATGGGTAAATCATGGTAAATCCACTATTACTATGGTCATTGTCGATAGCTATTTGGACATAACCAGAGGGTACAATTAAATCCTAGAAAATCTCCATTTTCCACGTTTGATTACCAAAAGGTACCCGGTTTTGAAGCATAACCCACACCATCTGGTGGTCAGCTTCTCTGGGCCACATTGATGAATCATTTTTTGGTCGTGCTCCTTTGGTCTCAATTGTTGAGACATAAAGTTTATGGATTTCAAGATCCCATTCTTTACCCATCTGCAATGTATGGTATATCTATTTTTCGATCAGTACGAACGTTGAAAAACATTTCATACATGGAGCATCTGAGATGTTCAAGCAAGTTCTCAACGCATGTTTTTCTCCGCAGCCCGAGCTAGGGGTTTTGGCTGACTTCAGCGGCTATCTGCTTGTTTTCTGGCCAAGCTTTGTCATGTCCAAACTCAAATATCCTACAAAAAAACGTTCCTCTTTGGCATGATATGACACATTCATACATGTTCCTCAAGTATCCTTATCCTATTCCTCAACCAAGTTTGACCCACATTTGGATGGTCATACATTGGCCGTTTCTGTAACCTTGGTTTCTGTAAGTCATAGAAGGTGGCCCTCCCCACAATTGTGTTTGTTGGCTTAAAAGCCCCAGTAACTACCCTCTGGTAATTTAACATAGCTATGGAAAATCACCATTTTTAATGGGAAAATCCACTATTAATGGCCATTTTCAATAGCTACGTTAAATTACCAGAGGGTATAGTTAGTATAATTCTGGATAAAATATAATATTTCACCAACCTGAATTAAGGCCACCAACTGGGATGATTTCCCTTACTAACCATGATTCCAGTGAGGGAGAACAGTGAGGTCGTTATAATTTACCCAGATAATTGCAACTAACCAGATGCATAGTTAACCTCTTCACCTATAGCTATAACTGCCATAAACCATAGCTATAAGTGAGTTATCTTCACCAACTCTATCTAAATCCCCATGGAAATCCTACAGACTGTCGAATCAAACCATCACCACGGCATGCACCTACGACTTGGCACGTGTCTGCGTTTTCGCGCAGCAAGCAGTTGAAAAACTTGTTCCTCCGAAGATCCCGGGAACCCCAGGGTTCCACAACCGGCCGTTTTCAGAGGTGTTGTCTTAAAGAATTGGCAAGAAGTCAACGGGGCTGGCAGTTTGTGCAACGTTCAAACGCTACCCATTCATGAATATCCTTGGATGATTGGACTATAAGACTGGCCAAACAATGACAAATCACCCCGATTTTTTATGCCAGTGGTAATCGAACACGGTGAGCTGAAAGATCCGAGGCATTTCCCAGTTGTCTGAACATATGGTTGCCCATTAATTGCTTTCCCAAACAATAAAGGTCATGAACCCCGTGAAATTCCCATTTTGAATGGTAAACCCACCATATATTCCCTGAATGATATCCCCTTTACCCTCTGGTTATTTAACATAGCCATGGGAAATGACCCATAGAAATAGATGGTTTACCGGTTTACCTATTAATAGCATGGTGATTTTCCATGGCAAACTGTTAGTTAGTCATAACCAGATGGTAAATATCATCCACAATAACCGTCACAGCCCAGACGACTCTCATAGTGCAGGCGTCACAGGTGCACTCCCCGGATTCGCGATGCCCAAAAAGTCGCCCAAACTCTGGGACCTCGCAGCTCAGGGATTCGAATCATTGGAACGTGACGAAAATCTCCACTTTCAAAAGGGAAATCAATAGGGCCATTGGGCCATCTATACCATAGCAAACTGTTAAAGTACCAGAGGGTACCAAAAATTGGATCCTTTTTTGGTACTATATCCGATCATAAATCAACATAAAACCAACTAGAAATGGGCCATGTTCCATAGATACATTGAGGAATTAGGGTGTTTTTTTTCCAAATTCGTGGTTTATGATAGTATATATATATACTATGTCGAAGAACTTGGATTGAATGGGATAATCATTGGATAAGAATGGAATTGTAAGGGTATATCACCAATGATTGTCCCAATGACAGAGGTAAGTGCGGTGATAATCTCAACATTATCCAATGTCCCATCAAAGAGTCAGCACGATTTATCCTATCCAATCATCCATAATCACTACCATTTATTATTGGGATTGGGATTATAATGATTGGGATAATGATTGGATTCATTATCAATGATATTGCGATAATGATTGGAGTCATTATGGATGGTATATCATGGATAATATCCCATTTATAATGATTACCCAATCATTGGAGATTGATAACCCCAGTCATCCCCAATGACTTCCCACTGTGGCATCACCAGGGACCATCAACAACTCCTGCACCCGACCCTTTAAGGGATTTCCATTTGAGGATCTCTGAAAATAGGGTATAAAATGGCAGTTTTAATGCAGTTTTAATAAACCAAATGGATTTAGGGTACGACATGTTCAGGAAAAACCGTAGCAATACTATTGCAGTACCCACTAGTAATGAGTGCGATGATCATTCAAGATATATTTCCATATGTCCATATATGTTCATTCAAAAAAAACAGCTTTGATTGTGAAGGGGTGGAAAATGGTGGAATGATGTTTTAGGCGAGTTCACTCCACAACATAGGTCAGCGGAAACCAGCGCTTTCTAACATGGCAAACCCATCTTTTCCATCATCCGAAATGTTCACATTCCACCTGCAGATATGCAAAGAGTGGAAAAAAATGTCGGCAGCATTGGAAATGTCTGGATCCTCTCTGCATAAGTTCAACTCATTGACCACAACGGCTTGATTTCAATCCTTGCTGTCCTTGGTGCCACATGGCTACTCTGAGAACTTCATGGTTGTTTTTCGTGTTCCCAAAAAAACACGGTTGCTCCACCCCACAACACCGAAAAACTGGGGGTAAAACCCTTGGAGCAAGCCTCTTGGCCATTCTAATCCATTCTAGATGGTCAAAGTCATAGAATTGGATGATGGGAAAATTTTAACCGGAAAGCCCTATATTTGATGGTAAAAACCCATGGGTTTCCGGTTAAGCTTTTCCCAACAAAACCAATCCAATGTCAAAGTCCATCAACTCCCATAAAATCATCCCTTAAATCTCCAGGTCCCATGGGTCCCATCCATCAAAAATCCAAAAAAAATCCAGGCTCCCGGACTTTGGCGCCAGTTCACTCTTGACCTTCACCGGATCACCACCTCACCGGATCGCAACGGATCGTAAACGTCCTGGGAATCTCCATGGTTTTTTTCCATGGGGAAAAATGTGGGATATCATCATCGGTTGAATCATGGGATCATCATGGGATTATTATGGGATACCCAACCTGGTTATGACTAACAGGGCCAGCCATGGAAAATAGATGGCCCCAATCGAAATAGATGGTTTACCTATTCAAAAAAGTGGTGGATCTTTCCATGGCAAACTGTAACAAATAACCAGATGGTATATCATGCATGACAATGCAAGGAATGCTGGGATAGTAGTGGGATACAATGAGATATCATGGGATATAGATATAGGATGATATAGGGAGATATTGACTGGCTGGTTCCAGCTCCCCTGTGCAAAGTTTGACGCCCAGCAGTTATGTGTAGAACTCTATAATCAGCATGATCCCGCAGGAAAAATGAAGTCTAAGGGAATTGATTGGAACCGCAATGTTTAGTTGCAACTCCATTTCTAAGATTAAACACATTTCAGGATGATATTAACATATTATTAACATCATCACATTCAATCACGGAGGCAAACACTTGTTTACCTCAACGCTGGCACTGCTCCTGCAGTTTGGCCCACTTCATTTGCACACGTGTAGTCGGAATGACAAACCAATCTCAGGCTTGCACAGCTTGTAAGCACATGGGTATGAATGTGTATATATGTGCAGAACTATATACGTACATATATACATATATATATATATAACATATCATTAAGTGTGTATATATATATGTATATAAACATGTATATCCAACCATGGGATACGTAAATTATAGTGACTGAACAAAAATGCACAAACACCATCCCTATCCTGATCGAATTCCTTTGGCGACCCGACCCAGGATGCGGACCACCTGGGTTTGTGGTGGGGGTCCCCATTTGAACCGGGGCTTGGGGTGGAAAAGAATGGGGGTACAACCTCAGCATTTTATGGTGATACGATGGGATATATACATATGCAAATATATATAATCAAATTGAATCCAGATTGGAAACAAACCGGGTTGCTTGACCGGACATTTTGGTTCAACATTCCACACATATGACTTGCAACCGCAAGCTAAATGCAAGAATTTAATAATGTAGTTATATAAATCTGGATATATTCAATGATGCATGCTTTTGATTGATTTTGGGGGTTGGTCAAAAGCAAAGGATGCACCTGTTTATCGGCATGAACATGGAACATATGGGACATATGGGACCATATGGGAAAGGGATCATCAACCATGAACGTATTGAACTTATTTGGGGATGGGTCAAAACCCTGGTACCTAGTGAACCCCAAAATAGCTGGTAAATGGATGTTCATCCCACTAAAAATGTTCAGACAAGACCGTCATTGGATAAATTTTGCTGCCAGTAGCAATGTCTGGCCGCTGGATGAATAAAGTTCTGGAGATCAATGGAGTGGGATACCCCAAAAATAATAACTGCTTGGTGGTTGAGCCACCTACTATTGGTTGGTAATCTACTGTTAATATATGGTTAATATTAATGGTTATTACATGGTTAATGATGGTTAATGATAATCTGGTTGGTGGTTGACCTACCCCTCTGAAAAATGATGGAGTTCGTCAGTTGGGATGATTTTTCCATTGATGATGACATTCCCAATATATTATCATGGAAAGTCATAAAATTCCATGGTTCCAAACCACCAACCAGATAATGACTCCCCCTCCTATCATGATAGTAAAAAAAGGTGACCTCCCCAATAGATCCACCAATGGATGGATGAGATTTGCCCCAAAAATCTCAACGTGGTTGTTGATGGTTATATAAATGTGCTTAAGAAACCCAAAAAATGATCCCATACTCCTTTTTTATCCTTTTTTTGGGTTATATCATCAACAAGCCCATGACCTCATCCTTTAAGAGGCCCATTCTCATTAATTCTTGATTCTTAGGGGGATCACCAACCTGGGGTCTTGTTGAATCATGAAGGTTCCCACCCCACCCCCAGCATTGGGGGCCCAGGCATCGGCCACGTGTCTCACCAACTGGTTCTTGTCGGCGTCGTAGCCCACATCCACGAAGGATGTCTGAGTCGAGTTCAGGGGCTTCTCAAGTGCCGAGGGTTATACAAGGAGGATATAAAAAAAAAAAACTATAGGTATGGGCTTGGGGATTGTCTAACCATAGTTATAACATGTTATAACATGTTATAACCATACTTGATTGTTTGCAGCTCATTAATCCACTGCGGGGTGCAGTTCTTAGGAGTTGCTTTTCAGAATAGTTGTAACAGTATAAGGAATGTATAAGGGATATCCCAACTTATGACCGTTGCTTCATAAACCAAACTGCACCCCCAAGTGCTTGGGGAATCATCCCACTTAGTATACGTGCTTCACCTGCTTAAAAAACATTGCCTAAGTCGAAACCACAGCATCCCATTCATCAAATTTACCCTCTGGTAATTTAACGTAGCTATTGAAAATCACCATTTATAGTGGATTTTCCCATTGAAAATGGTGATTTTCTATAGTTTTACCAGAGGGTATAACTGGGGCACCACTGGCAGCACCCTATTGATCATAACTCGTAAAGCGATCCGTTGCGATGGATCCTGGGATTTGACTTGGCTGCGCCTTGATGCTTCCGTCCTTGCCGATGATGAAGGTCTTTCTGTCGATGTTCGGACCTGCCCGACGAAAAAAAAAAACACCGGATTTCCAGAGAAGTTGAAGTGGAATCCATTCTCCATCGAGTTTATATTATATTGTAATATGTACATATATATTAATAATATGTATATATACTAATAATATATATATATTAATAATATATATATATTAATAATATATATATATTAATAATATATATATTAATAATATATATATATATTAATAATATATATATTAATAATATATATATATATATATTAATAATATATATATATATTAATAATATATATATTAATAATATATATATATATATTAATAATATATATATAATAATAATAATATAATACAATATATATATAATCTTACATATGTTGTTCTTATCCAACATATGATCAGTTCCTATGATTTGTGCCTCAGCACCAGACTTGGGACCTCCAAGGCCTGGGTTCTCGTCATCGATGAAAATGGTTTGATGACCATCCCCTAATATAGGTATAAAATGGTATATGACATTCCCAAGTGAATGGACATTCATAAAATTCCATGGTTCCAAAGCACCAATCAGATATCCATTGATGGTTCATAAACCCATGATTATACTGGTTGGTGGTTTCAACCCCTCTGAAAAATATTAGTCAGTTGATATTATTAATCCCAATATATGGAAAAATAAAAAATGTTCCAAACCACCAACCAGTATAGAATCCAACTTTTGAAAACATGGCTCACATGGAAATGGAACCATGATGAAACATGCAGTTTTCGGATTCCATGTTGGATTTCAGTCGTGTTCGAATACAGTCTACCAAATACATCCAAATACCGTGTCTGTTACCAATGCAACTTCATCATCGCGCCTTGTTCCTCGAGTTCCAGGTAGGCACCATAGGCTTTAGCTGTGGCGCCATTGTAGTCGCACAGCAAAGGGAAGCTCAGATCTAATCCTTTGGCTTGCCTTGGTGTGAGGCATGGATAATCCTCCTGGAATCATTGGTACACTCCAATGGAATGGGACATCCAGCCGTAAATGGAGCTTGATAATTATCTGGGAAAGTCAACTATAAAGTACCCTCTGGTAATTTAACATAGCTATTGAAAATGACCATTTATAGTGAGTTTTCCCATTAAAAATTGTGATTTTCCATAGTTATGTTAGTTTACCAGAGGGTACTATAAATATGAATGGAGGATTTTTCATAGCGATGCTCAATTCCCGGAAATATGTAGAATCTAGAATCTGAATGCAAAAACCATACCAACAGTAGATTTGTTGAGGAAATTGTTGAGGCTATCTTGATTTCATGACCATTCCTTTCAGTGGCTTCGCAGGATGCCTATGCCATTGACATCCCATGACTTCAAACATTCCCAGATCATGATTTGCTGTAGCTAACCTGACACAACTTGGCAACCGAAAGTTCATAATGTGGGTAATAAACCATTCCAAAATGGGTGGTTTATGGCATTGTTTTACCCACATTAGCTTTTCATCATCTGGTGTTTCAACCACTCATCCCAACAATCTTCCTGGACATGCATGCGAGGATCCGACAATCACCAAAGATGAATAGTTCTGGAACCGGAACCAACTAGCCCGGCCACGGTCGAAGCGACGCAACGGATGGTGGTTTAATCCTTCATTCTTTTCCGTCGGTTGCTTTCGCTTCCACCATCACCCTGCTATGCTTCTTTTTCTGACGAGTATATTCAGATCTGTCAACCTCTCCACCAAATATACAGGTTTGTCTGAAAATATCGCAATTACCAACATAACCCATGGTTTATCATCAGTTTCCCTAGGAAAAAATGACGATCATTTTTTCCCCCTAGTCTCCGGACTTTTCTGAGACTCAAAAGAGGTTGGCACCTTTCACTTTCACCCATCCGAACTGGGGTCCCCAAACGCCGCCAAAGCGCCAACAGGCTCCATTTGAATCTGGCGGAATGGATGGGAATGGTAGAACCAATGAACCAACAAAGTGAGTCACTTTTAGCCCAGATGTTCCAAGTGGTATATTTATTTACCTACATTACTGGGTTATTTTTGGGGTAAACGTTGATAAATATTCCATACATGCAGCATATGGGTATCGTACAAGTAGTGGAAGAATCAAATGTTTGGAGCAAACAATGTTGACCTCTTAATATATTCATCAACTAGGAACTAGTGGCTAAAAGACTTACATTCATAAACACCATCCCTATTGTAAAAGAAACATGATCATCACATTGTGGTTTGTCAATGTTCCTCATAGGTGCTTCCTAATCCGTCCTAGCCCCTTGCCGCTTTGGCGGGTCTTGCTTGGGTATTGCAAGTTCTGCGTCGCAACCTATATTCTATCCGTGAGACCCAGTCCAAAAGTCCGTGAGGGCCAGGAGTTTTAGATAGTTTTAGGCTCCAGAAATTTGTGCATTGCCATTGCAAGCCTAGTGAGTTCACATTGATATGGCAACTCATGTCATTGATGATCTCCCCATGCTTGGTTGTCCGCCACCCCTGGCAATTTAACAGTTTGCTATCGAAAAACAAAGTTATTCTTTGTAAATCCATAATAAATAATAAATATGTTTATAGATAGCGATGTTATAGTTTCTATAATTCATTGTTTGTTTGATTTTGTTTGTAAACAGTTACCCTCTGGTAAACTAACATAGCTATGGAAAATCACCATTTATAGTGGTTTTTCCCATATAAAATGGTGATTTTCCATTGCTATGTTAGTTTACCAGAGGGTATCTATAAATGTGTGATGTTTCCATACTCGGTGGCTCATCCCAGGAATCCGACAGGTCCAACAGGTCCGACAGGTCCGACAGGTCAGAGATACCCCCACCACCGTTGCACCGCGTTCAGCCAATGCCTCAGAGGCGTCGGCAATGAATAGCCATGGCTGGCTGGAAATGGTTAACCATCAACTTACCCTCTGGTAATTTAACGTAGCTATTGAAAATGGCCATTAATAGTTGATTTTCACATTAAAAATGGTGATTTTCAATAGCTATGTTAAATTACCAGATGGTAATAGGAATTTAAAAACATCATGAGACATAATATCATAAAATATAACATAAAATAACTATATAAATTACAAGAAATAGGAATTGCATCAACATCTAAAGGACATTCATGGGAATGTAACAAGATAATCAAACATGACTGGCTGGGAAGTGAATCATCGACATCTCAGCCGCCCTGCTCTGGTGGCTTTACCGAAGAGCTGGCGCGAGCCAAAGGAGAGCTCCAGAAGCGTTAAGAAACACATGGGATCTCAAAACATGGGGGATGGTACCGAACATGACAAAAAAGTGCTTTAACATAATTTTTCACATGACTTAACCATCAAATTTTGGAGGTTTTACCAAGAATGGAGTCCTGGATTTGGTGCATAAAAAACAGCGGGGTATCTCCAAAATGGTCGCTGGCTTACTGAGAAAATTGTGTCAATCCGAGGGATGGCAGCCGTGATCCGACCACAAGGTGTCAATCACGGGATACCCTCTGGTTATGTCAACAGTTGGCTATTGAAAATGGCCATTGAAATAGTGAGTTTTCCCATTAAAAATGGTGATTTTCCATAGTTATGTTAAATTACCAGAGGGTAAGTACGATCATAAGCTGGTCTACAAACGAGAAAATGTGTGGTAAAGTCGACTATTTCACCCTCCCCAAGTCATCACCATTTTTATAGGTTATACAAACCATCCACTGGAAGGGCGATGTGAATTTCCATGAGATATCCACCGGAGAAAAGAAACAAGCTTACCCTCCTGGAAACATACAAGACAATGTGGAAAACCCACCACTTGTAGATTTGTTTACCCCAGGTTACCCCCAGCAAACTATAGTCAACTCAAAAAGGATTGGTTCAAATCCAACGACCCCACACTGGGTTCCGGGTTCAACGGTAAAATGATCGACTTTGCGGCTTTATGGGGGCTGGCTGGGCCTGACTTTTCTGTCCCATGCCTACAACTCATGGCGTTGAAATAATGCACCATCCAAACCACGAAGAGATTTCCAACATGGGGCAGCTCATGACAAGCATTCGCATGAGGATTCAAGAGATTGGTGAAATGTGCCATCCCCCCATCATTTGTTTGATCCCAATTTGATCCTCAGATCACCCCCAGCCAGCCATCAGTGTCAACAGCCATGTCAACAGCCATGTCAACTGCGCCAGCGTTGCCCGCACTTCTTGCAAATCGCCGCCTGCCACCATGCTTCTTTGCAAACTCTCAACATGGTAAAATTGCAGTTCTGAGATTTTTTTTAGTATATAGTTGGAATCTAAAATACCTAGCGACCGATCGCAAATATTGGGATATCTCATCCTTACAAATGGGGCATGGCCAGTGGCTCCCCATGGCTCCCCATGACTCCCCATAACCAAAAACTGGAGTATGGTCAAGTTACGTGGGATTCACAGGGGTTTTAAGGCCTTCCCACCATCATTTTCATGGGGTTCCCATCATGAACTCATGGAATTCACCAATTAAATGGTATATGAACCCCATAGTTATAATGGGTATCTTAAGGATTACCATGATTAAGGATTCCTTTTAATTATATATATATACAGTGATATTCAATAATGGGATTAAATGGATATAAATGGCTGGATGATATGGATGATCATCCACAAACACTCTAGAAATATAAAAAAAAACTGGGGATTTTCCCTCCATTGTTCCCAGCCTCGGAAGCGGCTGCCAGGTCGAAAAAAAACCACCAGGTACCTTCGCTGAAGGTTGGGGCTGGAGTGACGCAGATAGCTAGTACTTCAAATGATGCGCATCTGGAGGTCTCCCAAAATGGTGATATATAATGATACATATATATATATATATATATGTGTATACACTTCAAATCATTCAAGTCATTAGACTATCTTAAGTATTGCATCCCATGGTTTTGGGGCTCCCCCCCATTTATGAAGAACCCCCCATCTAACTGAAGTCAGAATGGATACCAGTCGGCTTGCCACGCTTGGCTTCATTCTTGTCGCTTGTGGCAGAAGTAGCAAATATATGCCCCCAAGATGTCTCAAGTCTAAAAAAATATCTGAATATATATATATATGATTATATATGATTATATATGCATATCCTCATCTTGACTCATCATCATTTTCCTCAGTCACTATCCATCTTTCAGTCTCAGTCTCTCTTGGTTTTCCACGTCGGCTCGACGCTGCACTACACGGACGGGTCACTCATTCCCCTGGAGCAGCTCGGACAAGCTCAACTGGCGCCGGGTCAACGGTGCGTTTTGTGCGGTGTCAGGGAGGATCATCCCAGGTTAGTTCACCCATTTACATGGGATAACCAGGATATAACTTATGATTAGTATCTATTGACTAGTATCTATTGATGATTAGTATCAATCAAATTAGTATCTTAGTTGTTCACCTTAGTATCTATTGATGAATTATTTCAAACAACTTTAGGACTTGAGACATTTCAAAATTGCTTTCTGTCAAGCTTGGCTCTCCACATGTAGTAGTTCTTCCAGCGGCCTTTGGCGTATGTTGCTATCATGTCGGCTCTATAGCTGATATCTTTTGTTCCACAAACATCTTGTGTTGGATACATTGGATAAACATGAAGATCTAAAATTGAAAACTCCCATCCATTTCCCATCAATTTCCCATCCATTTCCCATCCCCCAACCACCACCCCTTTCTCCGGCCATCGGCCTCGCCCCCCGAGCTCGCGGGCAGCTTGAAGTCTGGCGCCGGATCGCCGGGCTGCACCACACCGGTGGCGATAAACTCCATCTTCAGCCCGGGGTTGGCCTCGGGGGGCTGGGGCCAGGAGTTCCCTGGAAAGTTCTGGGAGTAAAACTGGTTTTTGGTTAATTGATATATGGATGAAAAAAACAGCCCGAACATGGGATATTTAACTGGGATTGTCATGGTCATTTGATATTTACATTGTGAAATTGTTGGATATGATATAATGATAGTTCATGAGAGATACTGATTCGGGGAGATTGGATACTCAATTGGGATATAACCAGCGTTTCGAAGAAAAAAAACATTGTTGGTCATTTGGGGAAAATGGCATGAATGTTCAACTCCCTGTATCAATATGTATATATTATATATATTACATTATATATATACTACTATATGTATAACATTGTATAACTGGTCACATCATGGGTTATGACCCTGCTAGCAACCAGTGAACTAACTCCATGGCCCATTTAAGTGGGAAAATATGTTGATCAATGATATCCTTCTGGGCCAAAAAAAACACGTGTTTAGTACTTCATGTGCCATCATATACCCATATAGCTTGATGAATTGGGATTACCCATCTATGAAGCAACCAACGAGTAGAAAAAGTACATCATGGAGATATTCTGGAGTTGGATGGATTGACATGAATGGAGTGACTCGATTGACCAATCACATAGGGGGGGCGGGGATTGAGGATTGAGGATGATAATCATGATCTTCTAATGTGGGGGATGATTCTCTCCATCTTAAGAATGGGCGGGGGGATTGAATATGAGGCATTAAGAGTGTTGGATGATGTCAAAACCATTTAACATGCAGTATTGTACAGTGAAGGGATGGGTTTTGCGGACGGCCTAAAATCATCTAAAATCATTGGTTAAAACTTAAAATAACATATGTTGCATGAATGTGGGGATGAATATGACACTGACCGTGAACCATAGATGCCATAGATGGATGCCTGTCGATGATGATACAGTTGGGACGACTACTGGCTAGTGGATATAGCTGATATTTTTCCGCGGGCAAAGGAAAAAAAACACATAAGTTATCATAAGTTGGCCCAAAGTTGGCATATAACCATATATAAGCCGTATAATTATGACAATTATATATGATAATTATAGATAATTACGGGTATACCACCACTTAGTTCACTTAGTTCACTGCCCGAGAAGGACTGGACAACGGCAGCATGACACTGCCAAGTTATCAGCTGCGCAGGGCGATGTTTCACCTCGCAAATCGATGGGAAAATTAAAAGATGCCATCCAGGCTATTTTGCTTTAGGATTTGAATATGATTTTGAATCATACGCAAATCATCTTTATATATGTTTAGCAAATGTTTAACAAATATATATATATATATATACTATCAAATCCTGATTTCTCCAGTTCCGGAGTCCGCCCATTTCTGAGTCCCCCGAACTTCCATTCCCAAAAAAGAGGACCTTGGCGACGGGCCACCACGGAAGGTGCGTCAATGGGGGACCCCCATAAAACCAATGGATGATTCTCATGTTCCCACTGAAACAACCATATACAACCATATACAACCATATGATATAACTGGTGATACATCAATATAGATGATCAATTGTGTGGGTACAAACGCTACACACCCAAGGTTCCAGCCATTTCTGTGTCGACTGGATGTCCCAACCGGGTGGCCACACGCATTGGCAGCTTTCTTGAGCACCGCATCCACACCCTTCATCCGCCGCAGTTGTCCTTCCTTGGCTATGCAGTGATTGCTTGGAGGGGTGTCAATCTGACACGGCTGGTACCATCTGGTACCACTTTGACCGGCTGAGACTTTGTCAAGGGGGTGAAAAGAATGCCGGGTTGACATCTTGGAGCTTTGCCGGCATTCTTTTCAACTTTGAAACAAAAAAGGAACTTTTGGAATTTGGAACTTGATCAACCCAACTTTATTTACATTATATATATATATAATTAGATTATTGGATGATGACTATTATCAATATTACTATCATTACCCTCTGGTAAACTAACATAGCTATGGAAAATCACCATTTTCAATGGGAAAATCCACTATAAATCACCATTTTCAATAGCTACGTTAAATTACCAGAGGGTACATTGAATAATATAGTTCCAAGATGTTCCAAGCGATGCAAAAAATCTGATCACTTGGCTTACCATCATCCCGAGAAGGACTTAAAATGTTCATCGCTTCGACACCACCAGAACTGCAAAGGGTTCATCCCAAAAAATGGAGGTACAATATGTATATATATATATATACATACATAATTAATATATATATATATAGTAATTAATATATATATACACATATATTATATAGAGATTTGAAACCACAAACCAGAACTGCACTAGAATATAGAATATAGTATTGGGAGACATTAGGAGCTTCTCAAACTTGGGGGGTGGGATCAAAACATGTCAATTTTCTCTGCAGCTTCACCGAGAACGAACTGCCGCGAAGAATATCTGCGGTCCCCGAGGATCGCCATTCTTCGACCCATGCCCATATCGCTGTTCATACTTGGAATATAGATATCATCCTGTTCTGTTAGTCACAGTTCATAGTTAGTTCGCTGAATCCATGTAGATCTCTGTGTGGATGTCAATTCTTGGGGCCCATCCCGATGTTTGCTGGATAATTCCTCCGGTTCGTCGGGTAACTTCCATGTTTGTTGGACGGATCCCCGTTTTTCTGTGCTAAGTTTTTCTTGTGTTGCAGGATCCAATATGATGTTGGCTATATCCATCAGCTTTTTTCTTCGCAATACACATCTTTTTTCCAGACTTAGACAGTGGGACAATCCCCCATCCCCCAAGTCTACCCATATGGTGAGCTCCTGATGTGACCAAAGTCCAGGGACCTCCCCTGTGCCATCCAAGTATCCGAATAGAAGGCATAAATATCATCTTTCCACGCGCAGGTCTGCGGCGGCATCAGGTATGTATCCGAGATGGCGGAAAGGATGGTGGTTCAAAACAAAACATCTGAAAACTTGGGACCATGTTATGCATTATATATATATGTATAATTATGTATATATAATACACATATACATTATATCATTATATATGTATGCGTGTGTTTGAAACAAAAAGCAACAAGAAGTCGCCCAGTTAAATCATTTACAAAGAAACATTTTCCATTCCTTAGGGTTCATAACCTATATCCAAAGGCTTTTGGGCAAAATGGCCAACGAAAGAAAGAAATCCGAAACTCCAAACGACTTTGGAACAGTATCTTAATGATGTAATGAGATTAAAAAAAAAAAAACGATCCTATCTAAATCTAATCATATGTATTTAGAAAAACATTACTATCGAAATCTAAACATATGTATTGGGATAATATCTGCGAGTATATATATATATAAACTGATGATGCGCGTCTATCTATATACAATATCATATAATCATACTGATGGTGGTAGAATACAGTACGTGTGTATATATATATACATATCTACCCTCTGGTAATCTAACGTAACTATGGAAAATCACCATGTTTAATGGGTAAATCCACTATTTCTATGGTCATTTTCAATAGCTATGCTAGTTTACCAGAGGGTATATATATATATACATATCTATATACAAACATATCATACGTTAGTCCTCAACCTGAAATGATGAGCCATTAATGGCCCATGCTGGGCAGCCCCAACCAGCTCGTCTCCCACGCGCAAACCTTGCGCCTGAAGGCGGCTTCGCTGGGGCGGGGCTAGATGTTTATATAGGCTATGGTTATTATAGGTGTATAACATGTACATGTATAACATGGGATATATATATATATAATATATATATATAATCATATATATATATATGTGTGATATCATGTGATTAGTTTCTTGCTGTATCATCCATATGGAGTATTGAACCCAAAAAAGTATTCAGTTCATCACATGTAGTTCATCGCAGGTCACGGAGAAAGCAGTTCCAAGGGACCTGCGAAGGAAATAGGCCGGCGTGGAAAACTGCGTGACAAATCAAACTCTGAATGTGTAAAAAAAAATACTTGGGGGATCTTGGGGGCATATCCCAAGTAGTAAGTGGTTCATACTTACCCACGCTTGATCCATATTCATGTTGTATATTCCATAAATCGTTGTACACAATGGGCCAAATTTTTTCATGACCCAACGACCCAACGAACTGCTGAGGTCCAGACGTAAGCTCGACTTTCAGGTTTCACATAGACGACCTTTGGGTTCGTCCTACAGCGGGCTGATGGGCTGAGTGTTGACCCATCACCAGAACTTACCCTCTGGATCCCTCTGGTTATTTAACATAACTATGGGAAAATGATGGAAAATGGCCCAATCTCCCAATTCATAAATTATGGATGATGATTTTAACTCATGCGGAGTCAAACAATTGAGTGTATAGTAGGTTACATCCGCATTTCATGATACAATCATCAATCCACCATGTGCGGTTTCTTCATTCCCTCATGATACCGTTATGTTTATCATTTTGACACATATTTTTTCGGTACCCCCACATCCAGTGGATTGTCATGTCTTGTCCCCATTGAAATCGGACAAATCGCCATGTTTTTTCACATGTTTGTTGGCTCATTTCCCCCAGGGCACACAGGGTTTAATGCCGCTTTTCATGGGGAAAAATCAGCATTTCGATCCGTTGAAGTCATTTTACATTTGCCTAAAAATAGGGGATACCATGGATACCACATGTTTGATGATCCAAACATTTAACGAAAGCATCAAATGGTTGGTGCTTGTAGTCAACCTTGTCTCCCGGATGACCATCTCAGGCGTCGCCAAGTAGCAAGGACTGCGCACCAAACTCCGCCTCCCCACCGCCCAGGTAGAAGTCGTCGACTCGCCGTGAGCAGAAAAGGCATGGGAGCAAAACATGGTGAATCCATCCCAAACAGAAACCCCAAAAACCGGATTTAAGTGCTCTAAGAACTCACCAAAAATGGATTTAAGTGATAGGTGTTTGGTATTTTTGGCAACTATACATGGTGATTCAAAGCATTTCAGACGACAAGTGATTTGAGCAACAGCAACAACAACCAGAAACGCTTGATTAACCGATTAACCCTCAACCGGTTCAGATTTGGTCGAAATGTTGCAAATGGGAAGCAACTACTTGAAATATCTTAAAATCTAAAGGAAATCATATGTGTGGTTTAAAATATAGCATGTTATGATATGTTATCTTATGATGTGTTCTGCGTGTCGCATTCTAAGGCACATTCATGTAAAATCTCACAGGTTTTCTTCTCCAAAAGCTTGGCGCTACCAAGGTCCGCGCATGGGATACCACCAGGGTATGCCACCTGGCCATGGGCATGCGACAGGTGCCAATGGACCCAGAAAATGGATGAAAATGGCATGTGTTATGGGATAAAATTGAGAAATACGCGAAAAACATGCATAATCTAACGCAGTGTCTAGGAAATAATGGGATACAAATGGATACAGGATATGTAACCAACAATTTGTTGTTATGTGGGTATGTCTTTAAAGTGTTAATGTACCCCCAAATGACAATGTTTCATCTTGAAAATCTTCCAGTGACCATGTGGATGAACAGCATGTTCCCCAAAGCAAGTCTGGGAAGTCTGACCATGCCTGTGTTCTAAGATATTTTAAGCTACGGCTACCCTCTGGCAATTTAACAGTTTGCTATTAAAAATTGATAAAAAATTGTGATTTATAGTGGATTTACTCATATAAAATTGGTGATTTTCCATAGCTATGTAAACGTTTACCATGGCAGGGTCCGACATCGGATACAAAGACACTAACAAGCGCCGCTCCTGGAAAGGGAAGCCGATCTGGATCAAGCCTTCCTTGTATCCTGTCGAACCACGTTCAGCAGCACTGTGAAATATCCGGACACGTTTTTTTCACTAATAACTCCAGACTAAGTTAACTGAACCTTTGAAGTGCTACGAGTAGGTGCTGAAGACTGAGATGCCAATCATTGGGGTCTGGTTGGTGGTTTCAACCTACCCCTCTGAAAAATGATGGAGTTCGTCAGTTGGGATTATTATTCCATATATATTCTGGATGATGATTCAGTTGGGATGATGATTCCATATATATGTACATACATATACAAATACATATATAGATATAGATATATATATATAAATACATATATACATATAGATACACACATATATATATATAATTATATATACATATATATATATATATAGTGTGTGGAAAGTCATAAAATTCCATGGTTCCAGTCACCACCAACCGGGTCAAGTCATGGCCTTTCTGTTCCTCTGCCACAGCAGGCAACCTGTAACGACGCTGGCCGCTGGATCGGTGATCTTTTTTGCTTCGAAAGTGGCCAGTCCCACAAAACCAAAAACCGCCACAAATAGCCACAAAGCCTAGATTATCGCTAGCAAGTTCTAGATCATCCATTGTGAAAATATGGTGAAAATATGGTGAAAATTGCTGAACATCAATTCCTATCTAATCTAATCGTATCATAATCTTTAGTCCCACATCTCCTTGTCTTTGAAAACTCATCTTTGGGTGACTTAAGTTGAGAGTGCATCCCTTTTTTAGTGAATGGTTAATAGCCCATGTAGGACTAGGGTATATTCCACATCTTTTAGTGCGTTATTAACCACTGGTTAGTGCCCATTTCATGCCAGCCCCCAAACTGAACCCCGGTAAGCTACTCCGGTAAGCTACTCCGGTAATTTGACATAGCAATTGAAAATTGCAATCTATATAGTTAATTTATAATTTGAAAAGGGAGATGTTCATAGCTATGTTTGTTTCCCAAAGGATAATACTGTAGTTGGAGAAAAAAAACATAAATATCACATTAGATTCCAAAGTACTGATTGGTTATATACTCCGTTGGTTAGTATTAGGATGTTAATAATGGATATCCCATTATATATATATGTATATATTGTCTTATATCCAATTGTTGCTGAAAAATGTGCTTATATCCCATCATGCTGTGGTTGGTTGTAATTTCAAGTGAGGATTATCTATCTACTACCGGTTAATCAACATTAAGTATATTTCCCAACTTGACTTAAGTACATTTCCCATTAAAGCTATATTTGTTGCTTGCCAACCCCAACTTCCAGATATTTCCGGAAGCAGCTCCTTGAGCCGCTAGGCTCCCCTGCAGACCTAAGAGCTGCCCAGCAGCCGGCAAGGCCAGCCGTAACAGCGACCTGGGGGAACTCGTTTGGAAACTCAACCAACAAGTGGGATCAAGAACCTGGGTTTAACCAGAAAAAATAGGGACACTTAGGATTTATAACCAGGGATTCACCACAAAAAACATGGAAAACCTTGGGATTTGGGTCGCTACAACTATTGGGAGTTTAGCCAACATGAGACTCATGAGAGATTTCACTCCGACATCGGGATTTGAGCATCAAAAATTGGCGGAAATCAGTGCGCGTTCAAAAATGGTGTACCTCTGACCATCCCCAGGGGTGTTCGATATTTTTGAGCCCTACTGGCCATACCCCCAGGAGGACATCGAAAGGATTTAATTTAATGGATCCTAAAGGATCCTAAAGGTACTTGTACCATCTTGTACCTACGGCATATACAGCTAGGACTCAAGATAGAATACGAGCGGGACATCGCAATGCATGCGGAGTTTCTATGTTCCCTTGCCGTTTTTGAAGCACGGAGGGTAAAGCATCTACTAGTAGCAATCAGGCAGTCATGAGAGGGAAGACCTTCAATTGAGTTTGAAGTACCATTTGTCCAGTTGTTCCCTGCCGGAAGGGGCTCTGACCTTCAAAACTAGGAACTACCTCTAGTTCCTCGCTAGTAAGCTAAATAGCAGCTTTCTATACGTACACCTGGTAGGTAGAGGCTCGACGCAATTGAACAGTGGAGGTGTCTACCAAACATTTGAGAACTTCAACCTGCCATGATGCTTGAATGCATCATCTTCCATTGGGGATGCATTATTAGATCTCAGGGAGAGCATATCTCAATGGGTATGGGTCAAACAGGGGGGGTACACATCGACCCACAGATTTTAGCATTCCATCTAGGATAATCGCTAAATCCATCTGGATACTTGCAGTTTGCACATAAAATGACCCACATGTACATTACCCTGCAGTGCCACCGAACATCGCAATTGAAATCGGACTCTAAATGGAGCTTTTAATGGGAAAATCATCTGTAATTGATGAATTTTCCATTGCCATGTTTGATTACCAGAGTGCAAATGCTCCCTTATATTACAGGAACCCTCAAAAGAGGTGGAAGAGGTACAATTTGTGCCACTGTTTCAGAGTTGGGTCGCTATTTGCATCTTTCAGTAAAATCACACGGATAAGGAGAATCCACCATTCATAGATGATTTCACAGGGAAGGTATGTGTGTTCTCCATATGTCTGGGTAAATTATAATTTCACTAACCTGAATTAAGGCCATATTGGGATGATTTCCCTTACTAACCATCATTCCCAGTGAGGGATAACAGTGAGGTCGTTATAACTTACCCAGATATGTATGTGTATATAATATATATATATATAGTAATTGGTTTATAAACCATTATAACCCCATTAACCATAGTTATATCTACCATAAACTATGTTAATGATATAATGTTAATTTACCTCAGGGTTCAACATTTCCGCGACCTTCCCCTGAAATGACCCCCCACCTGTGGAGCGGCACGAAAGCGCCACCCAAGACCTAGTTGCAGCCCTATTTCTGCTAACCATGTGGGCTTTGGTCAGAAGATGCTACCATATTCTGCCAACAATACTTGGGATATTCACTGGGATATACAGTAACCAACAGCATGTTGAATTTTGATTTGTCCCGCGGTTGGAATTTAGCACAAAGATTGTATTTTGAGCATCAAACAAGGGGATTTCACTAAGGAATCATGGAAATAGGTTTGCCCAGCAACGGGGTAGACCCAACAATTGCAATCTTGGAGAAACAAAAAGGTCGTGAAGAACCACTGGACTTCTTATGCACCATATTTCTAAAGGATCATTTTACACATTTGGGTCAAGAATTCACCTGCGAAATCTGACAGATCAAACATACTTTGCTGGAGAATCCCCCATCGAGTGATTTTCCCAGCCAGCCATGGCACAACGATGGCACCAAGTTTTGGATGTTTGGATATCTTGTGGAGTCAAAATGTCACAAAAAATGTCGCCAGGCTTGACACATGTATTTCCACTGAAATCAGCAAGAAAAAAACATTCAACCATCATAGCATCAGTGTAGGGTGTCTTCATACCATATGTTGAACCATGATATGTCATTCATTCAACCATCATTCATCATTCAACCATCACTTGACTCATAGCCATGGTGTGCTAGGCGCTGCTTCTTCACCTCCATAATCCTCCATGACTAAAAATTTCATCACCAAAAGCGACATAAAATAATGTTTGGGATAGAGATGTATGGGATTTTGGTTCATCAAAAAAATAGGATTTATTCATGGACTTATTCATTTAATAGGATAAATATGAATAAATCTGATGTTTGAAAGACCCGCCTACAGCATGTTTGTTGTTTCAAGCCTTGTTGGTTACTGTACATCACAATATCTTTCACCCAAATCCCTGTGATGTCGCCCTACTCAAATCCGATTTCTTGATGGTAAAACCCATTTTTTTAGGTGGTTCAATGCGCCTAAAAGCTATGAGTCATTGAGGATCACGTACTATTTATAATACGAAAACACATCTATCCCATCATATCCCATATCCCGTCATCGATTCATCACATATACAATGTATTGCTGTGCATAGCTATATTATTTTTCATACGTACTAATATTTATTATACACTAATATCTATATAAGTTCAGAAAAAAAAGGCGCCTTTGAATGGTTGGTAGTTATACCCCCATAACTTTGTTGCTTTAATCATGTTGAATCTCCATGATTCATTGGTGAACGCAATTTTATCTATGGTCGAAAATCATCATCAATGGACCAAGGAAACCCAAATAAGATTCTTGGCTATATTGCTATGTTCTTCCGAGTTATATCCCCACACAAATCAAGTAGGGAAGAGGAAATCTATATACCCTCTGGTAAACTAACCTAGCTATTGAAAATGGTGATTGATTTGTAGTGGATTTACCCATTAAAAATGGTGATTTTCCATAGTTTTTTGTATGTTTACCAGAGGGTATATATCCCATGGTATCCTCCAGCATTCCAAATTATCACCATTAGAATATCCTAATTATTTCATTTCCGCTACAATATCAATATCCTACACCATTCAACATTCCCTATTCAATATCATATATATATATATTAGTAGCCCTTACATAACAATATATCGTTGTGATGATAGTGGTTATCCACTGGGGCTACACAGAGGGGCTTTCCGCCCACGCACCTGGCAGAGCAGCAGCAATGCCGCCACTCCCAGGATCAAACGCGGCACCTCCCACGGAGGCCCTTTATGTGCGGGTCGGGTCATCCCAGCATCACTGGGGATTCTTGATAGTGATCTATAATAGATGATATTAGTGATCTATTAATATTATACAATTGGGGATTCTATAGATCATCTATAATAGATCATCTATAATGGATCACTGGGGATAATGATCTATTGTTGAAATCCTTGATGGATTCCATAAGTTGAGTTCCATGATGTAGATCAATAGATCAAATGGACAGATGTTAATGACATAGATCATCATCAAATCTATAACCCATAGGGTCCATGGTGCTGGTATATATGCTAATATGACTGGGGTATATTGATGGGATCCATGTTACCATATATAGCATACATGGATCCTATGGATAATAATACATCTATAATAGATCCTTCTTAGTAGATTGATGACCATCCCAAAAAAAATGCAAAAAAAAACATGGAACGTGATCAAGATCGTGAAGATGGTAGGTATGGCTTTGGGGCCAAAAAATTGCACAACAATTCCCAATGACTCGTGGGTTACCCTTGGGTTCATTGTGGATTATCCCTATGAACTTGCGGGTAAGATGAGTCATTTGACTTTCAGGTATGCGTGTTTGATGTTTCAAGTATTCATGGATAACAACAGCCAAAGAATATCTAGTCAGTTCGTACAGTTACCCTGTGCTTGAAAATAAATGAAAAAAACAAAACAAAACAAACAGGGGTTTGTCCTGGGGGCCTTCAAGCAGTGAAACTCATCCACCTTGCTTGAAGTACATCTTGGGTCATGGTACCCTGCGACAAGTTATCGCCCAGTTTGGAGTACCCAACGTTGACCGGTGGCCCAAGGGCCCCCATATGTGAAGTTTTTAACTCAATTTGGCGGTTTCCATGGGTTATAAATGGATTATAAAAGGGTTTAGTTGGGGAAAGTTACAACGTGTTACAACCCATAGAATTTTAGACACACAAATGACATGTTTTGGATGGGGTAAACAATGAACCAGTTGATTTGGTGGTGCAGCTTGTCCAAGGCTGAGCAATCAATATGGATGTGCATCTGTTAGTAAGTTCTTTATTGTGCAACAAATATGTGTATATATTATACTTATAACTGAGATTAACCTGAGCTATTTGATATTATAACTACTACCAATCACTACCGATAAACAAATTGGATACACCCCCAAATGAGGATGGACAGATATGTCACCACTTGCCAGACTGTTCTCTTTCGCCATGCGCTTAGACGTAGCTGAACTGATCTTGGACTTCGGAGATGCCACCCCGTTGGGGATCGCCCCATGTCACCACGTTTCCATTGGCCAAAATGGCAGTAAAAGCAGAGTCTGTGGAACAAATCTGCTGAACATTTCGCAGCTGATCTTGGACTCCGGAGCTGTCACCACCAAAGTGTGGATTGCCCCACGTCACTACACTTCCATCTGCCAGAATCGCAGCAAAAGCTCGTTCTGTGCCACAGATCTGCTGCACATTCCTGAGCTGATCTCGGACTGAGGAACTGTCACCACCGCAGTCTTGATCGCCCCATGTCACTACTGTTCCATCGGCCAAAATGGCAGCAAAAGCGGAGTCTGTGGCACACATCTGCTGAACATTCCTGAGTTGATCTTTGACTCTGGAGCTGTCGCCACCACGGTCCGCAGTGCCCCATGTCACTACTGTTCCATCTGCCAAAACCGAAGCAAAAGCAGCATGCGCGCCCGAAATCTGCTGAACATTCCTGAGCTGATCTTGGACTCTCGAGCTGTCACCACCATAGTCTGGGTGGCCCCATGCCACTACAGTTCCATCTGCCAAGATCGCAGCAAAAGCACCGAATGTGCCACAAATCTGAAGAACATTCCGGAGTTGATCTTGGACTCCGGAGCTGTCACCACCATAGTATCGACGGCCCCATGTCATCACACTTCTATCCTTCAGAATGACAGCAAAAGCAAAGCCTCTGCCACAGATCTGTTGCACATTCTTGAGCTGATCTTGAACTTCGTAGCTGTCACCACCATAGTCTTGATCGCCCCATGTCACCACGGTTCCATCGACCAAAGTTGCAGCAAAAGCAAAGGCTGTAGCAAAAATTTGATCAACATTCCGCAGCTGATCTTGGACTCCGGAGCTGTCACCACCAAAGTCTGGACGGCCCCATGTCACCACAGTTCCATCTTCAAGAATGACAGCAAAAGCAAAGCCTGTGCAACAGATCTGCTGCACATTCCTGAGTTGATCTCGGACTCTGGAGCTGTCACCACCAAAGGCTGTATGGCCCCATGTGACAATTCTATCACCTCCAACACACCACAAAGCAAACGCGCCCCGAGTTGCAGCTATCTTTGGCTGCTGTGCAACAGCAAAAACGGTGTCTCCACCTTGAAGTCCCGACAATTGCAATGCTTCGGTCAGATCCAAAAGGCGCCCGTCAGGGGCAGCAAGCTTCAGGAAACGTTGCCCCAAAGACTGTTGTGCAGCTGTTTTCAAGTCAGCAACAGTGCCAGACTGCAAGACCCAGAGGCTTTCCCGTCGTCCGCTGGGCAAGGCGACCTCAAGTCGGATTGAACTGCCAGCCACCTGGCTGCTCCCGGGCCTGCTCTCCATTGCTCGGCTACAAAGGGGTGGCTGAACAGAGTCTATGGTACAAGCATAGGTGTTCCATGGTGTTCCTATGCTTATTCATGTCTGCAACATGACTTGCTATTGAGTTCATGAGAGTCAATATTATACCATGTTCCGACCATGTTGTTGATGTTTGTCATGGAGGTGATGAGAAACCCAGAGAAAAACCTGATCCAATGATCCTAGCCACATCCTCATGTTGTCTCCCTAAAAATGTGGTGCTTTAATCATCATGGTCTAAATTGCCATCCGAGTTTCATCTAATCCACAAAATTCAGAGCCACATGTTCCAATGTCCGGGCCCCATCAGGCCTTCCAAGCCCTGAATGTAGCAATTTCAGCTATCGGCTGCCATCAAAAAATCAGCTCAAAAATGGCCAGGGTAATCTTCCGAACCCTTGCTCATTGAGGAGGGTTTAGCACAAAATTGAGATGTTGCAACCAGAAGCTGGTGCCCTATAGTTAGCTAAGTTGTCTTGGAAGTGGCTTCACTAGGGGATTCGGTAGATATATCGAACTGGCTAGATGGGGTAACATAAACCAATAAACATAACTGGGGTGCCACAACCTTCTACCATTCAGCAATCAAAGACGGCAGAAAATCATATCAGGAAATCACAGTTCTGATGCGCGTTTTGATTGGAACACTACCTACACATATATCTGAAAATGGAGGCTTTCCATTGTCAAGTTGGAGACCGACGGATGCTACTCAGAACAAAGGACTATACTGACTAATTACCTTATTTTTCAGAGAGTTTGCTACCCTAAAATCTTATAATGGTTATAGATTAAGTTATAGAATCATCATGTGTGTCATTAGGAGGTATCCACCATCTTTTGATTAAAAAAAATGACCATGTCCGGCCATTTCCGTACTATACCCTCTGGTAAACATACAAAAAACTATGGAAAATCACCATTTTTTATGGGTATAAATCAACTATCAATGGGCCATTTTCAAGTTCGCAAACTGTTAGTTTACCAGAGGGTAATGACTGAATTCAGTTCACCTCTTAGTTTTGGTGAACTCCCTCATGTTTCGTTTCAGCTCCCGTCTGCATGTCATGCCGAATGTCATGGATATATGAAGACCGGAGGGATGACCCATCCCCTTTATTGGGAAAATCCCAGCATTTAGAGGTTTACCCTCTGGTAATTTAACATAGCTATGGAGAATCACCATTTTTAATGGGAAAATCCACTATAAATGATCATGTTCAATAGCTATATTAAATTACCAGAGGTTTATGTTCTCTGAACACAACAATACTGTATGGTCGTCCATGTCGTTTTACGTTAGTTTGCCTCGGGGTAAAAATTTATGATATCCCCATATGGTGAAATCATCATGTTTGCTTGTTAAAATTGCCATGTTCAATGCTTTAGTCCTTGAGTCCCAATGTTTCATGATTAAAATTTCAATTCTGCCTGATCATGTAGAGAAATTCATGGTATCAGATACCCTTTGGTAAACTAACAGTTTGCGAACTTGAAAATGATCATAGAAATAGTGAGTTTTCCCATGAAAAAATGTGATTTTCCATAGTTTTTTGTAGGTTTACCAGAGGGTATCCCAATGATCAGAAATGTAGAAAAAAACATGGTGAATTCCCAATCCACCTGGCGGCCACCAGGGAGTTTCCTCCCGCGGCGTCCTGGAAAAATGTCTTTCACCGTTGATGAAGAATCCCAAGAATCTCATGATATCCCTCTGGTCATGTTATATAATGTTACCATCTGGTTATGACTAACATAGCCATGGAAAATCCCAACCATAAATGGAGGTTTCTAGATGGGAAAATCATCTATAAATGGACTATTTTCCATGGCTATGTTAAATAACCAGAGGGTATATATATAAATGATTATCATATAATCCATGGAAAAACCAGATAATCTCATTATCTCTCATAAATATCCCTCTGGTCATTTAACATTGCCATGGAAAATGGCCCGCTTATAGATTATCTACCTGTGTGTCCCCATAAACATGGTGATTGTTCATAGCTATGTTAAATTACCAGAAGGTAATGTTCAATAATGATGGCATTATTTTGGATACCATCAATTGATATTAATCCCATACCAATTTGTTCTTTATAGGATTATGATATCTAATCTTCTTCATGATATCTCATCTCATCAATGATTAATGTTCGATAATGATGGTATTATTTTTCTTTTTACCATCGATTGATATCCATTAAACAAATGATCTGATATAGAAAAATGATATCTAATGATATCTAGTGATATCTAATGATATCTAGTGCTCAATATTCGTCCAATATAATATTTGTAATAATGTCTCCATATATCTAAATCTACAAAATATCTTGTTTTTTTTGGAAATGTATTATATATCCGATATTATGAGATCCACAAATTAGAATCTAATATTTTATATAACTAGACGATAATCTCTGAATGATATCCAATAAATGACATCAACTTATATCTTTTTTATGATCCAATATCCCATTTTTTTCACGCCAGGTGGCGTCATCTAGATATGAATCAGATTGGCTACCCTCTGGTAATTTAACATAACTATGGAAAATCACCATGCTACTAATGGGTACAGTCACCGACAGAATTATGGAAAAAAAATAAACGTTTCAATTTACAGGCGCCGCCTGTCTATGATAGAAAAGTTACGAACCTTTTTTTTTTCCATACTTATTTTTTCCATAATTATGTTTTTTCCATAATTCTGTCGGTGACTGTATGTTCATCGATTGGCAATTTGAATGCATTTTAAGGGGGAATATTGAATTATAGAAAATATGTGTCTAAAGATCTGGTATATGCCCCTAAATCTTCCATTGATATACATAATATCATGTGATGTTCGCAATTTGAATGCATTTTAAGGGGGAATATTGAATTATAGAAAATATGTGTCTACATATGCGGGATGTTTCCTTTTGCCAACAGGTGGAGCCCCAAACATTAATTATGGAAAAAAAAAAATATGGAAAAAATAATTATGGAAAAAATAATTATGGAAAAACCGGTCAATCTGCCCTAGCCCCCTGATTTCACAGGAAAAATCAATTATGGAAACAATGGCCACCTCCAAGAATTATGGAAAAAAAAAAGGTTCGGATCACATCCGGGATATTTTGAACCCTTATGGGGAAAAATCCAATTATGGAAAAATCGGACGCAGGCGCCGCCTGTCTAAGTTGAACGTTTTTTGTTTTTCCATAATTCTGTCGGTGACCATAAATCAACTATTTCTATGGCCATTTTCCAGTTCGCAAACTGTTTGACATCACCAGAGGCAATCTGTTTCTGTTCAGATACACACCAGTCATCGATCGCCACAATCGATCGATCCAATCCGTTCCACCGAAAGGGATCCATGGCCACTGTCTGAGAAGGTACGGCTGGCTAACCCTCCAAATTAGTTCGTTAAATTATACCCCAGTCCCACTTCCTAAGAAGATACGACTGGATCCTATGGGATTATACCCCCGGTTCACAAGATCGAAGCTGAATTGATGGGTTTTTAGCTGATTCTTGAAGACTTGGATGTGACCATAAATATGAGTTCCAGAAATAAGAGGGTGGAACTAACTTAACAATACTTAACAACCAAAAGATCGAAACACTGAGACTCCAGGCGAAGCTCTTCCGACACCATGCGAAGCTCTTCACGACGCCCGGTATAAAAAACCATGGGATTTCTTTTGCGCAAAAGATTGGGATTTCTCCGCCCAAAACATCTGGGATTTACCAAGATCTGCCTTAAACATGGGCCAGTTTTGCGTAACATGTACCAAACATGGAGCATCCTGGAATAGACATGGGGCCCATGGGGATTTTTTTATCTGGGGATGTGAAGCAACAAGATTTGGGATGCAGCAAATCAAAGGTTGCACCCTTTAGCTCAATTCAAGGTACCACGTTGGAGAGTCTTGGTGAATCTCGTTGTTGGTTTATTGTTTGTTCCATGTCTTTTCCCATCACCTGTGGTGCCCAAAGGGTCAAGCATAGCAGCCACACTTTCAACTACTTTCAACCATGTGGATTCAAGGCTTCTCTCACAAACAGGCTGATCCTGTGTATGTTTAAGGTACATGATTGCCAGATGTTACATCAAGCTGTTAATCAAGCTGCTAATCAGCCCTTAGTTCTTGGTTTCCTTCGGATTCACCCTTCACAAAGCCTGATGATTCGGGTCGAAAAGGCGGCAGCTGGGACTCCCCAGTGCGCACTGGAGTCTTCTGAATCTAAATGGATGGTTTTCTTGAGGGAAAATCCTAGTAAAATGGATGATTTGGGGGTACCCCTATTTCAGGAAATATATATATATATTTATAATTATATATACTTTGAAGTAGATTCTGTCAGTAATGTAATTCTATGAGCCACATCCCACTTCCACTAACTTTCAATGTTTGGATGGTCGTGGCTATGGCGGCCATGGCTCAAGTTTAAGTACTGTGAAAACTGGACCACTTTTTACCAGTTGTCGATGGTTCACAGTCAGTAATATGTTCATGATCCTGGCTACCCTCCACGCATTTCCGATCCAGATCCGCCCAAAAAAATATGGGTGTGTCTGAAAATGTTGTGTACCCCTAAACCCAATGGTTAATGATCATTATCCCTATTAAATGGCTATAATTGGGAATATTGGTCCTTTTCCGAAAGCCTATTTCGTGCGAGTGCGAATCGCAAAGGCTTCTTGGACCCAACCAGCTATGCAGCCATTGGATGCTTCCCCACCATAACCAGGACATCACTGCCGTCGAAGCCGTCCCCGCTCGGTGTTTTTTTCGGCCCCAAATCACCGCTTGAGGCGACTGAATTCCGTCACTGCTGTCTGGGATCCAATGGGATGACACATATCATGGAATTTCACGGGACCAGCCGTTAGCTAAGTTGGTTTAGTTTTGACCTTTGTGGCTGAAGGTCAAAGTTGAAAAATCCAGGCCCTCTGACAAACGATCTAGAAACAACCGATGTTCATGGATGTTCCACTTTCAAGCAAATTGGTCACAGGGTGTTGGTCGAAAATTCTTAAAGCCTCTGGAATTCAGGCACAACATGGTGATGACTTTGTACAATTGTCGCGAACGATTGAACGATGTCTCCAAGAAACTGTCCATCGGGTGTCAGCAAGGAGAGCGCATGATCAGTGGATCAACGTGTCAGCAGCATGCAACGTGCAAATGTTGGCTTCAGCCAGGATGCCCAGTGGTTTTCCCTACCTTCCGAAAATGATGGATACCCCCAAATGGCTATCTGTTGTGGCGAAAATGATGATAGACCTTTTTAAAGCTGAATTTAATTCACCAACCTCAAAATAGCTCAAATATGCTCAAACAATGCCATTTGGGGATGATTCCCCCTACTAAAGCATCTTTCTGATATGTTCTGATATTTTCTGGATATGTGGTGCACTGGTGCACGTGTTCGACGACATACAGCTGCATCTTCCATGCACCCGTTGGACGCCCCAAGATTTCTGCACTGTCGCCCATCGCGGAGACCGGCAATGGGTGGTTGGAACTCTCATGACGACAGCTTGGAACTTTGGAACTCGGGTGAGTTGCAAACAACACATATAAGAATCAATAGGTCCTTCCAAGCTGCCATCATGGTCAACGCCCTTCCTAAAAGGGTATGGGTCAAAATTGGGTACCAACAATGGGAAGTACCCTATGGTACCATACAAAGCTTTCTAAACATGACCAAAATCCGCAAGAAATCTACATATTTTGGTGTTTTTTGTGTGTGTGTGTGTGGGTTTTAATCTTCAAAAATCATGCCAGAGTCTAATCCATTTTGACCCATGATGACCTAAATACCTCCATCAAAGTTCGCACCGCTGCGAATCCGAAGATTTCAAGGACAGTTTGGGCCTCCACTTGGGGTCATCCAACCCCTGGAGACGGTCGACCTTTTCAGCTCAGGTCATGGTCGTGACCGATCTTTGGAGGCGCTTTCCATTCCTGGGCCATCATTCGTGCCATGGGCAGTATACGGCGATATTTAAAAAAAACATTCATAACTGGTTGGTGGTTTCAACCCCTCAGTTGGGGTTATTATTCCCAATATATGGAAAAATAAAAAATGTTCCAAACCACCAACCAGGATAGGTTTATTCTTGGGTTTACCACATTAATTAATCTAGAAGAGAAATCATCTGGAATTTTAATTTGCTGCAAACAGAGATTCTCAAGGAAAAAGAAGCAATAAGTAATACACCAGCATTGTAGCGTAATCAGTTCTTCTGAGTGCGACCCCAATTTCGCCAATTTCGAGTCCTGCATTGTTTTTTTGGGCAAGAAATTCAGCCATGTTTCCCTAAACTTCAGCCATCATTTTTTACAAGGTGAGGTCCCCAAATAAAATCGCCAAGTTGAATTGTAACCTGGTAAGTTCTGTGGTTCCAGGGAGATACATAACTATACTATTCATGGGTTTATAAACCAACTTACAACTGGGGGGGTGGCCGAAAACCTGTGAGCCTTCAACAGCCTGACCGGCAGCCATTATTGGTTTATGTTGATGGTAATGACTAATCCCTCATTTATATATATATATAAGACCACCTTAATTTGAAAAATCATAATAAAACATAAAGACTAGATTCCCAATGAGTTTTGGGATTGCAGTAGTCAGTAATTAATGATATGGCAGTGTGTCAAAACCTTGTACCCCTGGTGAACATCAAAATAGCTGGTAAATGAATGTTCATCCCCCTAAAAATGGTATAAATAGGTAGTGATCCATACCAATATGTTTCAAGGGCAGCCATATGTCTGATATCATATGGAAGATGTCTCCAATGTCCCATCCGAAACGCCAAGTTGCGCCGCTTTGGGCGGGTGGTCAGAGAATTTCAACTCAGTGGATCCATGGGATTTTTCACGGGGCCCTCCATGGTGGGTGGCTTTCTGGGTGTTTCCCCATGAAAAAAGGGAGCGATTTGAATGGGAAATACCATGTTTTTTTCCATGCTCAAGTTACTCAAGTTCTCAGAAAATTGGTGTGGGAAATGGACATCCAAGCAACCAAATCTCAATAATTGTCAATAGGGATCTTGAGTGATATCACCAATCAAAACTGCAGTGCAACCAGTGAGGCATGAGAGCCAACAAATATGCCTCCTGAGTTTCCCTCTTTTACCTTCCCGGGGTGACATTGGGAAAAACACGACAGGGCAGCATGGCATGACTCAGATTGAATGAGTGTCCTCCCAAAAAAATGATGATCATGTCTGACCTACCGTAAAAACTTGGAAAAAAAACACTATATACTTCTACGGGCCATGGAGGTAGTTGCTGGCTAGTAATTGCCTTATCATCCAGATCCATAAGTGCAAATAATTATGTGTATATATAAATATATATGATTATATGTATGTACATAGTTTGAAGCGGCAAACTTCCCCAGTTTCAATTCAGCCAGTTTGAAACCACTTCATGAACTTTGCGGCGCATCATACAGTATGACCAGTCGTCATACCAAGACCGTGTTTTGCGGGTTACTGGTCCCTATGTTTTCTGGGATATAGTGGGATACAGTTGGATATGTTGAGATATTCCATATGTTGCTTAGTGGTTTCAACCCGCGGAAACATACGTATGTTTGTCATTGTGGATAATCATCCCAGGTTGGATGCAAAATAAGAACCATTTCACACCACCAATCATGACAATACTCAGTTCAAATCCAGCTCCATACTCGTTGATGGTTTGGAACTCCCAAATGTCGGACCCACCAGCAATTTGCCCCATCTTTGAGGTCTATAGTCAGTTGCATCACTTATATCCCAATTTTAGCTGGTTTTAGGTGGCTATAACATCAGTTATTTCCTCATTTATTTGTTTCTAGCTTAAACATGGTCCAACCATACCGTAACCATACATCCATACCATACCATACCATACCATACCCATAGGCTCACCACATCTCAGCGGCACCGCTGGCTGCGTCGAAGCGGCGTCTTTGTAGGCGACTCCTCCACAAGGATTGTCTCGGCTCATGTCGCCCCAGATCTCCTGTGCCCGTGTGCCCGATGTCAAACTCCAGGATCAAAAAAAAGGGGGGGATGTGGCACTGTGGTGTGTTCACCCATCATTCCGAAAGCACCAGTTAAAAAAAGTAGGAAGTAACAATTTATATAATAAGTTATAATACAATTTAATGATAGTAATATATATATATATATAGTAATTCAGAAAATCATGGGAGGCCCCCCAGGCTCAATTTCAGGGTGTACTAATCCGTGCTTGACAGATATCGCAAGCTCTTCTGTCCGACAGGTCCATTCCTCTGCCGAAATCCCTCGCTGATCGGCCTAATTTGTTCCCTCGGGGTTGGTGATGTTTGATCATTCTTAATATATCAATATCTGGTTGGTGGTGCAATAACCATCTTGAAAAATGATGGAGTTCGTCAATGGGGTTGGGATGACATCCCATATATGAAATGGTAATTAAAAAGTGATTGAAACCACCAACCAGATACCCTCTGGTAAACTAACATAACTATTGAAAATCACCATTTTTAATGGGAAAACTCACTATAAATGGCCATTTTCAATAGCTATGTTAAATTACCAGAGGGTATGGGTTCACCCCAGCATCCGCTGGGCGCAAATCTCGAAAGCTCTTCGAAACCTCTGACGAAACAGCACTGCGATAGCGACACCTTCAAGGACAGATCATGGCGCCCTGGGGTCGCTCCTTGCAGTATTTGCTCTTCCACATGTCTTCGAAATCTTTTTGTTGCTTCTTGATGAACTTCCCCCACCTGAGGCAATTGGTCAACGCCATTGGCAGGGTGCCAGGAGATAGCTTCTTTAGGGATTCCTTACATAGATGGATTCATGGGACGCTATTGATCACCATGAACCTGAGGTTGTCTACGTGGGTCAGGCCAAATCTTGGCCCTTAAACGCACAAATAAAAGGTCCTTTCTAGTGAATGGATCATAACATGTCATAACCATCTATAAATGGAATATAATGGAATCATCCCACGAAATAGAGACTTACTAACTATAGGATTATATGGGTTATGAACCACTTACTATTCCCTGGGATGATCCCCCAAGTAGAAGCTTGCATACAGTCGACCAGTCTTTCGTTCTCCTACCCGCCCGGCGGCCAGGCCCCCCAACATGAAGCGAACCAAAAAGAAGACGATCACCGGCAAAAGCCTCATCCAGGCACCAATTTGCTGGGGGATACCCCTTAAAAATGGTTGATTTATAATGGAAAATCCCAATCTCAAATGGATGATGAACAGGGGTCTCCACATTTTAGGAAACTTCCATATTTATACCACAGAAATGATGATTTGCTGTACTTATTTGTCCGACTTTGCTATTGCATGATACAGTAATTACTGAAGTATGGTGGGTAAATCCCAGATTTGGGTTATATATGTTGCTTACACAATAAGTACATATCCCAAAAAATATTCCCATGACATATCCTCACTATAGTTGCTTTAATCAACCATTTTCGCTATATCCCAACCCAATATCCCCTGAACTATCCTAGTTGTGTCTATCAAATCATGAACAAATTGCTAGTGACATCTCCATGGTGAATTAAATTTTCTGCTCGATTTTGCTGGTTAAAACACGGTGACTAAAACATATTCATCATCTTCTGGATTTGCTGGTTAGCTATCCCAAATCCACGAGTTTAAAACATGTTCCAAACATTCAAAGCCTCAAATGTCATCCAAATGCCATCGAAATCCCTATCTCTTGGCTGGTGATATCCCCACCCACCAGGGCGCCCCGACGGTCGCAGCGCTAGGGGTCCCATGTTGTAAGCGCCCTTTGCGGCAACCCAGGCGGTCTGGCAGCGACGGATTATGGAGGATTTGGTAAAGTTCGCCATCCAAAATTTGCAGGATTTCGGACTTTTGGGATGATGTTTGGCCAAAAACATGGGATGTAGCCTGGTTTACCCATCCAAATTGTGATTTTGAGAGATTTAAAGCAGCAAGCATTTGGATTTGAGGGGATTTACGGAGATTTAATTAGCAAAACAAAGACTGTAAGAGACTTAACTATATAGCAAAGACGTGGATTTTAAGAGATTCTAAGCAGGACATAATTATTTGGGAACTTTTGGAGATACAACCATAATCAACCATAGGATTTCTCCAGCAAAAAATATAGCATGGATTTAGATGATTGAGCCAGCAAATATGGAAATTCACACAAGCACAACAAGAACTGTGATTTTTCCACGAGGAACCAAGCCCTCCAGGGGTTGGGTCAAGACTTCTGATCCCTTCGTTTCTGATTCTAACGATCGCACAACGTTCCTACATGATGTCGGTATATGACCCATAGGATCCATGTATGGTTTATATGGTAACATTTACCATCCATATACCCCAGTCATGTTAGCATATATACCAGCACCATGGATCCTATGGGTGATTGGTCAAGGCTTAAATTTCATGGACTTCTCTGATCCGGGTCCGGAAGAGGTTGCCTCGGACATGTAGCCGCGCAGGAGGGGAATGCTGGCCAGAACCTGCAGCTCACTCCCGGCCATGCTATACCACGGCCATGCGAAATCCATGGGTGTGTCTGAAAAGTGGTATACCGCTATACCCAGAATATATTTTAAAAAGGGAAGATGATATATGATGATATTAGATTAACGAATGGATGAGTTGGGTACCCTATGACCTATGTTCAAACAACCCATGTGCTATACTTACCCTACAATTTGAATCAATTTGGGGGCAAATGTATCGTTAAATCTACCGGCGATATGGGCATTGCTACAAGATCCAATTCAACCTCTCATGTATACACCCTGCTTGATTACTGATGGGGATACTGTACCGGGGCCAGAGTATTTCCGAAAACAACCAAGGGGACGTTCATGTTGTCGTATGTATAACCTACGGAAAACAATCAACCACTTGGATATCTCAATTACCCTCTGAAAATCAACCATGACAGGGAAAAATCATGTTCAATAGGAATCCAGCTATATCCAGCTAAATAGATGGAAATAAAAAATATGAAAAGGGACTTCCCAGCCAATTCTTGGCATTCCAAAAAGTGCAATCCCTTTCCCCTGGAATTGGGGACCCAAATCTCAGAGAGGTGAGAAAATTTGGTATTTACCCTCTGGTAAACATACAAAAAACGATGGAAAATCACCATTTTCAATGGGAAAATCCACTATAAATGGCAATTTTCAATAGCTATGTTTGTTTACCAGAGGGTAATTTGGAAGGAATGAACTAGGTTTTGTCATTAAATCGGCTCCCCCCTCTCATAAACCAAGGTTTTATTGTATTGCTTTACCACTAAATTACTCTGGTCCGTATCCAGTTCTATCCCAACTGATGCTTGGTAAACCACCAACATGGCCATTTGAGGGCGCACCGTTTTTTTTCTGACACACCCAAATATCCTGTTATTGTTTTTGTTTACCCAAGTATATCCCATTCAAATCCACGAATAATCCATTCAAGTCCATTAAGTTTCACTAACATCCATTAACATCCATTACCCTCTGGTAATTTAACATAGCTATTGAAAATGGCCATTTATAGTGGATTTACCCATTGAAAATGGTGATTTTCCATAGCTATGTTAGTTTACCAGAGGGTACCATGAGTATCCATGAAACTATCCACCATTTAAACCACCATTTAAACCACTCAAGATGGATCTGAACCTCGAAACATCTTTTTGTGCGCCTCCCGACTGACCACAGAGACGAGGCGATCTGTCCAGTAGTAGGCCTCAACGACAGGTGAAGAATGTTGGTCTATGTTTAGTTATTAACCTGGCCCATACCCATTTTGTGAGATGTTTTCGCCAGTTTCTGAAAGGAATTTATGTAAAATTAACGTGAGTGATTCAAGGATCCGATCGAAATGGTCGATTTTGACAAGGGGCTCGGCCCTCTTGCATAGTGTTGTTTCTCAAATTCGTCGCCATGTATGCATCGAAAAAGTCTGCTGAGACCCAGCGGTGGCGTTATCTTTTAATATGTGGATATACATACATATATATATATATATACATATTGGGGGGGTTCCTTAACTGGGAGTACCCCCAAATCATCCAAATTAGACCATGTTAATCCATTTTAGTATTGAAACCCAGCTTGGGGACTTCCAAAAATTCAAGAACCCCCCATACAGCTATAAAGTACTACTATACTATAATATATATATATATATCAATCCTACAAATTTTGCCTGGAAAACGGTGCCTTTTTTTGGTTGCACATTGACACATCAAGTTTGCCAATGGGATCACCCTGATGCCACCAGGGCCCCCTGGGGCCTTGCCATGGTTCACTGGGGTTCCTGGCGATCTGGGACTGCTATCGTCACATCTTCGATGCCGATTTGGAAAATTGGAAAAAAAAGTATCCACCCCATTGCACAATATGCCAACAAAAATGGAGAAGTATCAACCCCCGACCAAAGGGTACTGCACTGCCAGTTGAAAGCATCTCATCCTGCTAGCTGTGGTTCTCTGCTCACCAGTATCCATGTATCTACCATTATATACCCTATACTGCCCTATATGGATTGGTCCAAAAAATTAGGCGGATCCCACCAAGGTTTTGTGCTAACGGAGCTTTACTCAGGTGATTTTTTTCTCCATATCTCAGGTGGATAAGGGGGATGAAAACCTATACATTTCCATAAATAGTTTCAGGTGAAAGAACATCCGTAATATACCCTCCTGTAATCAAACATACCCTCTGGTAATTTAACATAGCTATTGAAAATCACCATTTTTAATGGGAAAATCCACTATCAATGGTCATTTTCAATAGCTACGTTAAATTACCAGAGGGTAGCTGACATTGCTGTAAAATCCCATGGAAAATCCCACGGATCGATCTGAAAAAGAGCCACATCCCATCGGCCCCGTGTCCTGTAACCGAGGTAAACCACTCCACATGTCGATCCTGGAGCTGGATGCAGGGAACGTGCAGATCCAACGACAGTGGTTTCCAATGGTACTAGGAAAGTGTAAAAGCATGGTAAAAACCTTGTGTTTATTTCTTAACACGGTCACGTCCATTGTTTTGTTTTCACTTGAAAATCAATGGATTGGTCGAAGCGTCACGGGAAGCCATGTTCTATCTTAACTATTAAAACAATGTCTTGTCAACACAGTTCTATTACCAACATGGCATACAACAATCACTTTGAACCAGGTGAAGTAACCCATTATCACAACCAACCAACCATCATTTATAAATGATATTCCAAGAATTTCTGACTATTTAGTGCTTAAAACCCATCATCATCATCATCATCACCATCATCATCACCATCATCATCATCATCACCATCATCATCATCATCAGCAGCAGCAGCATCCTCATCCTCATCATCATCATCATCAGCAGCAGCATCATCATTTGCAATTCATAGTATATCAATAAGATTCCCAGATACCCCAATCTTTAGTGGTTAAAAAAACCATCTGATTTTGCTGCCAAAAACGCTGAGGCAGCGACAGCTAAATCTCCATAGCCCAGAAGATGAGCCGCATCCAACAGGGGTGAACCACCTCAGCAGATCTTCGCAGGGAAAAATTCATCATATATACATACAATGTGAGGCCCCCCAGTTATGAGTTGGTTTATAAGCCCCAGTAACTATAGTTATAAGTACCATATAAACCATAGTTATTGGAGTTATAAACCAACTTAGCTATCTTGGGGGCCTCGCATTGTATATAATCATCATATATACACATATGTGTGTATATTTGTGTGCAATATGACAATATAATATACCTATAAAATATCCTATAATTATATACAGTCTACGTATTGTAATCTATATAATACCTAAGAGTATTACATAATTGTAATAATTGCATATGTTGGGTCGGCATGTTGGAATAAACAGAAATTATATTTTGTAACATTCTTAGAGTTCGCTCCTTATGACACGGATGTTCAATGGCAAACTCCGAGGTCAACGGCTCTCCGGAACCAAGGAACATGTTTGGGGAACTCACCAACCAATGCTTTCACGAACAAAATTTCTGGCCCAAAAAGGGGATCATTCATGTGGTTACAATACCAATAGCGTATTGTAATTGAGCAACATCTATAGGTTTGATCAACAAATTGGCTTTGAGCAACTCTTCCAACAAATATGTACATCCAACCAATCACCATAAGGAAGTCATTGGTGGACCACCGGTTCCCGTAAGTTCATCGACAGTTCCGATCTTCAGAGGTGAGGGATGTCATGGTCTACATGGTTTTCACCATGTTCTCATTTGAAAAACAGCCATGACAAATATTAGAGATACCCTCCTGTAAACACAAACAGAGATGATCATGTTCCAAGGGAAAGCATAGGTTTTTCATAGGTTTTCCACATCCTTTTGTATGTTTACCTCAGGCTAATAGTGAATCGGATTTGGATTGATGATCCCAGCTAGGATGGACACGCTGAAAACATGGGCCACGCAGGTGTTCAACTGGTTGGCAACTGAGTTCAAACTAACTAGAACATATGGGTATCCATGGGTATCCATGGGTGATATCTCTCTTACTATTCATAGTTCACTATTTCGATGGCCCTTTTTTCTAAGTGCCTCATCCCGCATTTTTTGGGCTCGCGGGCCAAAGATCATGCAAACAATCCGCAAGATGAAGGCCGCCTGAGCTACAACCAAGCGCTTGGACCGGGCCTTATCCCAAACCAGAGGTGGGGGTTACATCGGATGGCAGTGTTTCATGGGAAAGTGATGATGAACCAACAGCTTGTAGGGGCTGAGGATGTTTTTTGGACAGTTTCATGGCACTTTTATTGGTAATCAGCGACTGGAATCAGCGAGGTGTTTCACCTTTTTATACCTGTTTAAACCATAGGATGGAGAGCTGGAGAGCCCCACTATTTTCAGACACAAAACAATTGGAGAATCATTGGCTTGAACAGAAACTTGTCCAAAATGCAATATCATATTTTACTAGCAATATATCATCCAAAATGTTGAACATAATTACATAATCCTTATCTCTGAAATTTCAGTGATTCACAATCGCAATGATAAATCTGACATTGTCTATGCCTCAAAATTGTCTCTCAATATTCACCAATTTTGATCCCAATCCCAGATGATATCAAAAATTAGATCCTAAAATTGGATGGTTCTAATAGAAATGAACAGAATCTGCAGTCCCTGGGCCACAAATGGCTTCAAGGGTGTCTTCCCCTTTCCTCTTGCCCTCGGGCGATCCCCCAGGCCAGCAGGGAGAACTTCAGCAGCAGGTTGCATACTGCATGCGCTTGTGCCCTGGGCGAGGCGGGGTCGTGGTCACCAAATGGAAAATGTGGGGGAAAACATGACCACAGAGAGAGAACAAACAAGATGTTTGTTATTTCTTTGGGGGGATCCCAATAATTTCATGACATGTATCGTCCTGTTAAATGTTTCGTGATAGATTGCAACATCCGGTTGCATCATCTTGCAACATTGAGGACAGCTGTGGAAAAGAAAAATCTGGCAACTTCTATATGGAAGGTCAAGGGCGTTGAGTCATGGATCCTGACTGACCCAAGTAGAAACAAAACAGCTGGCTCAAAATTAGGTACTGTACCCCAATCATCGCATGGGTTACCCTCTGGTAAACTAACATAGCTATTGAAAATTGCCATTTATAGTGGTTTTACCCATTAAAAATAGTGATTTTCCATAATTTTTTGTATGTTTACCAGAGGGTAAAACAAAAGAATGACCAATTGACCAATTTTTTTGTTGTTTCCCCCTGGGTTTGAAATTTCGACCCAAAAAAAAACATACCAAGTGCTTGGAAACCATGGACATGACAAGCGTTAAAAACCCCCAAAAAAAAAATCCAAAAACTCAGCTCTTGGAGGTCCGAATTTTGAAAATATGTCATGATTCTTTATCAGTGTTCGATGTTTCAGGTTGGAATTCCCTGTTTAAAATATCCCATAACACTCCCATAAAATACCATTATATAATTGAATCCCACAAGAAAAATAACATCAAATCCCACAACTAACTCCCCATAAAGGACAAATTGCTGTTCACATATCTTTCCCCTCCAAGGCGCCGGTAAAACTCCATCAGTCGGAAACGTCTTCTCCACATGTAGAGCACGTACTCTGCCTGCAGTGGATCGACTGGAGAGCTCCGTTTAGACGTTGAGGATCATCCCACAAATCCTCAGTGGTAACTGGGGTTAGTTTCCCCATGTCTAAATGAAATATTCCCAGGAAGTGAGGAATTACGAACAAAGGCGTAACCAAGTACTAAGTGGGATGATCCTCCAACATGGATTCTGTGGGGATATAAAATATATATATATATATACAGTATATGTAACCTTAATACCATTTGAGTTTGTCTGAAATTTAGGAGAAACAACCCAAATTTGATGGTTTTAAAACATAATTTTTCCTGGTGGATTGATGTTTTTTTCAGTTGCACATTCCTGCTAGAAATGGCACCTGCATCTCATCCAGGGCCTTACCCTCTGGTTATGACTAACATAGCTATGGAAAGTCACCATTTTTAATGGGAAAATCCACTATAAATGGTGATTTTCCATAGTTATGTTAAATTACCAGAGGGTATTTGTATTGTTGCTACTAAACACTCCACCTTTGCTGATTGCAAAGCCGATTCCCGTTGCTTCAAATCCAACTTTCATACGGGTTCCGTGCCCAGATTCTGGTTTAGATCTCTCAATCTCCAATAAAACCAGACAGTAAAAATTACAAAGCCCCCTAAACCAACTATAATTGTTCATCATTTTTCACCCATATCCCCATATCTTTGATCCCTCACCGGTTCAGCCACCGTTGCTCCCGGCCCCTCGGTGCCCCGGCCACATCTGTGGCTTGTCGTTTCCGCCGATAGGTGGGCGGCGCCCTAATTTTCTGGGCTCTGAGGAGGGCGTTTACCCTTCGGTTGAACCATCAACAAATTAGGGTTTTAATGGAAATTAATGGTACTCTGGTTGGTGGTTTCAACCAACCCCTCTGAAAAATGATGGAGTTCGTCAGTTGGGATGATTATTCCATTCCCAATATATGGAAAGTCATAAAAATCCATGGTTCCAGTCACCACCAGCCAGGACTTAACTGGGTTTGATGGAGATACCATGGGAATTCATGGGAATTATATTATTGGTTTTGGGAACAAAATGGGACAATCATGGCCAGCTGGGAAATCTATGGGAATCTGCTGAAAGTTGCCCAAGCCATGGGTGAAAAAAACATGGGATGCCCCATAATGAGGCCTGAAACAAGAGGGTTTTGGGGTGCCCAATTTTGAGACATACCCACATATTAAAATGTTGGTTTTAAAATAGAAAAAGCAAGTCCATAACATATTACCCATTTCATCATACAGTGTATATAGATCCTCCATACTTTAGTTCATGGTCAATCTTTGGTGGTCCACAAAAAAAAAACGCCCGGTGCTGGTTATTTAGCTGCTTTCAGCAAAAAGCTCAAGGATAAAACTAGCTATCCATTTGGGGATGAGTTGGAGTTTAGAACCACATTAAATAACAAAGTGTTGCTGTTAAAATAGAAATAGCAATGAGAATCCATGAACTCTTCCCCATATCAGTAGATTCCCCATACTTCAGTGTTTATAAACCCCATTGAAACATAATTTTCCCATATGTTCACCATATTTTAGGCGGTATAACATGGTAGAACCCCTATGAAACTGTGGAACCATTCACCCTGTGATGGCTCCAATTCTCCAGGTGACTCCCTTCTCCCCTCGCTGGGCCGTCCAGCAACTTGGCATCGAGACCCAACTTGTCGGCCACCCGAAGGCTCTGAACCACCTCAAAAGCCATGGGATTTGTCGTAGCCTGTGACGCGTCCATCACCAAAATTGGAGGCTTAACCATCCAAAGTGATGGTTTAACAATTCTAGAACGATCCTGAAATAATACATATATATATATATAATTATATATATATACAAAGAGAAAGAGAGAGAGAGAGACAAATATAATACAAGATACCCCAAATTGTTGAGCCCACAAACTAATAGACTAGGAAGCGAGGGGGTCGTATAGGAGGTGATTAATCAATATGAGCAGGATGGAATTTGTACATATGACATAGATGGTGACTGAATATGATAGTCATGCTGATTTTTCAAGGAATGTCTTCGAAAAAGGGATGCTGACCCTCAGACATTGAGGCGTAGCTCTGGCGAGCTCTCCGTGGGTGACCCTGAAAGGCAACAAAAACACGATCCTCAAAATGGGGTGCCAAAATGGGGTCCCAAACCTGGTCATTGTACAAAATGACCATGGGTTTGACGGGTTTTCCAGTCAAAACAAGTCCATAGCTGTTCCCGGCTGTACCAACTTCGTGGTGCCCCCTGGGCGATAAGTTGGTAAACCCCATGAACCAGAGATATACCCATCTAAGTACCACAAACCCGTTGTTCTAGCTATAAACCAACTTAGCTATCTAGAGGACACCACTTTTCCCAGTTATGGCGGCAGGAAACCTGGCAACGATTTCCTCGCATTGCAAAACCTCATCTCTACCAGCCAACCATTCTTATAAGAAATAAAGTGGCATATAACATCATCTCAACCATTGGGGTGATCTTAACCATCAAATAACCATGGTAGAAATAAATATGGCATATAACATCAAATAACCATGATCTCAACCATTGGGGTGTTGCATGCCCTCATGGGAAAAACGACCACTCTTGGAGTATGTGGGAGTCGAACTCCCGAACTCATCAAGCAACAGGAGTTTATATGGATGTGGGTCAAAATGGAAGACCGTTAAGGGGACCACTTTTATGGAAATTTGTCTAGTTTAGTATTAACCATCCATAATTTTGGGGTACCTAATTTTGACCCATACCCATATTTTTCGGTGTACTAAGCCCCCTTTTTGGAGGTCCCCCCATTTGTTCATCCCTCCTTGGGGATTTTCCAGCAAATAAAGCATCCAGATCCATCCCTTGGGGTAGCCCCAAAGCATTTTCGGAAACGTCGCCACTGCTGCACTGCTAGGGCTGCTCGGGCTCCAGCTCTAGACACTTTGTCCAGAACCTTTGTCACCGGATGACTTTGACCTGGCGCTGGGATGGTAAATCCTATGATTTCCCCTTTTTTTTCATCAAGAAATGGCTACTTAAAATACTTCAATGCTGGGTTTCCACATCATTATAGTTTACATAAGGCTAAACAGCTGAAGGACGCGGCTAAACAGCTCGCCATCCCGGCCACTGAGGGATCAGCTTTCAAAATGTTCGTAGAAGATGTTGTGCACCCAAAATCTTAGCCAAGGCCGAGGTCGCAAACGCGTGACGATTTTTGCGAAACATTAGCCCCTGGTCATCAAACGGTGGCTAGCTGGGAAATCGCCTATCAATGGAGGGTTTAATGGGAAATTCAATAAAATTCATCTATAAAATGATGATTTTCCATTGCCATGCCATTGCCATGTTTGATTGCCGGAGGGTAACACTATGTCTCTTCGTGTCAAAAAGATTTTGGTATTGCCACTACATTCCATTTGGATGCTCGAAAAAACGAACCGTTGGTCTCCAACGACATGGATCATGACTCTACCTTTGATGTCCTGCTGTCAAATCATGGAGCTCCCGAGTAGCCTTCAACAGAACATCGACATGGTTAAGTTCGTCTTGAGCGACCTGAAAGAATAAATAAAATAACACAGTTTTTTCATGTTTTTCATGGTTTAGATGGATATGAACGTTTCCAGTCAGTATGGTTTAAACAAATGAACCTTTTTGCATACCCAGGCAAATTTGACAATTTGTTCAAACACCATTTTGTCATGGTTGGTTCCCACCCAACCTATTCACCACAATTAATGTTCACTTGTTTGACAAAAAAAACATGTTTGATAGTTATCATCCCCAAACAAACAGTTTGACCCTGAAAATTGCAATTTTCTAGATGAACGTCTCTTCCAACCCCCAGCTCATGGTAGGGTCTGTGGTAGAGTAGTTTGGGGGGTGGTTAATTCCGGTGAACTCCCACTCATCATCACCAATCCCATCCCTCATTCATGTCAAACACGCCCTAAATGGTCCCAAATGCGCAAATCCCCTACTGAACCATTGTTTCTGAAAATGGTGTCAAAAAATGTTGGTGAAACTATATCCTCATCCATATTTCCATTACACCCCATTAATCACCATTAGTCACCATTATACTCCCCCATAAATCACCACTAATCACCCTTATGCCCTGATTAATCACCGTCAATCACCAGTAAAGCGAAGGGGTTATTCAACAAAAAACATTCAGCAACCCCTCGTCGTTGAGATGCGGACTCAACACTCCGGACGAAGTAAGCCAACTGGGGTCAATGAGTGTCATGGGATGAATCTCAAAGGGCATAGGATTCCAGACTGAAGGATGGTCAGGGTATACCGGACCGTATACCCTACAAAAATGTGGGTTTAGACCCTTTTGTTTTTTCTATATGATTGGGGATATGTGAAATATTTGAAAAAATGAGACAAAAACCAGTGAAAATGTGGTGAACCCAATGAGAAATTTCGAATCTGGGATGGTTTTTTTCCACCCAGATGGTTCACAATTTGGTTGACAACGAGATACATGATCAGGTGAAAAACGTGCAATGCGGAAAAAATACGAAACACTCCAGTTTTGTAGAGAAAGCGGAAAGTGTTTCAATAAATATGTCCCAATGATTGTTCAGGGCATTGATCGTCAGAACTCCAAACTGCAGTCAAAACAACTCGAAGACTGCCCCTAACAACCATGGTGATGTGCGCAAAAACAATAGTCGATTGGAATTTGCAGTACAGCGTGGCAAACCCAAAAACAACGATATGACTTAGGAACTCTTTGGCACCAATTACCAGCGATAATGATGGGATATATTTTTCATGGTCCTTGTAACCGGACAGATTGCAGCTATGACCTAGCTGGCATGAACAACTGAGCCTTTGGCTGATTTCTCGGGCTCTTGTGTTTTTTCTCCCATAAACCCAATGCAATGGAAACTCACCAAGTGTTTGCTTTAATGATCATCTTAGTTGGGTCAACTGCCCAACCCGTCCTCCCTTCGCCAAACTGGGGTCAAAAAACGATGGCGTAGAGATACGCAACCACGGGCGTGACGATGATGCGGAGGAACCTTGAACCAGATTCTTCACGCGGGTGCTGTTGTTTTCTATTTCCTTGATTGGAATATTTGGGGATTTACTGTCCCAAAACAGCATCAAGAAAATACATGTGTTTGGGTTAGCTGTTGGGATGGTTAGCCGGAGTTCACTGCAACAATTCCCTTCCAGTAATCTAATATCACTATAATAGAGACGGTTCATGGACCATTTACTGAAAAATGTGAATGTTCGTTACACGCAGCTATATTTTATTGAATTAACAAGAGGGCAAACCATCCCAAAAGCAAACGTGGCCTCAAAAAAACGTTACTTCTTTAAAGGGGAAACTAGCCGTTTCCAAGCCTTTGTTTGGTAGAGTTTATGTTAGTCGGAGGGAAGGAACCATTATCAATATATAATCCTTCGTCAGGGATAGACAGGGTTGCATGAAGTTGAAAAATCGCTGTCTGCATAGTTAATAAAGAGCCGCGTGGGCCCGCGGGGCCGGGATTTAACTCGCCCAGAAAAGGTGATTGCCCAGCAAATCCAAAAAACGCCGCGGCTCGCCTCACTATCTTAGCTGACGTGTCTCACTCGCGCAAGCAACAAGTTCCAAGCCGGTGGCACTTCCAGGACGCAAAGTTTCTTTTCAGTCCATCACATTAATGATTTCAGCCTGCGACAATCGTGCGATTTCTCGTCTGGCTCCTTTGGGCTGCCTAATCTTGACGATGTCGGCAGTAAGTTCTCGGAGTAGGAAGCATTTCCTCAGCGGCTTCGTTGAAGGATTTCATCAATGGGCTTGTCTTGGACCATGGACCATGGGTGCCATCAAAGAATGCGGAAAATGAGGTGAGTTAAACATGGTTAAACCATGTTACTGTAAACCTGTTACAGTTAGTTTCTTAGTTTCATAGTTTTTTTTAGATGATCAGCCCATTTGAGATACTGAATCGGGATCTGACCAACTGCCAACAGCAACTTGGAATCATCTCTAGCTGGTTGCTGGATGCAAACAAATCCCATCCCCAGTTCATATTAGATACCACCTATATAAATGGTTCGAAATATGTACAACTCTGCTGTGAATCCCCCTAAGCTATGGTTTCTGGTGTGTGTTCAATATTGGAAGGGATGAACATGTTTAGTGCTGTCATCAGATCTGCAGATCTTTGCCGGCCCGAGTCCAGGCTGGGTTTCCCGCAGTACCAGCGGCTTCTATCACCAGGTTTGTTGGCAAAATCATGGTAAAGTTGCTCAAATAATCACTTTCTAGATGGATCCGGGTCAAATACGAAGACAGATGTTGGTCCATTCTGAGCATCCATTTTGGGGTACCCAACTTTGAGCCATACCCATACCCAATATCACATCCAAGGTCTGCCCATTGCCACTACTATTCCCAGCAATTTTGGATAAGTATTCATCCTATTCGCATCCTTCCCAAACTATGACTTGCTGCAATTGTTGTATTCCAAGCGTAGTATGTATAATATGTATATATATATATATATATATATGTATATCTGTATATTATATAATATATATATATATATATGCATAGCCATTCTAGATAGCTATGTCTCCGAATATGCACGTCCCATGGCTTCCAGGTCGCTGCATCCCTGAGACGTCGACTCTTCCACCATCAAAGCCTGCTGCTCAGCCAGGTGGCATTGAGGATGTCTGGAATCCCAAAAAAAGATGACTAATCATTGAATCATGTTCATAATAATATATAATGTAAATATATCTATCTATATATATATATATATGTAAACATATATATATATATACTGTATGTATATGTATGTGTATATATATATATGAATATACATTATATAAATGTCGCGTTACATAGATGTAATATTATGCCATCTTCTCGTTGGTTGATAAGTTGGTAGGTTGAATCTCTACATAACATGGCGTACCATAAATATATTTTACATAACAATGTAATGCATATGAATGTATATATATATATATATGCAGCATGCATCTAGTATTAATCACATCAGTCTCTTCTCCTCTCCGTGTTGCCTTATTCAACATTGATCGCCCCATCTGAATCTTCCAACGGAACATAAACATCGCGACTTGTTTCGCGTGGGACAATCCTGTGGATCAAACCTGGGAACCCATCAACAGCGGGATCTTTTCATACTTAAAGTATCTTGAAGTGAGTAATATCTGTTTCCAAGAGTTCCTAAAGGGCCGTTCATGTTTGTCCTCATGATATATTCATGATGTCCAGTCCCCTGCTGACATTTAGCCTATGCCATTCCGATCTTCGACACTTAGTTGCCTTCAGGAAGGAAGCGAGGAGAAGAATCCAGCTATCCTGCGTGGCAAAGGAAGTTTAAGTCGTTGGCAAACCATGAAAATATCTCCATTGAAGAACTTTGACTTTGCCGAGAAATGGCATACACCCCCCAATTTGTGTCAATTTCAATGTCCACATCATAATAAAACCTGTTTCTTTGGGCATCCCATGGATTACCCCATGCCCTATTTCTGGACAGATCCATTTTCTGAGAATAAGAGCCATAGGCTCGCATCATTTCAAAATCTGGTATCCGACTGAGTGGATCTTGCGAGCATCAATGCCATGAGATCGGGCTGGGGTTTGAGACCTAAACCTCAGGTGCCAAATCCAACGTTGTGTTGAGTGGCAAACAGTCGTGTTTCACCACGGAAAGTGCCATTCAGGTTCATTCAGGTCGTGTTTATGTTACCATCCCTAAACTTTGCAAACAAGTTTGGATCCTCCCCCATTGAAAAGTTTTGATACAGTATATCTTACCAATTATCCTTTAGCCAAATTTTCTGGATGAAGACCCATACTAACTACCCCATTTACCCAGACCTTTCCCGGTCTCCGTTTCGTCCCCCAGTCTTTGCACCCTGCCCATGACTGTCCGTATTCGTCAGCACGCTGCGAATCCAGGTGTCCATAAAAAACCTGGGCACTGAGCGGCTGAGCGTTGTGCCCTGTGCCCTCTGGTGACACACCGCAAGCCCAACTGTTTTCAGGATGTAACCGATGATGTGTTCTCCATGATTTCCAGGTTTCTCCCTTTTCCATTTTGGGGATTGCTAAATTTCAGCAATTTTGGGGCTTTCCTACGGGGAAAGCCCCTGTTCATCATCCATTCACCGATTTTCCATAAACCATCCATTAATAATTAATAGGAATACCCCCGTTGACTGTGGAAACTGTATTCCGCCATCCATTCTCACCAGCCTCCAATAGGAGTCTTCACAATCGCAGTACTGTGCAAACTCATTCTGGCGCCAGGAAAGATTCGGTGCTCTGAAGCAACAACGGTGGCTAGCTCACCAACAAAACTGGTGGTTAAACGACAAAAAATAGAGGAACCACGGTGGGTAGTAGCAAGAAAGCACAAAGAAACACGTAACCTTACAGTTTTTGTGCCTGCAAAAATGCAGCAACAAAATTGATGAATCTGGTTTAAAAGCTGGGTAGATGTGGTTAGCGACTCTACATTTTTCCCAGGGAAAAGCTTCAGGAATAGTGGGTTTCGTCAAGAGGGTTCTGGTGTGTGTCTCTCTATGTGCGATAAATTCCTGTCTCTTCAAAACCACGTCTTTCATGAATGGAACCGTTCGCTGTGGCGTTCTACGCACGTCGTGCTGTTTCTGGCCCACTGGCAACAGGCTTGGCAAACATCTTTTGCCCAATACCATACTTATGTTCAATTCAAGTTCACAACTCCAGAAAGTATTGTACCCAACCCAAGAAGAAGCTACGATGAAATCCGGCACCAATTGATAGGTGCTTTATCCAATTCTTTATAGGGTTTCAACATGTTTCAACCATCCTTTTGGTGGTGCAGGATTTCTTCCACCGTCGTATCATTTAATAAACCTTAAATAAAAACACACGTTGCCTGTTGTTTGATTCTCCCCATCTCGGAAGCCGGTCCAAAAGCACGACGCTTTTGGCACGTTGTGGCCACGTTCAATGCGCCACCTTAAGGAAAAAGAAGACATTGGCGTCGAAGCGGGCAATCCAGTACCTGAACCAGGCCACACATGATATGTTGTATTGCACCAAAATATCTACAGTGATATACGTGTATAAGATAGTTTAATCTATGTGAATATATATATATCATATTATATCATGTATATACACTAATAAAAAACATGGTATACAAAATACTACTATCATCATACATTATCATGAATTGTTTATTACAGTATTATACATTGTCTATACGTCAACATACATGTTTATACATGCGATATTAATCATATGATTACAAAACAATTGTCATATCCCATAGCATCCATGTATGGTATATATGCTAACATTTGGGGTACATTGATGGCAAATGTTACCATATGTAGCATACATGGATCCTATGGGTATGTATGTATGTACTTGTATGTGTTTGTACACACTAGCACTTCCTTTCCCGCTTTGCGCAGAGTTTTTCACAACTCGCAACGGCTTTTGCGCCTGACGCGGCCCACGCCAGGGCAGTAGCTCTCGCCGCTGAAGTAATCAGGAGAGATACCTGGTAGATTTCCACCGAGTTATGGTTGTTTCAAAAAAAATAGTCAGGTTGTTGGTGGTTTCAACCATCTTGAAAAAATATGAGTTCGTCAATGGGGTTGGGATGACATCCCTTTTCTATGAAATGGAAAATAATCCAGTCGTGTTTGAAACCACCAACCAGTTGTAAGTGTTTGGTAGTCCACAAAAAACATGCTGCTGGTTATTGTTATTGTATGTTATTTTCCATTCAGAGCAAAAAAAACTAATCCAAGGTTGCGGCTGAAATACCCCAAAAAAAAGAACAAGGGGCAACTTGGATTTAAGCTGAACCACACACATTTCTTTTGAGGAATCGATCCTAATGAACACATTAGAGACATACATACAAGGTTCAAATATGTTCAAATTCTATAGCAACCCCCAAAATACATTTAAAAAAAGTTGGAATCTGGAAATGATCACAGAAATATCATCTGTACATAAGTTATACCAGTTATACACCTATCAAACGGAACATTTTGTCGCTCGAAGCCCCAGTTCGTTTCGCAGAGACTTCGCACCTCAACTGGATCCACTGACAAAATCCTCAAAAAATATGTTTTTTTGAGTCGGGGCTCGAAAAGAAACCAAAAAGTGTCTTCAAAATATTGGAAAATTAGAGCTGGTTGCTGGTTTCAACCAACCCCTCTGAAAAATGATGGACTTCGTCAAATGGGATGATGACATTATATGACATTCCCAATTAATATGAAATGGAAAGTCATTCATAAAATTCCATGGTTCCAAACAAACCACCAGTATTAGTATTGGAAAATTCGAGGGAATTAATGGATATTGGAAAATTAGATCCTATAGTCATCAAATCACCATGTAATTAAGTGATATTAAGTGTATGTTCATGGAATATATATTGGGAATAATCTTTTTGATTTCCAATAATTTTTGATCTTCCATATATATTATGGAATAATCAATATATATTATGGAAAATTTGATCTTCCAGTTCCATATGGATCCCCGCCCAACGAAACGGCGCACCTGTGCCGCTGAAGAAAAAGACGGCGCCCGAGACCAGAATCAGCTCCAAGAGGATGGGGCCTACCAGCACTCAGGTGGGGAGCCTCAACAGATTGGGAGCTAAGCAAAAAACTATGGAAAATCACCATTTTTAATGGGAAAACTCACTATTTCTATGGCCATTTTCAAGAGCTATGTTAGTTTACCAGAGGGTATCTTAAAAAAAGGGACCAAAATGAGAGGAAATCCCAAGATTTCATGGGAGATGGGTACCATTAAACAAAAAAGTCATGGGATGTCATGGGGTCCCCCGCTGATGATCTTCACTTCAGGTCGAGCCTCAGAGGGCATGGCGTTGAATATGGGAGGTAATTTAAGGCATGATTTAAAAAAAATATGAGGTTTCCAATGAGGATCTCCTATTTTTCATAGTGACCTTGTTATGTCTACGTCTGATTACTGTATGACGCTTGTCTCAGTATCCCGGGGTCAACGTGTTCAAGCTGCGGCAAGCTGATTATGGCTGATCACTGGGTAAAACAATGCCACCACCCACTGGAAATGGCAAACATACCACCTATAAAAATGGTGATCACTGGGGGATGGTTTATGAAACAGTTTTACCCACAGCATATATCATCATATATAATCATTCCATTGTTGCTTCTATATCATCATATATAATCATTCCATTGTTGCTTCTAAACATCCTCAATTTATAATACTCTGTATATAACAAAGGGTCCTCTAAACCAAATCGAAGCCTTGTTGCCTTGCCTCGTTCACATCTCAGCCTCCGGCGTCCTCCTTGACGATGTCTTCTAAGGAGTGCCACTCTAACTGCCAGTGACAGCTTTTTCGTGTAACATGTCCGTGTTTTATCCAAAAATGAAGGGGAGGTTGAATGTTAATTATGTTATACAGTTACACAATGTTACACACACGTATACAACTTACATTCGTTTGCCAGTTGTTCTACATCGGGGTGGGTAGAAAAGCAGCACAGATCTACCTAGCTGATCCCGTCTGATTGCAGCAACCGCCACGGCGCTCCTTTGTATCTGGATGATGTAGGAGTGTGGTACAAAAAATGCAAAGCTCTCGCGTGCAATCCACCTCAGAGACAAAAAACAGCATTTTCCGGCTGGTATTCGGTGGCATTTTCAGGTTAGGTATCTGATGGTATCTGCCTATGTGTCCCCAAAATTGAAATGGGCAAACCGTTGGCATTCTTGGAACTGGGATGGAATCCCAATGATCCCATTCCGTTCATAGCCTCAGGATTTCCAAGGCTCCAAACGCAGTAAACGTCAGCACCCTTCTTGCAGTTCGTACATTTCACCTTCGCAACGGATCGGTCCATCTTTGGACGTGATTGGATCCGGGGGGATTGGGCTGCGATCATCACAACAGCAACATGTTCACGGAACTAGACTGTCTCTCACATTCCATTGATAAGCCGTGTATTTTGTTTGAATTGATTGCACTACATCACCACATTGGTTGCCACACGCTCAATGTTTGTTGTGTTGAAAACTATCCGCATGTTGATTAAGAACATATATATATACATATATATATATACAGTATATATATACACTGTGTATATATATATACACTGTATATATATAATTATATATATATGTAGAATTCTGTAGATATGTCTACCATAAACCATCAATCCACTGACAACTTTGAAAAAACGGCAGGACCCTCTAGGAGCGCACGGACTTGGCTTTCGGGGCCATTTTGGATGGCGCAAACCTGGACCGCTTTGAGCCCCTACGGAGGTCAGGTTGAACGTGGGGAGATGGAGCCACATTTATTATGGGTATTAGGTAATTACCCAATAAATTAATGGGGTACCCAAAGGTTTTTTTCCATATTAATGGGAGATAATTAAATGTAACAACCCATAATTGTAATTATATATTGTTGGATTATTGAAAATATGAAAATATGTAATTTAGTGATTATCCATCCAACAATATGTCATTATGCGTCAAGATGGGGTACCCAATAAAAAAATGGATGGATAATAGTCACTAAACTGTTGACTAAACATCATGAGGACCCACAATCCGGAAACAATCGAGGAATGTTATGGGAGATTACTGCTTCATCTTTCAAAACCACTCTAGGAGTTTCCTGTAGATGCTCTCTTCAACCAATTCTCGGAAGCTTCGGTCATACCTGCTATTGGACCCTGAGAATCCACTCATACCTGGAGTAGACAGAAAGAGCCTCCCCCATCTTCCACTGTTGGATGATTCAGTCTAAATGGTTTTATTTTTGTATATTCCATCTACCTTAAAATGGGAATACCATCTTTTTGGGGTTCATTCGCACGTCGTGTGGGTGTATGGATGCTCGGATATGTTTCTTCGATTCAGAGGACACCCCGGTCCTCAAGAATCCTGCTTTGTACACCATCAGATGCCAGATTCTTGAAGTCTCCAAACTTAATCATACACCCATCGTCCCATCATATTGGTTAAACCAAATAGTTGTTGTTATTCCTATACGCCTTGTCAGAAGATATCGCACATTCCCACACTTGACCCGAAAGTATCTATCATTATCTTCCTTTTCTCACCTATACAGTTGGTAATTTCCTCATATGTCATACATCAGTTGAATTTCTATCATTGATCTGCAGATTCATCCCTAATCACCAAGCTGAAGACTTCGGCAATGGGAACTCATGGTCCATCTATGTCCATTGATGTCCAGAAAAAGGATTGTTTAACATGTTACCTAATGATTAGTACGCGCAAACCCCCCAGTTCGCCCACACAACTTCTTAGGGATTTTGAAGGAATATAAATTCCGACCCCCGTTAAACTTTACATTCAATTGGGAAGATCAACAAGGGTATTAGGAATATAAATTCCCACCCCCCGTTACATTTTACATTCAATTGGGAAGATCAACAAGGGGATTAGGAATATAATGATGAAGATGCAGATGAAAATGATGATGATGATGATGATGATGATGTTGTTGTTGTAACATTCAACGCACAGGTAGCTAAGCTGTGCGTTGCAAGATGAGAGCCATGACATGATCATGGAACTGAGGGGTTTGCCCGTATTAGTGCCTTCTATGTATATATATAATATATGATATATACCATTATTTATGGATATTTACCTTAATATATACAATGTCCATTTAAGGATGATTTGTCTATAATTATGATCTTCTATTTACCATTATTTATGGATATTTACCATTATTTACCCATGTTATATCCCAGTTTTTGTAGATGATTTCCACTTTTTCCATTGATTTCCTAGGATTCACTTCCCTCTTCGAACCTGGGCCCAACCTGGGCCCATCCTGGGCCCCAGACGAGGCGATGAGTTTGCCATGATGGGTCAGGCCCAGGGCGGCCAGCAAGCCCGTCGAGGCCTTCGCCTCGAACAAAAAAGATGCAGAAATGGGGTGGTTTCCTGTTCGGAACATGATCTATTAATGATGGTGTTTTTTTTTTTGGAAAATGATCTAATGATGGCGTGGTTTTTTTTTCTGGAAAGTGATCTATATTAAATGGTTTGAAATTTGTGAACATGATCTATGACATCTATGGGTGTTTTTGTCCACATCTATGACATCTATGTGTTTTTGTTGACTCGCCATCTTGACTTGGGCCTCTGGTCGTCATCTCTCCAAAATCTCCACCAACCCGGCACAAAATGGCACCTTTTCTTTACTCATGATGCCGTTCAGCAGGTGCCTGGGATCAAAACAAGATCGGGTGCGAATGGGATGGGTGAATACTCATTAATGTGTGGTAAAACATGGTAAAACCTATAAGAAACCATGCAAAAAAAAATTGCCGTATTCATGGGTCGTAAGAACAGTTTTGGAGGGTATGGACATTCAGAGTTTTGGAGCCTTGAATTTGAAACTCATTCCTTGCTAGCGTTTGGATTGAATTAAAGATATTTCCCCTGACAGAATTTGATTTGGGGGATGGTTCACCTGCCCCCTGCCACATCACTTCATGGTGTTGATGTGTGAAGCAGCTAACTGGTATAACCCTCCCAAATCTGTTTGTGATAGGCAAACTGAAATGTTCTATTCCTTCCAAAAAAATGGCAAGAGGTTTCATATCATCGTATTCACACGGAAAATGCCACAATTGAATACAAACAGGAGGAAAATCGTTTGCATTATTCAGAAATCCACTGAAAGTCGAAATCGATGTCTCACATGAACATTTTGAAGATGTTTTCCTCCCTCGGTGAAACATGTGTTTGCCTGCAATATGCCACGCATTGCCGAGCGCTATGAAATGGCTAATTCTCCATGTTACAATGGCTATCTGGGTATGCCCAATGTTCAATCACACCTATATCATCCTATGGTCCTATAATATGGCTGGTTATATCCCATTGTATCATTTTACCTCACAGTATCCCCATGTTCCCCAAGATCTCCCCGAATTTAACGCTTCAAAACTCTGAAAACCTCCAAAAATCCCCCAATTTCCAGCTGATTCACCATGATTCACCTGTCCCAAAAGCTCCAAACCTCTGGATCCTCCCGGAGATTGGAGCACCTCCCCGGCCGCTGATGCCCACCCCAAAAGGGCACGACTGGTGGTTTCGTGAGCCAGTCGCTGCGGAGAAGTCCAAGTCGATAGGAAAACATGTCTGTTTCCCAATGTCACAGAAATAGAATCAAATAATTACTGGTTGGTGGTTTAAACATGTTTAAACCATCTTGAAAAATATGACTTCGTCAATGGGAAGGATTATGACTATCATAGCCATGGAAAATCATAGCCAATGGATAGTCAATAGAATCAAATAATATCAAATAATTAGAAGATATTACCATTTGGTTATTTAACATAGCCATGGACAATCACCATTTTTAATAGGCAAACCATCTATAAATGGGCCATTTTCCATGGCTATGTTAAATAACCAGAGGGCAGATGATATTAAAATGTGTGTTTCCATATTTCAAAACATATTTGGAGATGGCTATCAGAGGAATGTTGTAACTGTGGCCAATAAATAAAACCCCGAGATTGAACAGGGAAAGACAAAACAACCCTTCGTCAATTTCCGCGAAGATCAGAAGTATCCAAATCAGAACCCCTTGGTTGAAAATTTATCAAACTCATTGCCTCCACATGACATCTGTATCAGCACTATGGATGGTATGGTAATCGAAGTACCATGTGACCTTGGAGGATTGTCCAAATGAGAAATCGCAGCCAAAAATAAATGCATGGTGTTTGTATAGTTTTGCTGGGTCGCATTTTTTTATGTTTACACATCCTCGTGCTTCACCATTCATGGGGTGATCCTCCAACCGCTATACAAGAAGGGCCCCGCCACTTAAACCCCCAATCCTATCTCCTTTTTAAAGTGCGTGGCTTAAATCACCACTCTAAACGTGTAACATGGGTCATTAAATGTCCCCATTTTTCACATCACCCAACCAAAATCGGTATATGGTCAATGCCATGGCTACTTTTTACGGTGATGTCCAATATTCCCAAAATGGGACAGGCAAACCAACCCCCAAAATGTAATCCCAACGTTATTTTTAAAAAAATGATCGTATTCACGGGAGACCACAATGAAAAAATTACGATAACCAGACGTCTTTGATCGTGGCTTATGTGTCTTTCATGGCTTCCAATCACGGTCAATCATTGACAGTCCACAAAAAAACAAAACTCTTGTTGGGGATCTATAGTTATTAGTTTCATTTACTCTCTGGTAAAATAACATAGCTATGGAAAATGACCAAATTTATAGTTGATCAATAGTTGATATACCTATATAAAAGGGCGATTTCCATAGCTACGTTAGTTTACCAGAGGGTAGTATCCACATGTATCCACTATAATCCCATGGAAAAATACCATTATATCCCATTATGATCCCTGGATTATGTTTTTTGTTCACCATGGTTTCCTGTAGATTTTCCCTATTCATTATTGGTTTTATTGGTATAATCTATATATAAACAACAATAGTGAATAGGGAAAAATGGCGAGGAAAACTAATAATGGTAAGGTCAAACCAATAATTTATAGATAATTATCCCTATTATGGCAAAAAAAACTCACGGATCTCTTTCCGCCCATTGCAAGGACTCCAGCCGCACCGCGGCCGCGCATGCCGCGCTGCCGGCCGACTCACTGGGCGGCAGCGGCAACAGGCAATACCTGTTAAGGGGCCGTTGGAAACCGGGGGATGCGTATATATGTTATAAGTAGAGAATATAGATGGATTATAACCTATATATATATGTATTATCATGTATAACTCAAAAATAGCTATAATTTATTATGATTTATTGGCTTATGACATGTACTATAGAACATTTCATGATTTCTGGGCAGGAACTGGGTCGTAACGTCCCAGTTATATGAAATCTATAGCCCAGTCTAGTTACGAGGTTCCAAAATGCCAGCAATTGGGGCTGAATAGGGACGCGTCAGGATTTTCATTGTTTTGCCACCAACATAAGCGGTTGACCTAACTTCTAAACCCAAAGTCAGGCTTCTCTCCAGCTTTACCCAGGCTTTACCCATTGCCTATTAGCGCAGCCTTCCACCAAATCTAGCTACAGTAAATAAATTTAAATATAAATATAAATATATATATATATATCTTATATTACATCACTATTCTAGATGATTTCCCTATGATATCCCCCATGAATATCCCATTCTAATCCCATTCTTGTTGGTTCAATCCCACTGTAGTCCCTCTGATCTCGACATATCACCCAGCTACTTGAGATGCAGCTGGTGAAACCACAAATCCCCCGTGAAGAAAGGCTTGGACACGTCGCCTGGCCAATCGTGGGCGTACAGAATTAATCTAAATGGAACATATAATTTGATGACTATTAAATCAATGGGAATTCCAGGATCCTAAAATGGAGGTACTGTACCATATAAGGCCATATTTTGTGGGGATATTCCCTTACATAGGCCTTATATAGGCCTTATATATGGTAGGTACCTCCAATTTAGGTTCCTGAAATGGCCACTGATTAAATCTAAGTTAATGGAAATCGTACTGGAAATAACTAACATATCATCATAACTCATAACTAATATTTTTATGACTATTCATAATCCTGTAATGGAAATCGTAACTAACATATAATCTTCATAACTATTTTGGATAACTTATGCTGTTTTTTTGGAAGACAAACGCAACATCGGAAGAAACACTTTGAGCTATCATCTTATGATAGGATACCATCTATGAATATCTAGTATCTATGATGATCTATGCAAACACAGATTTTGCTACGATAATCCATTTTGTATGATTATCTATGAAAATCTATTATCTATGATAATCCATTTTGTGTCTTTAAAAACAGAAAAAGACAAATGGAAACTGTACTCCATGAACTATAACCGACCTACAGGATGATCACCAGTGGACACAATGGACATTTGAAGAAACCCATCGAGTAATTTTTGCGTATAATTATACTTGTATTTTAAAAATGGATAATACACCTACAAATAAAAGAGTATCGTAGATAATCACAGTATCATGCACAAAAAATCTATGAATAGAAATTAATCACGGAAAAAAAATATTGATAGTAACAAATAATTCAAGTGAAGATGAGTTTGAGAATAACGTATCCAGGACAGTCAACTATTACTATGAAGAAGTATGATACATGATTGTTAATCATAGAAAAACATAGACGATCATAAAATCATCAGTTATAAATGTATAAGATCTATAGATTTATAGATTGTCTATGTAAATCTATGATAGTTTATCTAAGTTTTTTCTACGGTCAAACCATGGTAAAACGGGTTTATGGTCATCCATCTCATAGCGGGAATCCCAGGGAAAAGACGCCATGAAACTTGACCATGGCTCATATATATTTTTATATTATCTATGGTGCAAATTTAATAAATCTATATGAACAATTTTTATGTGATTGGGACACTTTTAGCAGGGAACATGGATATCTCTAGCTCCTTAGTTCCCTCCTAACCGCTTAATAGATTTTCTGTGTAATGCATCTATAGTCTATAGATCTATCGATTATCTATGATATCAATCCATATGATACATATAAGTGATATACGTATATGATATCAATCTATGATATACATTCAACATAAGATTAACAAAAATGAATGTAGATATATGATATGAATCATTATAAATCTATATATGATAAATCTAAGTTTACTGATTTGTAGAGTATCTATGGATCAGCCATGCCTTTTTTGTGGAACCGCCGCCGCCTCCAGGGTTTGGATGTCGCTGTTTCTGCAGCGGCGATCGGATGTCCAGCGCCAAGGTCTCCTCGATGGCCTCAAGGTCGCAGGCGGTGGATGAGGAAAACGACTCTTTAACCAACAAAAATGGTGATTTCATGGGATTTAACCAACAAAAATGGTGATTTCATGGGATTTAACCAACAAAAATGGTGATTTTAATGGGATTTAACTAACAAAAATGGTGATTTTAATGGGATTTGGATATATATATATATATATATATAATGTGAGTAAAACCATAATGAACCACCCATTTGGGAATGGCTTATACTACATATTTATGATGAAATCTATGATGATAGATGAGTAGATGATCTTATAATAGGATCATCTATTTCTCATCTACTACTCATTCTAAATTAGTAGATGATTATTCTCAGATCAGATGAGTCATAGATGAGTAATACTAAAATATCTTTACCACTTCTGGTAGATTCATGTGATTATAGATTATTTATAATATCTTTATAGATACTGAAAAAGAACTAACTATCATAGAAACTGTGTGTGCTATTAGAATAAGTTTCCAAGTAATAAGTGGTATCAGGTAATCCAGTTTATCAATCTAATCAATCATCTTATCTTTGCGTAGTACAGTAGGAGTTCTAGTAATCCGTTCACAAGAAATCGTCTGGAGATACCACCGTTCTATTGCTGTTTTCGTTGTTGTTTGAGTAGCTTGAGCAACATTATTTTTGGAAAATCCGAATTCGAAATTGCAACTATGACCAAATACTCTTTGAGAGTATATTATCAACTATATTGCTAAGTACTTTTCGATATTATTATCAATAGGTCAACAAGTAAGTACTGCACTGAGTGCTAGAAACTATTCAAATTCCGCAGTAAATCTAGGGAATTACTGTATTAACGTCTTAATACAGTATTTGAAATATGTACTGTTCGGATCTGTTCGGAAGGGATCGTTCGGAAGGGGAGTCGGGCAATGTGGTTTGACCCAACCCCAGCTGGATTTTCATGGAGGTATGACCATCCTCTTCGAAAGTAGCCTGTGATTCGACCATGGCATATGTATATATATATGTATATATATATATATGTATCAACTATACCAACTCCCAAAAGAAAAAACATTAGATTCCTACTCCAATAGTGGTAAATATACATAAGAGTTGTCCGAATCTTTTGTAGATTATGATGATCCCATTCATATCCTTACAGTGTCCGGGCTTTAGTATCCCATTATCCTCTTTATACTTGTTGGTGTATCCAATTATATAGAACACCTGATTATAGTCCTACCCATTGATCCCAGTGTCTATCTATCCATCCATCATATCGGTCATGTATCCTATGTATAGATAGATACACACACCATCTATCCTATAGATGGAATACATACATTACAGTACCAAATAGATTGATACACAAACTTACTGATACTTCTGATCTGATCTATAACTTTAGAATTTAGATACACACACCTACGCATTGATCCCACCCATCTGATCCCCCATTCGGCGAACCTGTTTCAGCTCATCTCCGGAGGCAAACGGCTCCAACGTCAGCGACTCTGCGTCCAGCAACAGCGCCAACTGCTGCGCAGCCATGGGAGACCAAGACACCTGGGTGGGGATAGGATGGGGATGATGGACATAGAGTGGGTAAGATCTAGATCTACATTACACATGTATTACTGTATAATATAATATATATATATATGTATAATATATATATATATGTAATATATATATATAATATATGTATATACATATATAATATATATATAATATATATAGTATAATATGTATATATATATATCACAGAACACCAATGCTCAAAACGTACGAATAAACATGTGATGACAATCTCCGTATTCCCTCATAATCCCAAACAATAACACAGATCCCCATCATCCAGGTATAAAGTGCATATATATATATAACATAAAATCCAATTGGATGATCCAATACTTGGTATTGTGAACCAATTAATAACATTAATATAACTTGGTATATATATATATATATTATAAAAATCCTATTAATAATAACTTGGGATTGTATAACTTGGTATAACTTGGGATTCAAAGATATACCAAGTCTCATACTCCCATCATTACCGTCGATCTCGTCGCCTCCATCATGGGCTCGTCGTAGGAGCGTTGCACCCACTGCGGGACCGAGCTGTCGGGCAGAGATTCAAAGCTGGGCAGGTAGGGCTTCAGATCCTCACTTTCCGAGACGGGACCCCACCACCACCATAAAATGCGTTACTTGGGACTGGTGATTGTAGCAACAACAATAGTCCCATGGATAGAATTATGGAAAATTGTCATGTTACAACATGTTTTAACAATTGTAGCATATTCTAGTACCCTCTGGTAATTTGTTACATAGCTATTGAAAATGACCATAGAAATAGTGGATTTTCCCATTGAAAATGGTGATTTTCTATAGTTATGTAAACGTTTACCAGAGGGTACATTACTAGTAGTCATCAACTAAAGGACACGCAAAATAATCTCATGGAGATTTGAAGATTGGCGATGTAAATCCTGGGATGAGGGCCTCTGAAGAAAACGAGGTGGCTTAATAAAGGCTGAGTTTGGGGGGAACAAGAGTTGGATTTGCTTCAGACAAACCATGGTGATATAACTTAATATTATATAACTTGCCTTAACTTGCTACAAAAAAAAGATCATATCACTTAGGAAAATTGGGATCTAAGATGTCAGATGATGTAAGTGCTCCACATTCTACACCCATCACATTCCGCAATCATTAGTTGCTTCGACAAATCATCCACTCCGGATCAGTTGTGGTCAGGTCTGCTAGTGAGGTCGAGACATTTGACACATAGTTTTACCTCGATGATTACCGTATTCTTGCAGCTTGCATATCCGTTTTGCTTGGTTGGACCCGCATAAATACCCGCATCATAATTGATCTGGCAACGCCAAAATCTACCCAGGTGAATTATGCCATTGATAGTCCATTAATATCGCATTAATATTCCATCAATATTCCATCTATAATATCATAATCCACATCATCAACGACAACAATACCATGAAATCCGTTAACAATGACAAGATCATTAAATATAATTCATATACATTACATAATGATGTGAATGTTCATCCCATCATATGATGGACATTTCCACTAAATTTCAAGTTCCTATCGAATGTTTATCCCATAATGTTATCCCCATTAATGTTCCATTGATATTCCATCGTGGAACCTTATCCAAGTTATCCCATAGTTATCATTCATATTCCATGAATATTCATACTAGTTATCACTAATATTCCCATTCAATATTCCCAAAAAACATGTACCCTCTGGTAATTTCTTACACTTTGCGAACTTGAAAATGGCCCAGTCGAAATAGTTGATTTCCCTATTACACATGGTGATTTTCCATACTAGTCTTGTTATCACTAATATTCTCATTAAATATTCCCATTTCATGTGCCCTCTGGTAATTTAACATGGCTATCGAAAATGGCCTATTTATAGTTGATTTCCCCATTAAAAATGCTGATTTTCCATGGCTATGTTAGTTTACCAGAGGGTATGACATATTCCCATGAACCCATCCAACCCATCCATTTTTCCACGCGCCAAGCGGCCAAGCAGGGCGTCCCGTCGATGACGTCTAAGCCCGAGAGCACCACGAGACCCTCGGAGGCCTGGCGCCCGTTTGGGAAATGGCCATTTATAGTGAGTTTTCCCATTAAAATAGATGGTATTATATACCAACTTACCCATCTACCCTCTGGTTATGACTAACATAGCCATGGTATAGATGGCCCATAGAAATAGATGGTTTACCTATTAAAAATGGTGATTTTCCATGGCGAACTGTTAAATAACCAGAGGGTAAATATGGGATTTATATGGGATTTATATGGATTAAATATGGGATTTATATTAGAAATGATGGATTTCTATGGGATTTATGGGGTATGTCATGAAAAATATCTTGTCATCACCATTACAAGTAGTCAAAATTGGATGGACGTATCCAGTTTGCATTGGATTCAACCTTTCACTAGATTCCGAAATTGACTGGAACAGTATCTATGATGTTCCAGGTTGTAAATTGGCATTCATCACAAATTAGATAACCCAAAAATAATCTGGTTCCAAACCAGTCTATGATTGGCTGCTTGCTCACTGGGGGATGGGCCAAAACCTACCAGTACCAGAGGGGATGAATATCCAGATCAACAACAGCTATGTTTGATGTGAACGACAGGGAACTCCAGGGTGCACTAACCCATTACCCATCACTGGTTAAGTCACTGATTTCAACAGAGAAAGAAAGAATGACAATGACGTCAGTCAGACCATCAACTAACCCGAAAAATGTACAAGTCGGTGTGATTCCGACTTACTTGTATAATATAGGCAGCCATGCCCCTATCCAATCAAGTAATACTTGTACTCATTGTTGGGTTACGACTCTTACCATTGGCACTCTCACTTTCCATCATTACTATCATTATCAAATGGTTCGTTTACTCCCATGATTGGCCTTATCATTATGATCAGTGCCTCTTACTGTCATTAGTATCCTGATTATGTTCATTGTATAATAGGTACTACTGGTATCATTAATATCCTGTCTTCTCCTTGTTGTCTATTGATTGCAAGTTTGGTAGTAAATCAACAATACTGTAACAAATGCTTGATGCATTTCAGTGCGTCTTTGTACTGGATCTTAGAAATGTTACTGCAGTATCAATGCAGAATAGGTCGAGCTATGGCCCAAAAAAAGCTATCAGCGTTTTTTGTTAGTCTATCATTATCATCGTCGTCATCGTCATCGTCATCATCATCATCATCATCCTCGTCGTCGTCGTCGTCGTTGTCGTCGTCGTCGTCAGCATCATCGTCAGTAGTATCTATCTTTACATTAGTATCTTACGTGGTTTTAATACTATGTCTATTACTATTGTGGTATTTGATTTAGATGCCAGTATTACAGTACTATATTACTATCGTGAAAATATGATCACTGTCGCAAAAAAAAAACTCATAGGTACTATATACCTATCATGCAATAATGGCGATGGATTAATGCAATGTTCATTTCATATACTTAATACAACTGCATGTTGATGCATAAATACAAATTGGTTACTATATGATTATCATCTTACTATTTTTCTTGCAAGTTCTATTCTATTACGATATCTTCTGTGAATATGAATATTACCACTTAGCACAAAAGGTACCAATGCAACAAACGGATTGGTGATATAGAATAATCATATTCTACTACTACTACTCATATGTGTGGCATTGACAACAGCAATATTTATAGTATAATTAATTGCTGTTGATTAGCTGATATTAGTAATATTAGCTAATATTAATAGCTAATTTTAGTAATATTAGTAACACTAGTAATAATTATTAGTAATACTGTTTGTTAATACTACACAATACTAAATAATTAAAATCAATGCCCAAGAAAAGCACCCGGTTTGGACCCTCGGTTTGGCCTCGCCTTGACCTCCACCACCTTCGCCAAGGAGAGGCCCACAGGATTCGGCCGGTGGGGGGTCCTTGGCCGCCGGGCCGTGGTCACCAGGAAGTTGGTGGTTTGATGTGATTTTCCCCAGGGAAAATGCGGCTTTTCACCGGGAAAGACATGGCTTTTACATCGAAAAAGGCTTGGGAAAGATGTGGGATGTTATATATGAAAACATATATGAAAACTTGGGTGTAACTCCAAGTCCGAACCAGACGAGACTCTCGGTATCCCAAGAAAATTGTGTGCGTCCTACCGAAATCCTAAGTGTTTGGGAAAAATTGTACCCTCCAGGGCCATCCATCTATGTAATAATATTGACGATTGCAAATCTGATGCAAGTAACGTGTGACATGGGATAGTTTTCTAACCACTTAGTTACCTGGGATATACCTCCAAGGTCACTTGTGCTAGTTGAAATATATCAATCCCCATGTCTGGTTGGTTAGAAATCACCCTAATTTGTTAATCGGACATCCCTGTCCATCCCAACAATTTCTGTCATAGGAGTACCCTCTGGTAAACTAACAAAAAGCTATGGAAAATCACCATTTTCAATGGGAAAATCCACTATAAATCACCATTTTCAATAGCTATTTTGACATAACCAGAGGGTATGATCCACCAATCAACCACCATGGTCGGATTCTTCAATACGGTTCAAGTTGGCAGTGCAATTGTTGGTCCCACACCCCCCTTGGCCGCCAAGTAGACCCATGATGGCAATCCATCAGTTGCTTAAATCATGTTACCCTCTGGTTATGTCAAAATAGCTATTGAAAATGGCACATTTATAGTTGATTTCCCTATCAAAATAGTGATTTTCCATGGCTTTTTGTTAGTTTACCAGAGGGTAAATCCATTACAAGATCCAAGTATTGGCTGGTGATCTTCCCATCAGATCCACTACAATCACCATAAACACCATGGTAATCTACATGTGATATTATAACTGGTTGGTGTTTTTAACCTACCATTGTGGTTGATATATACTGTTAATATATGGTTATTATATGGTTAATCATGATTAATAATAATCTGGTTGGTGGTTGTAACCATCTTGAAAAATATTAGTCAATGGGAAGGATTATCCCATGTATTATGGAAAATCAAAAATGTGTGTAACCACCAACCAGATTGTATACCCATGTGCACCATACAATACATGGTGGGGTAGAAAAGCAATACCGATCTACCCCATGGGCCCCATATCCCACTTTCCCCCCTGCATCGCTTTGGTATCCCCAAGCGTATATAAAACATCCAAAAATGTCTCCCCATAAGCTGCCTGGCCCCATTTTCATCCCCAAGGTCGTATCCTCTCTTCAACTTATCCTACTTTATCGATCTTTATCGTCATACTCTTGGTGATATTCTTATGATATACCCAAGTTTCATGGAGTTTCACCTTGATATCAGTTTGATTCAATCAAGAAAATATCAGGTGACGAGTCAATTCCCCCAATTTCATGTTCAACCTGTGGTAGTCCACGAAAAAATAATCCTTTGCTGGCGGTGGTTATTTTTCCATTCAATTACAGCAAAAACATGCAAACAACGAACGGATTAAACTTGATGAAAACTACCTATCCAGTTGGTTGGTGGTCATTTTCCATTCAATTACCCTCTGGTAAACTAACATAACTATGGAAAATCATCATTTTTTATGGGAAAATCCACTATAAATGGCCATTTTCAATAGCTATTTTGACATAACCAGAGGGTACAGCAAAAACATCCAGTTGGTTGGGGATGATGGCTTTTTTCAGCCCTTCAGCCCTTCAGCCCTTCAGCCCTTCACATCCCCCGTCTCCGTCCAGGGCACCGACAGGCCAGGACCCCTACGCGCAGCTCGGGACACCTGGGCGGCGCCACCTTCATACAGAGCCCCTGCCACAGCGGCACGCGGCCCTGTTGCTGCACGCGACGGGCCAAGCCTTGGTCATGGCGCGTTTTGGTTGTCCTGGAAAGGCTGGAAAAAATGGAGGGATGATGAGTTCTTTGTCCCAATTTGGTCCTAAAATTGGACAAATATGGAAAAATCATGAGAAAAATGATGATTTTCGTTGGATTATTTGAGTGTTTCTTGCGGGATATCGCCTGCAAAAAAATGCGAGTTTGTGCATTGATAATAAATATACTGAGGCCTGTTGGTGAATAGTCCTCAAGGATGTTCGACATGTTGAAATGCTGCAGAAATCATGGGGATGAGACGACCGATGATGTCTTAGAGTGAATGGATAAACATGGTTCAAAAATACCTGTACGAGTTTGCCTGGTTCGGTTGGCACATGGTTCAACCCTCCGAAAAGGGGGGGTTAACCCCCTGAAACCCGGAAACTTAGTTTATCGACCTGGCAAAACATCCACGGATCACCCTGGGTGCAAGCCAACTTGGCCATCCAGAGGAACTGGGGGCTTTAAAAAAGGACTCAAAATTCATCCTTAGGAGTTGAATAGAACATAGCCATGGACAATCTATGATCATCGATCTATATGAATGTCATCTTATATAATATATACATATAAAATATAGTGCATGTGTATATGCAAATAACATATAACATCATATAACATATACATACTGTATATAGTCAAAATATGTCAGACATGTGCTATTTCTATCTGATCAACGGCTGCCCCCGGTGCATCCTGTGTCTTTACCCACCCAGATGCTTTTTGGCTGACGCAAGGTATTGGTGTTTTCATGGAACACGTAGAGCACCCAAACCTGGGTTTGGCAGGCAGAAGTCGTCAACTTTGCGGTGGATGGAAAGGAAACATCCGTGGTAGCCCCAAAAAATAGTTGCAAAACATGATAAGTTATCACTAATTTATATAACTTTACTTTGATCTGTCCTATCTATGTGGGGATGACTATAGTTTCATATAGTTACTATAGTTGTGGCGAACCTTCAAGAGCGGCAAATTGACATGCAACAATGTGGTGTGATTGCAGTAGATGGAAAGAAATCATTAAACAATCTATAATAATCTAGCAGAGGAGACCCTTGACATCATCAAATGTGTAGTCTCTTAATTTGCCAATGGCAGGCCATGGCAAGGCACATGGCTGAACTCGGCCAATCCTTCCAGAGCCGCCTCTGGATTCAAATCCTTCACGCATCGCAGCACCGCCAGGCTGCTTTTCCTCACAGCCAGGAAGTCTCAATGATGTCCTCTTTGGAAAAGGGAGGTCCGGTTGGCTATCCGTTTTGTGTAGTATCTATAGTATCTATAGTATCTATAGTATCTATAGTATCTATAGTATCTATAGTATCTATAGTATCTATAGTATCTATAGTATCTATACGGCAAATGCCTGGGTTTTGCCCGAACCCGCAATGACGACGGGAGACACATCATCATCATCATCATCATCATCATCATCATCATCATCGTCATCATCATTATCATCATCATCAACATCATGTTCATCAACATAATCATCATCATCATCATCATCAACATCATCAAACCCTTATTGACGATCTTCAATGAATGTAGAAGTTTAACGGGGGTGGGAGAATTAAACCCTTATTGGAGATCTTCAATGAATGTAGAAGTTTAACGGGGGTGGGAGAATTAAACCCTTATTGGAGATCTTCAATGAATGTAGAAGTTTAACGGGGGTGGGAGAATTAAACCCTCGTCGAAGATCTTCAATGAATGTAGAAGTTTAACGGGGGTGGGAGAATTAAACCCTTATTGAAGATCTTCAGTGAATGTAGAAGTTTCACGGGGGTGGGAGAATTAAACCCTTATTGAAGATCTTCAGTGAATGTAGAAGTTTAACGGGGGTGGGAGAATTAAACCCTTATTGAAGATCTTCAATGAATGTAGAAGTTTAACGGGGGTGGGAGAATTAAACTCTTATTGGAGATCTTCAATGAATGTAGAAGTTTAACGGGGGTGGGAGAATTAAACCCTTATCGAAGATCTTCAATGAATGTAGAAGTTTAACGGGGGTGGGAGAATTAAACCCTTATTGGAAATCTTCAATGAATGTAGAAGTTTAAAGGGGGGTGGGAGAATTAAACCCTTATTGAAGATCTTCAATGATTGTAGAAGTTTAACGGGGGTGGGAGAATTAAACCCTTATTGAAGATCTTCAATGAATGTAGAAGTTTAAAAAGGGGTGGGAGAATTAAACCCTTATTGAAGATCTTCAATGAATGTACAAGTTTAACGGGGGTGGGAGAATTAAACCCTTATTGAAGATCTTCAATGAATGTAGAAGTTTAACGGGGGTGGGAGTTTAATATTCCCTAATATCTTTGTTGATCTTCCCAATTGAATGTAAAGTTTAACGGGGGTGGGAGTTTGATATTCCCTAATACCGTTTTTGTTTCTCCCCTAGGAATTTCGGGTGTTTTGTCATGTTTTTTATATAGTCCCTAGTACCTTTGTTGTTTTCCCCATAGGAATTTAAGGTTTAACGGGGGTGGGAGTTTAATATTCCCTAATATCTTTGTTGATCTTCCTAATTGAATGTTAAGTTTCACGATTTGAGAGTTTAAAATTTCCTGGTACCTTTGTTGTTTTTCGCATAGGAATTTCAAATGTTATGCCGTGTTTGTTTTTCCCATAGGAATTTCGGGTGTTTTCACCTTGTTTGTTTAATAGCCCCTAGTACCTTTGTTATTTTCCCCATAGGAATTACGGTAATTTGCAACATCATTTATTTGTGAATGGGAAACCTCTACGCTGCAACGCCTGGGCAAAACCCAGGCGTTGCGCGTATCTATAGTATCTATAGTATCTATAGTATCTATAGTATCTATAGTATCTATAGTATCTATAGTATCTATAGTATCTATAGTATCTATATCAAATCCATTTGGGCCGGTTACAAATGGGTAATAACCCCTTTCTATAAATCACCCATCCAAATCAGTCCGATGTTTTGACATCCTCTGGCCAAGAGTCACCAGGTTGCTTTGCCGCGGCGTTCCACAGCGCTGGCGGTAGCAGGACTGAAAGCTTCCAATGGGATGAAACCTCGTCCCGCAACGGCGCCGCAGAATGGGTTCACCTCCTTAAAAAGTGTTGAAAACCTTAACTGGTTGGTGGTTGACCTACCCCTCTGAAAAATATGAGTTCGTCAATGGGAAGGATGACATCCCATATGTGAAATGGAAAATAAAAAATGTTTGAAACCACCAACCAGTTAATGACTAATAATGACTATATGATTTATATGTTCTACTATATACATGATTCATGAAAAAAATATATCGAATCCTGTAAAAGTATGACACCATTTCTAGTGTTGCTGGTTTTTCTCCACTTCCAAAGACTGAGTGATAGCTTCAAAGTTGCATAGCTGTTGCAGTGACCCAGAACTATGCATGGTCAGATGGAGGCTATCTAAAATGTTCTACAGCTAATTAGTAAGGTTTGCATTCTCACTCTTGGTGGCATCCACATTTTTGTTGGCTACACCACTGACATCCCCACGCAACATCTTCCAAAATTTCACGGCTTCCTCAAGCCTGCTTAAAATCAACCTATTAGGTCTCAACACTCTATACATATGTATATATATATAATTATGTATATATATATGTATAAAATATTATAAAATTGTATAAGTATATGAGTGGCGGACAAAATTATTTACTACTCGCAATGGACATGGCCAAAGTGGGTGGTCCCCTATCGGTTGTGAAGGTTTGTACTTCCATGGTATGTATACGCAAAAATATCGGTAAGTGGGTGGTCCCCTATCGGTTGTGAAGTTTTTTACACAAATTTGAACATTCCATGTCCACTCCTTACTACTTTGGTCTTCTGCTAATTTTGTGGGTTACTTGTGTATTCACACACACATGTTTCTCACCTTTGTCATTTTTGATCACTTTCTTGGATAAAAACTCGAAAACCCATGACTGGTTGCTGGTATACCTACCCCTCTGAAAAATGATGGAGTTCGTCAATTGGGATGATTATTCCATTCCCAATATATGAAATGGAAAAATAAAAATCAAGTTCCAAACCACCAACCAGGACTTAACTGGGTTTGACGGAGATACCATGGGAATTCATCAACCAGTGTATAGTTTATTTACCCATTAAAAATGGTGATTGTCCATAGTTTTTTGTATGTTTACCAGAGGGGTACATCACTGTAATCACCAACCAGCTAGCATCTTATTGGAATAATCCAGGTATATGAAATTCCCAATATATGAAATGGAAAGTCATAAAAGCCAGGTTCCAGTCACCACCAACCAGTATGTACATATATATATATATACATATGATTAGAAATCCACTATAAATTGCCATTTTCAATAGCTATGTTAGTGTACTTATATATTTTGGTGATAAAATATCGAAACTCCATGAGAATCCCATCCTTCGACGCGCGGCTCGAAGCTCTCCGTGGCCTCCGAGCCCTGCACCACGCCCTCGGGGCCGGCCGTCGCAGCCGGGCTCTGGCGCAGCTCCTTCTCCGCGCGGATGCGGCCTGCGGAAGCTCTTTGGAAAGGGAAATCCATGGGAAATCCATGGGAAAATATGGGAAATCCATGGGAAGACTTGGGAAAATCCAGCAAAAATATGCAAAAATGGAGATCTTAATGGAAAATCACACATAAATTGCTGAAACACATTGGATTTAAGATGATTGAAGCATCAACCGTGGTGAAAAAAGTGAGATTTAACATGATCTAAACATCAAGAATGGTGAAAACATTGCGATTGCGGTAAGATCGTTTGTCAACCTTGGAGATCCTGCAACAAACAAAATCCGTCTACTTGGCAAATGAAAACAAAGCAGCTTAAGGCACCCATCTAAGGCTGACCTGCTATATCCCATATTATTCTCATCATATTCCTATTGTATTCCCTTTGATTGTAGAACAAAATCTATGTTATTCCCCAATTTCTTCCATTAAGCCCGGTAATATTTCTCATCATATTCCTATTGTATTCCCCATGATTGTTCGATTTTGTTAATCAAATCCCACATCTCAAGGGGACACTGCCGACTGCTGCGCCTTTTCGTTCCTCATCCCTCAACTTTGTCTGGCGCTCCGCCTGGAAAACCATCAGGACATTGGGGAAATTCCCGACCTTTTCGATGGGAAAAACATTTAAAAAACAACTGGACATGTCCCAGCTGTGCTTGATTACCAGAGGGTATTATATGGCTAAACATGACTGAAAGTGAAACTGCACAACCAAGTAGCTAACAAATTGGCCATGGGACTCAATTCAAGCAACCATTTGGGGCCTGGTGCGTGCTTTTATGAAACTCATGTACTTGCTTAATCATCCTGAAGTACATGGAATATGGGTATTTCAAACAATCCCCACTAAAATCTAAAATGGGAAAGTATTCTATCAACTCCAGGATGGCTATCCTGTATCTATGTATATGTATGTATATGTATGTATACATATACATATTACTGATATTGCTATGATATATATTTTTCCGATGCTGCCATACAACCTGAAGCTGCTGAGACTCTCAGTTTGTTTCTTGCATGGCTCAGTAACCTTAAGACTGACACATATTGACACCCACAAATTGGTAAGTTTAACACACTAAAAGTAAATAGATTATGATTTTGCACAACATTTACTTAAACCATCTCCCTTGGTACAGGAAGGGTCCGCCAGTTATAAAGTTGGTTTATAACATTTTACAACCTCATCTAACTATAGAATGCTATAGAATACTATAGAATGCTATAAATTACTATAGAATACTATAGATATATCTACCACAAACCCATAAATCTTAACTAAGTATAGGGTCCCCTAAACCCTCACCTCACCCCTGCCCGGTGCCCTTAGTCCTCCCGCCGTTGCTTGGCCAGTTCCAGCTGGAGTTCACGCCGCTGCCGGTACTGCGACCATGCCAAGTAGGAGCAAAGCAGCAAGAGACTTAAAGAGCCAACCTCCAAGGTGCGGAGTGCAAAGGCAGCTAATGGGCTCACACGAAAAAGCAAAAGCAGCGGGGCAATCTTTTAGCGCTAAGCTTGACTGGTCCAGTCTGCGGTGAGTATGCGCAAGTGCAAAAGAAACATGCAACTGCTACACACCAAGCTAGTCTCTACCTACCTTTGTCTTTCACATCGGAAGGGAAACGTGTTGGTGTGTTGCGCAAATTATGGCACGGCGCAGCCGATGCCAGTGCTGGGACGCGGCCCTTCAGCTTTTCTTTGCGACGCTGTCGCTGCCCCTGGCGCAGTTTGCGCCGGTGATCCTCTAACGTTTTCTCCTCTGGAGTCTCACGTAGGGACACCATAGGCTTTCGGCAGAATGCCTGCCACAACAGGTTGACCATCTTCTTGGTTAGGCCGTCGGCGTGCTGTCGATGAGTAGGGACCCAAAACAACATATACGCTCCAGCTTCCAAGTGATGTCGTGCAACAAGCAAGTCCAGCATGGTCTGACGCTCCGTGGGGAGCTGACCTGTTGTATTCAAATGGTCATAGAGGCTCTTGGCATCAGTTACGACGCCTCCATCAAGACCCATTGACAATCGCCAATCCTCATCCAAGGGTCTGTTGCCGTAGAGCAAACGATCCAAAACCAAGCGGCCGTACAAGTGACGGTCCACACAGATGGACATGCTACAGCTTTCAGCAGACATTGAACTCCTCAGAACTCGAGAACTTTTATTGGTGGAGAATTCCACCACCGATGCCAATGCTGGTCCTGACCGTGCTTTCTCTGTTGTGAGAAAGTGAATTGACCCAAGCTGAGATTTTCCGTCTTCTTCTTTTCCAACCGAGGCATCAAAGAAGCTGATGTAGAATAGCTTCTCCTTCTCGTTCAGCTTTGGATAGGTCAATTGGGCGCGGCCCTGGGAAGCTTCCTCCACAAACTTTTGATGAAGCTTGACAGCTTCCTTGTAGTCACTGTGTTGAGCGCGGCTCACACGTTGTGCTAGGGCCGAAACCTCATACAGCAAGTGTGGCATGGCCTGTTGGGCCGGCCACCGAAGGCGCATGACGAGCTGACGATAGAGCGTCAACTCCTTTGGATTAAGTGGTCCAGAGCCACTCAAAGGTTCCACCTTGATCTGCTTGATGTACTGCGTCATGTCGTCGTGGATACCATTTGAATCCAAAGTTACGTCCACGCCCAAGAATTGAACTGGTTCTTTGGCAGATAGGGTCTTCCAGGCTTTGATCTTGAACATACCATCAATCTGCCGCTTGAGATTCTGGACACGCTTGTCCTGTAAATCACCGAGAAGCAGTCCGTCATCCACGTGGAGACATAGGATAGCATATGTGGCGCTGCCACTGCTTCCACCACCTGCAACGAAGGTAGATCGCGACATCTCGAGCTCCTGGAGATCAGTCTTTTTGATCCTGTCAAGGGCTTCCAGGTACCACAACCTGGGACTCTCTGTCAGTCCATATGCGCTCTTGAGGATGCGCAAGAGCTCTCCAGGTTCCACAGCTGACCAATTCTCAGCTGGAGGCAAACCTTCTCTGGGGGCTCGAATGTAAACCTGTCGTTGCAACTTCTTTCCGCTGAGGAAAGCTGTTGTGACATCAAAAATTGTGCCACCCCATCCACGGGCTGCTGCCACGCTCTTGGCTGCACAGACAGCTGCTTGAGGGCAGGTTGGCGAATCTGTCCGGAATTCACCAAGCTGGGGGTCTAAATGACCTGGCACAATAAGTCGGGATTTTGCCACCAACGGCAAGAGCTGATTGGTCTGTTTGTTGACCCTGAGCATACGAAGTGGTGCTCTGAAAATGGATGCTTTGGGAACTCGGGCCGCTTCCTCAGGGCTGACCCTCTCAATCACTCCGTTTTTGATCCATTCAGACCACTCCTTGACATCAGCCGTATCAAATGCTGCTCTTTCCTTCTGATCAAAGAAGGCAGGGTCCAACTCCTTGCCACCCTGCTTCATCTTCAATAGCAGCGCTTCAGTGGTGAGCAAATCTCGAACTTCTTCCGTCCACAAAGCTTCGAAATCTTGGGCGGCTTGGGCAGTCAGATCCGCACGGTACAATCCATCTGGAAGCTGGATGTATACCGGCTCGGTGTCGGTCTCCTTGGCAGTCTTGTAGAAAATCGTCATGCCTTTCCAAAGAAAGCTGGCACGACGGCGAGGGTTCTGCTTCACGTCCTCCTCGTCCTCGTTGACAATGAAGGTGTTGGCAGGATCTTTGCCAATTAAAATGGAAAGTCGTGAGCGACTAACCATCTTTGGAGGCTTTTGGAAACGCTTCCTGGGTGTCCGGTGGATTCTGGCCGCCGTAACTGGCAAGCCTGTCAGTTGCTTAAGAAGTTCCACCTCGTATCTCGACACCCATTCATTTTGAAGGCTCCCATACACTGTGGTCGCTGCCACCTGTGCGCAGAAGTTCGCACGCAGCTTCTTGACGGCAGCATCCGCCCGAGCAGGGTCCATAAGCTGCTGTTTCCTCTTGAGGGTGTGAGGAACGTCGTCAAGAGACATCTTGCGTCGATCTTCCTCGGACAGTTTCCTGAACTCCTCTAACCATTCGTCCTCATTGTCCGGCGGGACAGGTACCTCATGCGGTGGTACCTCCGTTGGAGGCTCTGCCTCAGCTCTGGATGGCTCATCCAGTCCTTCATCATCTGTAGGAATGTGAGGTGGCTCCTCATCGGTTGACATGTGGGGAGGCCCTTCATGCTCATCATAAGGTGATGTGGCGCTGTAGCCATCAGACTCTTCGCCTCCTCCAGGTCCTGGTAGTGCCGGTGGTTGAGGTAGTTCAGGGATCTCCTCTGGGGGCACTTGTCCATCTTCTAAGGCCTTTGGCCTTTTTGCAGGGCGCGGCGCTGCCGGCTTGTCCTCAATACCTTTGGGCACCTTTCTCTTCCTGAGCTGTGCTCGAAGATCAGCGTAGCGATCCTTCAGGAGCTGTCGAATTGACTTGGTGCCTCTTAACATCGTCCTTGCTCTTTTCCTCTCTGGCGTATCCGCGGTCGCTGGACGTTTTCTCGTCCTCGGCGGAGGTGCCAGTCGTGATTGGTCCTTGTAGGTCTTCTCCCGGATGGGGTCCCGAAGTAGTTCACCCAAACTGTCGGCATCTTCCTTGGCTGGCTCGTTGAGAGCTAACTCTTCACGAGTAGCCAGTCGGATGTTGGGCGCAGCCAACAGGAGGGCGCGGCCTCGCCAGCTGACAAAGTATCTCTCCTTGGCCTCACGCACAAGGATTGTAGCAGGTCCACGCCACTGGCCACCTCGGGTATACCTTTTTGAAAGTTTCTTTGGTGTCCAGAAGTAAATCTGTGCTCCCGGCATGAATGGGCCATCATTTTCATGCACTGGCTTCCTCAGAATCGCACGGCGCATCTTGTCTTGGACGTCCGTACGGATCAAAGCCAGCCTGGCCGTGATGCGCATTCTGTGAGCGCGTGCATACTCTGATTCAGAGTCCAATGCTTCTGCAAAGCTTGGCCTGGCGTTGTCTTCTGTCAAACTGGGGAATTTGATTTCAGCTCCAAACAATCGTTGATTGGGAGTGAATCCGTCCCGAGTCACTGTCATATTCTTGGCTGCGACAGCGGATGACACCACCAGTTTCATGGCTGTAAATCCTTCAGTGGAGTGTTCTGCAGTGATAGCTGAGATCATGGTGCCCAAGATAGCTCCATGTCTTTCTCCCACCGAAAGCTGCCAAGGTGCATGTGATCCTGTCACCGTAGTTGGCACCGCCATGTCCTCCAAAAGCGAGGTGAAGGCCAGCTCAAACTCGCCACCTTGATCGTGGCTAACATGCTCTGGAGCTCCAAAGATCTGGATCCAATGGATCATGAACTTGCGCGCCACATAGTCGGACCTCCTTGTCTTGCAAAGACAGGCGCCATGGTACGCAGTACCAAGATCCACAATGCTCAAACAAGGATATTTGCGATCCCGTGAGTCGAACACAAACTTGATGTCCAAGTGAAGCTTCCGATTGAAGCCATAGGGTCTCAAGCTTGGCGTTGTAGCAAGAGGATGTGCTGGTGCCTTCTGCATTCGGCACACATCGCACTGCCATCGTCTAGCGTGACGGATGGCATCCTCTGTCGCTCCTGAGATGCGCAGCATCCGGACCAAAGTATCTCTGCTGGGATGTCCAAGTTGCCGATGGGCAAATTCAACTGCCTTTTGAATCTCTTTTGGCACAGGGCGTCGATCATCTTCCTCGATCACCTCTTCCTCTCGCCTTTTCTCCTGTGCCATTCGTTGCTCTTCTTCTTCAATTCCTTCTTGCCCATCCTGAAAAGATTCTTCGGTGACGTACTCCTCCAGGACGTAGGTCTCTTTCCCGGCAGCTGCCGGCCGATGCAGGAAGCTCAAGGCTCCCCTCATGATGGCTTTGCACAAGGGGATCGGATATCCTCCAGCCCAGGATGACAGAGATATAGTCCCGTACTCCTCCGTCCGGACTGAACCTTAAATGGGGAAATGTTGGTGATCCCCAGGGCATCTTTTCCTGAGCTCAGCCACGATCTCCTCTTGGCCCACAAAGCGGGTTGGTTTCTTCAGAGGCATGCCGCATTCGGGATGGCGGAGGCCATACTGACACTGGTCGCATACCCCTTCAGGCAGATCACCAAAGCCATCAATGATATCATCTTGCTTCCATGCCAGGCTCAGCAGGGGATTCTCACCCAGGATGGCGCGGCCATTCCATTGTCTCTTCAAAGAGACTTGTGCAGAAAACTTCAGCAACTTCTTCGAGGTGTTCTGTTTGTGTTTGAGGGCCTCTCGCTGGGTCCAAGTCTTTTGATTAAGTCGCTGCAGAGGCGACCACGGTCCACACGGCCATGCCAGCATGATGAAGTCAGGGTCGACTCGATCAATGTACTGGTGGGCCTCCCATTGCACCTTGGGGTCTGTCAGATCCCAGCCTGGAAGGGTCACTGGTTCAAGATACTCCCAGCCCAGGCCGTAGGCAAACCTTGACAGCATGCAGGACCACGTAAAGATCTCCAAGATCTTGAAGCCAGTACGCAGCCGGCGCACTCTTGGAACCTCCTTCTCCTTCTTGAAACTGGTGCGCTCCACCTCCACAGCTTCACTGATGTTCTTGGCGGCGGCCAAAAGTCTTCGCTTCTGCCCTTTTCCAAGGTACTCAGTGTCGCCGGCGCTGCCAGCTATCATCACTTCATCAACCATGCCATCTTCCGATCCCGTGGATTCTTCATCAGAACTGTTGAAACCCATCGGAAGTCCACCTTCGTGAGAAGTCTCACTTTCGCGTTCGCTGATGGAACCCGTGGAACTGTCATCCGGTTCCTTGGTTGTGGCTCGAAAGCAGTCCACACCCAGCACATCCAGCAGGTTGATGGTCTCTGACTCGGATTTCTTCTGCCAGCGGGCCATCGTCTCGAATTGGGGTCCCGTCCAATGGACGGCTTCTTTCGTAGTTGGGTCTGGCTCTGCGGCGCTGCCGTCATCAGAGCTCAGATCATCCAATGCCTCCTGCAAGAGGGCAAAGGAATGCGGGTCGTTTGTGAGGCGCAGCCTCAGCTCCTTGAGCTCCCCGGTCTCCCATGCTGTTGGATCAGGCTTCTTGCCGACGTTGAGCAGATTGAGGATTGGATGCCTTGAAGGCGACAAAACTGTGGGTTGCCATTTGCCATGAATTGCAACCTGCA